ATTATATTTATAATAAATATAGCAATAAAGTTAACTTAATATTAAATAATTTATAATAAATTAATTAAAATATTAACCTTAATATTATTTTTTAAAAAAGTAATTATATTAATTTTAAAAAATAAGTTTTTAATATAATTCTTAAAATATATTAGCTTAAAAAGTATTTTTAATAAAATATATACTTTAAATTATATTATTAATAAGTACTTAATTAAAATTAAATTAATATTATTAAATATTAAAATACTTATAATACTTATTTTAATAATTATAATTAAAATTGCTTAAGCTACTTTTTCTTTAAATAATAAAGGTTATTAAATATATTTCTTTAATTTTAAATTTATTATATTTATTAAGCTTGCTTTTATTATAAGAGATTTAGTATTTTCTTTTTAAATTTAATTTTAATTAATAAATATATTTTTTCTTTTCTTTACTTTTTTCTTATTTTTTAGCTATAATTTATTATTAATAATTTAAAATTAATTATTTTTTATTTTTTTAAAGTTTTTAAATTAAATATAATTAGCTTTTATAATTTTTATAACTTTATTTTAATTTTTAATATCTTTAGCTATATATTTTTTTTTAATTATAATAATATTTATTTAAAAAAGCTTATTATTACTTATAATTATAAGCTTTTTTTTAATATAAATTATAATTTATAAAATTTATAAATATTAAAATTAAATTAACTTTTTTTTAATTATTAAGCTTTTAAATTACTTTTAAGGCTTTTAATAAAGCCTTTTTTTTAAATAAAAGATTTACTTTAATAAATTTATAATATTTAATTATATAAAATAAATTAAACCTTTTTTTAAATTATAATTATTTTAATTATAATATAATTAAATATAAATAAGATTTAAATATTTTAAAAAGCTAATTTAAATATTTTTAAATAAATTAAGGAATATTAATAACTTTTTTAACTTAAAAGCTATTAATAAGTTATTTAAGGAAAGTTACTTAAATTTATTATATTAATATATATTATAATCTTAAAAAGTATAGCTATAATAAACTTTAAGTAATTTATTCTTTTTTAAAAAAAGCATTAAAATTATAACTTATACCTTATTCTTATTAAGATTATTTTAATTAAGTTTTGCTAAAGGCTATTAAATAAAATTTATAGCCCTTAGCTTAATTATTTTAAAATTACTTTATTATTTATTATAAAAAAAAGCTTTAATATTTTATTAAAATAATTTAAATTTATTTTTAAATTTAATTAAATTAAGTTTTAATTTTATAAATCTTAATTATATTTTTTAATAATATTAATATAATTAAATTTAAAAATAAAAATTATTAAGCTTATAAGTTTTTATTTTAAAGATAATTTAAAGAATTAAAATTATTTTAGCTTTTTTAAAGAAAATTTAGCCTTTTTAAATTAAGTAAATTTTAAATTAAAATTATTTTATATAAATAAATACTTATTTTATTTAAAATATTTAAGTTTTTTTAATTAATAACTTTTAATAAAATATACTTAAAATTTAATTAAAGAATATTTTTTATAACTTATAAATAATTTCTTTCCTTATTAATTACTTTTTTAAATATAATAAAAGCGCTTTATAAAAAGGCTAAATTATAATAAGAAAGATATTATTTATATTATTAAGTTTTTAATTATATTTTATAATTTTTCCTTTTTATATTTTTAAATTATTATAAAAGTTATTATAAATAATATCTTTAATAATTATAATTAAATTTATATAATAAGTTTAATTATTAAATTTATAAAAAGCAAAAAGCTTTTCTTTTTAATTTTTTTAAATAAATTATTTAATAATAATGCTTTTAATTATTTTTATTAAAATTAAAATAATATAGCATTGCTTAAATAATTTTAAGATTTAATTATTTAAATAAGAAAATTAATAAGTAATAATTTTAAGGTTATTTAAAATCTTAATAATATTAATTTTATTAAACTTTAAAATATTTAAATTATAAATTATAAATAAAGCTATTTATAATAAAATTATTATATTAATAAAAAATAAGATTTTTAAAATATTAATTTAAGTTTTTAACTTATTGCTAATAATAAATTATAAAGTTTAATTAAAGCAAGGTTAATGCTTTAATTAATAATAAGTAAGATTAAATCTTTTTTTTTTTTTAATAAATTTCTTAAGATTTCTTTCTTAGCTTTAAGTAAAAAAGAATGGATAATTTTTAAAATTTAAAGGTAATTTTAAAGTAAAAGTAAGTTTAAAAAAGCTTTAAGCTTAAAAATATAATATATATATTATAATAATTTTTATTAAAATAATAATAAAATAAAGAAACTTAAAAGTAATAATATCTTTAATTAAAGTAATTGCTTTTAAAGAATTTATTTTTAATATTATTATAAAAAATTTAAATTAAAGTTTAAAGAATAAAAGTATTAATAAATATAATAAATAAAATAAATTTAATAAAAAGATATTTTATTAAAAAATAAAAATTATAAGGTTATAATAAAGAAAGCCTTTTAAATTTATATTTAATGCCTTGCTTATTAATATTATATTAAATTTTTAATAAATTAAATTTAAGTTTAATTAAAGCTTAAATAAAATTATACTTTAAGTTTAAGTTTTTTATATAATTTAATTAATATAAAAATATATAATATAATGTTATTTATTAAACTTATAAATAAATAAAATAAGCATTTTAATTTTATATTATAGCTTTTTTTATTTTAAGCTTAAAGTTATAATAATAATAATAAATATTAATTAAAAATTTAAAGTATTTTTAATTAATATTAAGTAATATTTATAAAATTTAAATTTATTATTTTAATTTTAAGTTTATATTATTATTATATTTTAAGCATAATTTTTAATAAGAAACTTAAAATAAATTTAAAGCTTAATAATATATTAATATATAATTAAGGTAGTATTTTATTTAAATATTAAAAGTATAAAAGATATCTTAAAATTAAAAAATAGTTTTAAGGTACTTATAATATTATTATAAATTTAATTATATTTAACTCTTTTTTATAATAAGTTAAAAATAAATATAAGCTTTAATTAAAGCTTTAAATTAATATATAAAATAGTTTAATAATATTTAATATAAAAATAAAAAAAGAAATAAAATTAATAAATAATTAACTTATAATTAACTTTTTATTCTTTTTATTATTAATTAAAAATATATAAGATTAAAATTATGCTTAAGTTAAATTATTAATAAAAATAAGCTATTTAAATAATAAGGAATAGGTTTTACTAAACCTTCTTAAGGATAACTTAAAAAAAAGCTTTAATGCAATAAAAAGGAAAGATAAGAATAAAAGGGAATTAAAGAAAGGGAAAAGATAAATATTTTAAAAATTCTTAAAAATAAAAAAAGCTTAATTAAAGCATTAAATATATAAGAAAAGAAAAGAGTTAATTTCTTAAAAAAATATTTAAAATAAGCGTAAAAGCTAGCTTTTTATAGCTAGCTAGAATTTAGCGCGGTACCATTTCTTACGTAATTCCCTGCACCTGCTAATAATGCTTTAATATCCCCATTAATATAGGATAGATTATAAGTTACTTAGCGGTGCCCTTATAGCACTGTTAGGGCCTATGGCCCTAGCATTTATTAACTTCTCTCTCTTTATGCTATAAAATATTGGTATTGCGGGGTTATTAATAAAGCATAGCTATAGCTATCCCAAAGGGGTTTCATAGCTACCTTAAAGGGGTCTTATAGCTACCCCTTTATTTGCAACTTAAAAGTTACTTTTGCCCTTTATGCCCTTTGCGGCCCTTTGCGTCCTCTGCGGCCCTCTGCGCTCTCTGCGGCCCTTTACGCCCTCTGCGCCTTTTGCGCCCTCTGCGGCCCTCTACGCCCTCTGCGCCCTCTGCGCCCTTGCGGCCCTCTGCTTCCTCGCGGCCCTTTGGGCCCTCGCGGCGCTCTGGGGCCCTCTGGGCGCTCTGGGGCCCTCTGGGCGCTCTGGGGGCTCTGGGGGCTCTGGGGGCTCTGGGGCCCTCTGGGCGCTCTGGGGCCCTTTAGGCTTTTTAAGCTTGTATTTTTAAAGTATTGCTTAAATTGGAAAATAGCTACCCTGGCTTGTTGGGAACCTCGCAGTACTTGCATTTTAGTGCGGATGCAGCTAATTTTCTTTGTACTGGGTGGGCCAACGCTGGAAGCTGGGTGGGCGTATTGTAGAAGCTGGGTGGGCGTACGCTGACTCTGCTCCTCGCAAGAGCTGTAAAAGGTTGGGGTTAGAAGCAGGGGGCAGAACAAAAAGCCGTTTCAATGTGTAAAGCCAGTGTAATTGACGATCACTTTATAACGATGTATCCAAGTTTCAGAGCCATCAAAATGAAAATGCGGATTTGCAATATCCAGTAAATAGAAGAATCAGCCATCGAGAACAATCTTCTGGCCCCAGCATCTGCACAGGATCCGCCGAGGGCTTACTCCGCGGAGTCTACCCGCCTCCTACAGCGTGTTGCCTCTTTTTTCGATGCGACCACACTCGATGCAGGTTTCTATTACCAACAGTTGGCTATTAGGGAACAAGGAGCATCTCATCTGTGGTGATGCTCACTACCGACCGATGTACAGCAACAAGGCCCCAGCGCCGTGGTCGTGGACACAGGCCGCGCTTGTATACTGGATCGAAGATCGAAAAGGCTCAGTAGCCAGAAACATCAGTGACCTGCTAGATGGTCCAATTATATTTCACGATTTTCCAAAATCCCATTCTGTTAAGATAATTGCGATTAGCATGTCTCCAATCCGCGGAAGGTTCCCGTCGGGGTTGTGCTCCATTTACTCCCCTGGGTATCATTGACAGTCAAAAACATGGGATTGGATACAGTATTTACCTAGTTATACAGTAGTCCTGCCAGGAAAGAAAGTCGTTTCGGTGAGTAGCTGTTCCCAATTCGCCCGGTCTCCTACTTCACAAACACAGTTTCAATCACTGCTCTCCGGCGTCTTTTCCTCGTACCCAACTTCAGCTCAACATGGCAACCAAGACCCTGGCGACATGGGCACTTGCTCTTCAATACAACAACATCCCGTCAAATTTTCATGACATTGCTGCCAAGAGCATCTACAATTGGGCAGGATGCGCAATCGGCGGGTGGCTTCAGCCAGCACCAGGCCTGGCCCACAGCGCAATCGCGCCATTTGTCTCGGACAACGGCAATTCGACCATCCTCGGCACCGGTGTCGTCGTCGACGCGCAGACGGCTGCGCTGATCAATGGCATTGCGTCCCATGCTGACGACTACGATGATACCCACCGAGACAATCCAATCCACCCGTCGGGGCCAGTGTTGTCTGCTCTTCTTGCGGTGGCGGAGTGGCAGGGTTCCGTTTCTGGGCCGGAGTTTCTGACGGCATTTGTAGCTGGTGTGGAAGCAGAGTGCAAGTTGGGCATTTCTGTTTACCCGGAACATTACAATGTAGGGTGCCGTAAGAAGACCCCTTCAGTCTCAAGTCTCAACATCGTGAAAGGTTGACTAACTTGATGATCAAAAGACATCGTTAGTACAGTTGGTTCTATTGGCGCTGCTGTTGCAGTCAGCAAATTACTTGAGCTCGAAGTTGAGGAGCTACAGAAAGCTATTAGCATTGCATCTGTTCAAGTAACCGGCATGCATGACTTCTTCGGAACGGACACTAAGCCTTTCCACGTCGGGAGGGCGGCACAAAATGGCTTGATGGCAGGCTTGCTTGCAAAAAGTGGTTTCAGCGCTCCTTTGGACGGTCTTGAGGCCGAAAGAGGTTGGACTCACGTCGTCAGCACGCGAGAGAACATCACTGCAGAATTCGACACCTTGGGTGAGGTGTGGGAAACTGCAAGGAACACATTCAAGCCGTTTCCTTGTGATCGAATCATCCACACCGCGATTGACGGCTGGATACAGCTCCGCGAACAGGCACTCGAGCAGGATCTTGATACATCATCCATCACGAATGTGACGGCTCGAACCCATTCAAGGGTGCTATTTCTGACCGACAACCCGGAACCGGCGACTGGGCTTGAGTCAAAAGTTCAGCATCTATCACGCGGCAGTTATTGCTGCTTTACGGAGAGGCAACCTCTTCACAGTTTCTGGACGATGTCGCCCAAAACCCGACCGTTATCGAGCTGCGGCGGAAAGTCCACGTCACCAGTGACGACACTGTCGAGGAGCATGAGGCATCTGTGTCTGCCACTTTCGCAGACGGTACAACACTAGATGTACACGTCGAGCACACGATTGGCAGTTACGAGAATCCATTTCCAGCCGATCAAATGAAGGCTAAATTCCTGGACCAGGCTGGAACGGTAATCGGAAGCACAAAAGCTGAAAAGGCATGGGTGACATTTTCAACCATAGTCATTGCGACCGATGTCGCAGAGGCTGTCCGGCTGTCCAGGGTCTAATTTTTCTGGACTTTGTATATTTCGCAACACAGTCTTGTCCACATCTTCTTAAGTAATTATTATGAATGGAGTGGCGACGTTCTTCACCCGCGCCGAGTTAACACTAGATATCAGAAGACAACGCCGGAAAAAGAAGTCTTGTCGAAACAGGCAACAAGATGACGAATCGTGTAGAGCGATGAGATCCTCATTCATCCTCGTCCTCATCTTCGATCTCGTGATCATATCCCTCGTCCTCATCCTCGGACGTCTCCGTCTCGTCATCCTCAGTATCGGACTGGTGTTGATCCTACGACACGAAAAAGGAAATTAGCGACAGCGCGCATTCTCATTTGCTAAGGCATACCATAGTATGCAGGGTTGGCCCGAGTACTTACAATGCGTCGCCGCTTGGTCGGCCGTCGAGAACCACCATCAGGGTTGTTCTGTAGCTCTGGCATGTCGTAGACTATGTCGGGGATTTGCTGATCTGCTGGACCTGTCACGATGCCGAACTCGTTGCACATTCCGTATTGGCCACTTGTGCCATAGAATCCAATAATCTTCTGGTTGGGTCCCGGAACTGGTTTTTCCGTGTTAGTGAAGCTGATCGTAGTAAAGGCGTATTTGCACGTGACTAGCTGGAAAATAACAGCGAACGATAATGGAACGCACGTCAATTGTGGTGCGAAGGCAGCAAACTTACCAAGAGTTTCGACAGTCCCGTCATAGTCCTTGTTCAAGGCTCCCATAGCCTTGCCATTAGACAGCCACATTCTCAAACCCTGTAAGCCCCAGCCACTTCCCTTCGTCACAGCGACCTTGACGACATCCACACGCTTCGGAATCGCAATCTTGCGCGCCTGGTGGCCACCCATCCCGGGATCGTTCCCATTCTTTCCGCGCGGGCCACAAGGCACCCGCGTGCCGTCCTTGTAGTACACCACCGCGCCGTCGAGCCCACAGCCGACCCTGAGGTCGATCTTGTGCGCGGGCACGAGCTCGTCCTGGCGGCCGCGCTTCTTCAGCATCACGGCCCACTGCCAGTCGTCCTTCTGCGGCTCGCCGCTGCTGACGCTCTGCTTCTGCAGCCGGATGCTGGTCCCCGGCACGCGGATCGACGACTTGTTGGAGAACAGCCGGGACAGGTCGGCCGTCTGGTGCTTGCCGTTCATGGCCAGCACCTCGATCTCGAGCGGCTTGAGCAGGTCGAAGCGGGTCTCGAGCTCGTCCAGCGTGAACTGGAGGGACGTCTGGGGACTAGCTAGAGTGGCGCCAGCTTCGACCTTCCCATCGATCAGCACCTGCGCGATTCCTGCCTCGCAGGTGATGACAACGCGACTGAATTCCTCGTCGTCGCGCACCTCGAAGCTGGGAGGCTTGTCGTCCCGCGGTGAATCTGAAGGCTGTCTGAAGTGCGGCAGGTTCACGAAGCGAAGCAGATCGCGGATGTCCCACCGGCAGTCGTTCTCCGTGGACGGCGTGACGGGCTCGATACCCTCGGTCCTGGTATGCGTGCAATATGCGGTCTTTGCCAGGAAGCATTTGGGCCAATTCTTAGGGTAGCCCCTGGCCATGATGCCTGATGTATGCGGCGCCGAGAACGCGTGGCCGACCTCGTGCAGGAACGCCCCCTGGCCAACGGAGCAGGCTTCCCACATGGAGACGCACTCGCCATTGTCGTTTCCGACCCGGTCGCCGGGTGCTGCTTCGTCCAGCAGACAGTCGGGAACCTCCTCCATGAACCGCGGCCACGAGTACGTCAGGTGGCTGCCGAATATGCCAAGGGAGAGGCCGTTGGGATTGTGTGCACCCAGAGCTGCATGGGCGAGAATCAACTTGCTCTCCGCGTCGTAGTGCGAGTCTAAGACCAGGCCGGCGACGACCGGCCTTGCCTCGGAGACAAATGGTCCCCCGTGTGCCAACAGCGCTTCGCTGAAAATCTTGTGCAGATCGTCTCTGCGCCTCCCACCGGAATTCTGCTGGGCAACCTGCGCATCGCGAAGCTCAGCAACAGTCTTGTCTGCTCGGATCAAGTGGATCTTGGCGGTGGACTGCATTCTCAAATCGTGTGAAAAGGAGTGGCTCAGGCTGTCAGCGGCCCATTCTTCCTCCAGGCGGAACGATCGTCGACCGAGACCGTTCTTGCGCAGCTCTTCGGCTGTCAGGGCCTGCCACATGTATGCGGTAACGCGGAGCTTGGCGATGGCGGCTTCAAGGCTGGAATGGGCACTTGAGAGGCCACTGTACTTGCGTGGCGGACAATCAATCGCCAATGGTGAGTCTTTGGCTACCATGATGGCCAGATGCAAGGGTGGCGCCTGGAGAAGTGGGACATATTGCAGACGGAACTGGCATGTTGTTAATATTCCTATCTTCGGGCTTGCAAAGTGGCCTGGCTGGCTCGGCTTACACTCTTTTTGTGAGAGCCATCCTGTCCAGATGTGATGGTGACGATATTTTCTCCTGGAGTCAAGATGAGCAGCGCCTTGAACCAGCCAAGGCACATTGGCCATTGCTGCTCAGGGAATAGATCAGCACCTGCATCATCTTTGGTCTCGATGCGCACATGGGCACCGCGCTTCTGGCTGGCTTCACATCGTCCGGTGACGAGGACACAGCGCTGATAAACGACCTCGCCGTCGTGCACATTGTCGAGGGAGAACATTGTCTTCTTATTCAACCGTGTAAGATCTGTGGTTGTTTGTGGCGTTCCAAAGAGGACGAATGATCAGTGCTCTATACAGAATTGATCTGGATCTAGTGAGAGGACGTCGAGTTTTTATCCTGTTCTGTCTGTGCATGTTTCTCGTGGTTCTCACCTTCGACTGGCTAGGCAGCGTGTCTGCAGCCTGAGCGATGTCCGCTGTTGACGGATGGTGTACTAGCATCCCCCTACTACTATGGCGGGCTGCTGCCTGCTCCTGCGCTGATATACGAGTGCTGGCTGTTTGGCTAGCCGTTTTCGGTCTGTGGCTTACCGCCAGCTGCTGCTGTTTCGAGGCAGCTAGGGGGTTGCATGAGACATACAGTACAGAATATTCATGGAGAAAAGTTCAGATCCTCGTTGTATGTGCAATTCAATCACAACGGTACATCAAATTGCGCTTGTCAAGAAAGAGACTGATGAGTGTCGCAGCGTGCGCAGATACTATCAGCACACATCGTGTTCACATCATGTCTGTTCCGCGGGTGATCCTCACCCCCTGTAAGCTTGTCGTACTGCTAAGGGCCGCTGCTTGGCTGTTCTGAGCTAGTTGATCCAACCCCTGAATTAAAGCCTAGCATAACAATGGTGTCAGTCCAGCTATAGGGGCACACAGTACCTGTTTACCTGCCTGCCTAAATACCTAGGTAGGCTCCTAACAGTTGGTTGGTAGAATCAGTACCGGGAGAGCGTTCCGCGTTGTTCACTCGTACTGCAATCCCATTGCATAGGTTCTGCATGTGTAAGTGTGAGTGTGTGACGTCCCCAAAAGGGCCATACATGTCTGACTCCGGCCCGTGCTGCATCACGAGCTGCATGTGAGCAGTGTACTCCAATATGACTACATTACCGTGTCTTTCAAGTTATGCTATCTGGGCGTCGAAGGCTCCCCAGATCGGTCCAAGATATGACTTGGGATCAAGGCAAAAACTGCGTTGAAGTATTTTCTTACGCAGCGAGGACAGTGCAAGTCCTGCCGAAAAGTCATACGACTCGAGTATTATTCAACATACGCACACTATTTTTGACCATCCAGGTCGCAACCAGTCGCCTCTAATACAAATACCCCAATCTTATCCACAAATGGACCGGTCCAATCTTGGCCATCAAGTCTTACTGCCTCGCATTCCCATGGAAGAACGACCTCACCTACCGTTGTCGCGGGAACCGACACATTGGCACTGAAGCCACCATCCTCCAACCTCCAGCTCACATCAAACTGCCCAAAGGGGCTCCTGAAACCACTCTGCACCTGCTGCACCCCGCCGCCCGGCTGCGGCGCAAACGTCCACCTGAACCAGCCGGAGAGCTCGAGGCCCGCGAGCTTCGTGGTGAGCGCGACCAGCGGCCCCGTGGACCAGCTGTGGCTCATGCTGGTGTACGCCGCGTCGTAGTTGTACCCGGACGCGCCCCGGTAGTACAGGCTGCCATTGGCCGCCAGGCCCTCGGCGAGGGTGCTGCCCGTCATCTCGGGCGAGTCGAGCAGGTAGCCCCACAGGCGCTCGGTGAGCTCCAGGGCGCGGTCCGGCTCGCCCGCCGCGAAGTGGCCCAGGACCTCGACGCCCGAGATGAACGGGGAGATGACGTCGGGCAGCTCCGGCGTCACGGGGCCGAAGCTGTTCCAGTTGGTTTCGAGGGCTTTGCTCAGGGCCTTGGCCTGCGTGGTGTCCCGTGTTAGGTTGAAGAACAGGGCCATGGCGTTGCCGTCCTGGGGGTGGAGGGATGTCGTTGTGTTGTCGTTGTAGAGTGATGCGTCGGCATCCCAGAGGTGTTCATTGAACGCCTCCTTGATGCCTTCTGCGGCAGATTCCCATGCTTCCGCTTCGTCTGACCTGTTCAAAGCCTCGGCGAGGGACGCAATCGAAACTAGAGCCTGATAGTCAAGTGCATTTAGAGCACTATTGAAGTCACCTGTGCCCTGTCGGCCCCAGTCGTTTGCCCCAACTTGCTTATGCAGGCCGACACTGCCGTCGATGCCGTTGAGAATGTATCCTACGGCGTTGGTGATGTTGTCCCAATGCCTTTCCACCCACGCTTCGTCGCCGGTAAAGACGGCATAATGGTAGATCGCGATGAGGTTCCACGCGTGGTAAGTGTCGCTCTCCTTGCCCGAGTTGAAAGACCGCGTCGATGGCCCGGCGTAAGGGAACCTGCCGCTTGCGTTTTGGTAGTAGAACATGGTCTCGAGGGAGTTGTTGAATGCCTCAAGCCCGACGTCGCCGAACGCGAGGAAGGCCGTTTGGCCCGAGATGCCGTGGTCACCGGGCCACACCGCGCGATCCCGCTTTGCCCCGTCCATCAGGACTGGTCCGGCGACCCCGGTGCTGGAGTTGTATGCCCAACCGTGCTCGACCTGCGGTAGGTGACGTCCCGTGTCCACGGGCCCTATGTTGGTCTGCGCCGTATAGGCTGCCGCATACCAGATCCTGGACAGAAGGTCGTGGCCGGGCGCGGAAAAGTAGCCAGAGTAGTCCCGCAGGTCGGCCTGTGACGGTGAGAAGCCAATTGCGCAGGTGATGTTGGATATGGTAACTGGTGCCTTTGCAACAATCGTCATGAATCGAAACCCCCCTCGGAACCTTTCCTGCGGCATCGTGTAAGTCACCACATCTCCGGCGTCAACAGTTACGTTGAGCTCCCTGTCCCAGTCTTGTGAAGCTATGGAACCCGTCGCATCGTCTGATATCGGCCCAGCGTGTGCAGGAGACTCGGCAAATGCCAGAGACAGCTGAGAGCCCTCGGACCCGTCCGCCAGTGTCTCGATATTTAGAGTGACGAGCCCGCCGACCTCGACGCCGAAGTCTAGGCTGGCTTGCGCCCCCATGTCGAGGGACAACACATATCCTTCCGCACCGGATGACACCTCATGATGCTCGCCCTGGACCGACGCGTTGACCGGCCGCACCGTACGCGAAGAGGGGCTCAGGATATAGGGCTCCCATGGCGTCGCCTGGGCCCTAGCGCGTGATGTTATCAAAAGGCCCCAAACGGCCAGCTCGGATAGGTTGAGCGCGGAATGCAACATCATGGGTAGTCTGACAACTCCGTTGCTGAATCCCTACAATTCCCACCCCTCAGGCGCAAGAAAAGAGCCGGCACTCTTATAACGATGTTTATGTTGCAACTGGCTCGGCTATTATTCTCCCGAGCTCATTTCCGCTCAAGCGGCGGAATCCTCGTCCACAACACTTGTTATGTTGGAAGTGGAGAAGTTGAACAGGCTCCCCCTCAATGGGCGAGTCCTTGGCGGCTACAATCCAGAGACGACCTTATGATCGGCATCACCAATCATCACCAATCACCTCAGGCTGAGGACTTTTTTAACCAGTAGTAGACGGTGGCACTGACAATATTGACATAAACAAAGACACCAATGCTTGGTCTAATTAATCCAGCTAGTTTATATACAATGATCATACCAGCAAAGAAGCGATTAGATGGGAGTGGGAATGGCAAGGGCATACAAGGGCATTTACCGGAAGTCTCTAGCTTGGCTGCTAGTAATTTTCACGGCTTAAACTGGGAGGTTGGGGCCACTCCTTGTAGCAACAAATTGGAAAATGTCAAGCTTGATGCAAAATTCTGCAGATTTCTTATTTAGCTTTCGTTGGTGCATAGGTCGATACTTCGCAATCCATAGTAGCCTCCGTGAGTGGACGGCCTAGGATTGGTTCAGCGATGTAGGGGAGTCTACTTATAAGTTTCAGTCATTCATCGCTTCTACAGTCGTTGACGCAGGACAGACGACTCGCGATGGGAAAAGTCCTGAAATACCGGTGAACACAAGTATAAGGAAGATGAGTGCAAAAGTGATGGTAGGCAGCCCGGCCCAGCTCAGCTCGGATACACGGAGTTGCTCAAGCCCTCGACATCCGCCACAGTGCCACCAATACTTCGATTGGGGCTTTCAAAGAACGTTGCCAGCATAAGTAGATTGTTATCGAGCTTGGAAATAATATCTCAAAAATAAAGAGAAAAGCTGGGGGACCAATGGTCCCTATGTATCTCGGATACGGGGAATCGAACCCCGAGCTGGTGAGTGAGAGTCACCGATGTTAACCATTACACCATATCCGAATGTAAGCATTCGGGAGATGTCCTGATGCAAGATTTGCAGTATATGAAGCATGCTTGATGGGGTGGGGCTTGGTATAGCGCCGGCACGCGGGTATGTGGATGTGTGAAAATCACCGAGCCGGGACCGATGGGGCGGATCGATAAGCGGCGAGCGGCCGGGGTTGGGGTTGCCTGCCGGGGGTCCCAAAAAAATATTCGAATCACTACAGGCACATGGGATACGCGCCACGCTTCTCTCTCGCCCCAGTCCTTCCTTAGGTCACATCCCCCATGAATCTGTGAAGATGAGGGCCTCAAGAGCCGTGGCCGTCCTTGGTGACGGTCGCATCCTAAGCTCGAGCCCCGGTGCCAAGCTCTTGAATCTGAGCTGGAGCTGTAGAGCGAGCTCTGATGCGCCGCGACAGTGGCAGCAGCCCGTCCAGATCGATGGCGCGAGGAGCTTTAGCCAGTCTTCCAAGCGAGGCGCCGCCCTGAACGCTGCCCAAGAAGCGTACGTCTTTTTATGCGAACATTGTAACCAATGATGGCAGTCCCGCTGACAATCATGCTTTACAAACAAACAGTCTCAAGGCCGCCAAGGAAGCAGCCAACCTGTCCCCCGAAGTTGTCAAGGCGCGCATGAGTCCCGAAGAGACCAAGCGTCTTTCTATGGTTCGAAATATTGGTATTGCAGTAAGCGTTCCCTCCCTCCAGGCTTGTCGTCTGCTCTACTGCGGCCAGAGCTGACAATTACAGGCACACATCGACAGCGGTAAAACAACATGCACCGAACGAGTCCTCTTCTACACCGGCCGAATCAAGGCGATCCACGAGGTTCGAGGTCGAGACAGCGTCGGCGCAAAGATGGACTCTATGGAACTGGAACGCGAGCGAGGAATCACCATCCAATCCGCCGCGACCTTCTGCGACTGGGACAAAAAGGAAAACGGAAAAATGGAAACCTATCACATCAACCTGATTGACACCCCTGGCCACGTCGACTTCACCAGGTCGAGCGAGCCCTGCGAGTTCTTGACGGCGCCTGTATGATTCTCTGCGCCGTCAGTGGCGTGCAGAGTCAGACCATCACCGTCGACAGGCAGATGAAACGGTACAATGTCCCCCGGATTAGCTTCGTCAACAAGATGGATCGTATGGGTGCCAACCCCTTCAAGGCGGTTGAGCAGATCAACTCCAAGCTTAGGTTCCCCGCTGCCGCTGTTCAGATCCCAATCGGCTCCGAGAAGGAATTCGAGGGTGTCGTGGACTTGATCCACATGCGCTCCATCCGAAACGACGGCCACCGAGGTGTTCAGCTCAAGATCTCCGACCAGATCCCCGAGGATCTCAAGGAACTCGCCCAGCAGAAGCGCCAGGAGCTTATCGAGAAGCTTGCCGACGTCGACGACGAGATGGCCGAGATGTTCCTGGACGAAAAGGAGCCTACCCCTGAGCAAATCAAAGCAGCCATTCGCCGATCCACCATCGCCCTGAAGTTCACTCCCGTCTTGATGGGTACCGCTCTTGGTGACAAGTCTATCCAGCCGATGCTCGACGCCATCTGTGACTTCCTGCCGAACCCCTCCGACGTGCAGAACATGGCCCTCGACCGCTCCCAGAAGGAGAAGCCGACAGCTCTGGTCCCGTACAACGCCCTCCCCTTCGTCGGTCTCGCCTTCAAGCTCGAGGAGAACCCCTACGGCCAGCTCACCTACATCCGTGTCTACCAGGGTCAGCTCAAGAAGGGCAGCTACCTGTTCAACTCCCGCACCAACAAGAAGGTCCGTATTCCCCGTATTGTGCGCATGCACTCCAACGACATGGAGGACGTCAGCGAGATCGGTGCCGGTGAGATCTGCGCCGTGTTCGGCGTCGACTGCGCGTCCGGCGACACCTTCACCGATGGCAACCTCCCCTACACCATGAGCTCCATGTACGTCCCCGAGGCCGTCATGTCCCTGTCTATCAAGCCCAAGCGGAGCAGCGACGCCGATTCCTTCTCCAAGGCCATGAACCGTTTCCAGCGCGAGGACCCCACCTTCCGCCTGACGGTCGACGATGAGTCCGAGGAGACCATCATCTCCGGTATGGGCGAACTGCACCTTGAGGTCTACGTCGAGCGTCTCCGCCGCGAATACAAGGTCGAGTGCGAGACCGGTCAGCCCCGTGTGGCCTACCGCGAGACCATCACCCGCCGTGCCGACTTTGACTACCTTCTCAAGAAGCAGACTGGCGGTCCCGGCGACTTTGCGCGCGTCATGGGTTGGTTGGAGCCGTTCGAGGAGGACCCTGAGAAGAACCACTTCGAGACGCAGGTGGTGGGCGGCACGATCCCGGACAAGTTCCTGGCGGCGTGCGGCAAGGGTTTCGAGATGGGATGCGAGGAGGGCCCGCTGCTGGGCCACAAGGTGATCGGCGCCAAGCTGGTGGTCAACGACGGCGCGACGCACGTGACGGACTCGTCCGACTACGCCTTCCAGATGGCGACGCAGTCTGCGTTCCGCAAGGCGTTCAAGGACGCCGGCGGCACGGTGCTCGAGCCGCTGATGAAGACGACCATCACGGCGCCCAACGAGTTCCAGGGCAACATCATCATGCTCATGAACAAGCGCGGCACCATCGTCGACACCGAGATCGGCCCGGAGGACTTCACCCTCATCGCCGACTGCTCGCTCAACGCCATGTTCGGCTTCAGCTCGCACCTCCGCGCCTCCACGCAGGGCAAGGGCGAGTTCAGCATGGAGTTCAGCCACTACGCGGCGGCACCGCCGCAGTTGCAGTAAGTTAACCCCTCATAACACGGCATAAATTTGACCGAATGGATGCTAATGACCTCAACTTACAGGAAGGAGCTCATTGCCAAGTATGAGAAGGAGAGATTCGCGAAATAGAGATGACACATGGTGGCAAAGAGGCACAGCCTAAGTCGTGCTGTGGATTCGACATGGCCACCAAAGGCGGCCTGCTCAAGAGACGTACTACAATATAGACGATACCGGGTATGTTCGTGATCTGGTGGAAGTGTACTATATATCAGACATGTGTGCCCAAACATCTAGATGGGTGCGCATCTGTACTTCATTCTGGCATGGTTTAGAATCCTGACCAGGAGGAGCGAGGGCTGGCAGACACCAAAGACGGCCGCTGTTCTCATACAAGCGTTGCATAGACTGGTAAGACTGCTTGCGCCAAAAGGAAATACAAACTATCCTCTCTCGAGTGCTGGAACTTGTATGGTTTGGTTCTCTACATTAATCAAACAATGCAACTTAAGTAGTGGCTTCATGTCTTGGTATCCATTTTATCTATGCCTATTCCCCTTTTACACCGTCAGCAGTAAAGAGACTGCGATCTACATATACGTCCGACGGCTTACAGACGCTTCAGGACGTCCTCGAGAACCTCGGTGGTGGTGTTCTTGCCGCCCAGGTCAGGGGTGACGATTCCAGCGGCGAGGGTGGCGTCGACGGCTGCGTAGATGCTGGCGGCGGCCTGCTCGAGGTCCATGAACTCGAGCATGACGCCGACGCTGCGCAGGGTGGCGATGGGGTTCGCCTTGTTCTGGCCGACAATGTCCGGGGCGCTGCCGTGGACGGGCTCGCCGATGGCGAAGCCCTCGCCGACGTTTGCGCTGGGGATCAGGCCGAGAGAGCCGAGCAGGCCCGCGCCCTGGTCGGACAGGATGTCGCCGTACAGGTTGGGGGCGACGATGACGTCGTAGTACTCGGGCTGCTGGACCAGCTTGAGGGCCATGGAGTCGACGATCTGCTCCTCGACGCGGATTGCGGGCGTGGTCTCGGCCAGGGCCTCGCGGGCGGTGGTGCGGAAGAGGCCGTCGGTCTGGGAGAGGACGTTGGACTTGTGGACGACGGTGACGAGCGGGGAGGTGTGGATGCTGGAGGCGCCCGCGTCGCGCATCTTCTGGCGGCGCTGGGCGATCTGGCCGGCCATGGCGGCGATGCGGTACGAGGCGCGGCCCGAGATGCGCTTGATGGCCTCGGCGACGGGGCGGCCGCCGGGGCCGCCCTGGGTGGTGGTCTCCTCCTTGACGTAGAGGTCCTCGGTGTTCTCGCGCACGATGACCATGTCGACGGCGGGCTGGCTGAAGAGGCTGGTGGCGACGCCCTTGACGGGCCGCACGTTGGCGTACAGGTCGAGCTTCTTGCGCAGGGCCACGATGGGCGACGAGTAGCCCTTGACGGCCTTGGACGGCGACTGCACGGCGCCGAACAGCGCGCCGTCGCACTCGGCCTTCAGCGTGTCGACGGTCCGCTGCGGCAGCGCCGTGCCCGTCCTCTCAAACGTCTCGAAGCCGGCGTCCAGGTCGACAAAGGAGAACTTGAGGCCCAGCGAGGCGGGCAGGGCCTCGAGCAGCCGGCGGCCGGCGGGGATGACCTCCTTGCCGATGCCATCGCCGGGAATAAGGCCTGCGTGAAGAGGCGCGAGCGTGTCAGTGGACGGTGTTCTTTGGGTGCCTCAACTGGGAGAATATTGGTGCTCTGGTGCTCTGGGGACTTCCATACCGATCCTGAGGGTTCTGGCAGCCATATTGGGATCAATTGGCTCGTGGAGCTGGACAGAAGTTGTGAGGCTGCTGGAAAAAGCTTGCCATGACGGCCATTTCACGCGTGCTTCCCCAGAGCTTCTGAAGATCTCAGCGACGTGGGGCCGAGCGAGTCCGGGGTCGGAGCTTGGCTCAGCCCAGTTCAGGGTCCGGTGGGATCATTTGACCACCCCTGCCTGTTTGGGCTGGAGGGTTTGCTTCCAACTGAGCAGCTGCACGCTGAGCACCAAGCTTCATCATCTGTATTAACCACATCCATGTCCATATGTATACAATATCCCCTCCTGCTTGCTGGAGGTCCGTCACAGCCGAAGTCGCATGTGCTTGTGTAGCTGGTGTGACCGAAGGAACGGCTTGGCCCTGTCAATAAATCCTGCATTCTCGAAAGATCACATTTGCTGCATCCTTCCCAGCGGGCTGGTTGGCAGGTCGCACAGACGCAACTAGACCGTCGACGGCAACGCTGTGATGGTGTGGACTACTAGTATATCAATGGCGAGGCTCAGGCCTCTACCAAGTAATAAGATCAGTCAGCTGGACCGAGACTATGAGTTGAAAGCCTCCTTGCACTTTCGTTCTGACCGAGGGGATATTAGCACAAGCCCATTTCGGCACACATGGTCAATCTTGATCCTTGGGTCATGCCTGTCCCCTGTCGTCTCACCATGCCCAGACCTGCATACAGAGGCACAAAGCTCGATTTGAAACGTTCAAGCTCCAACGGGATTACCATGCACAACTATTGGAAAACCCAAATCTGAACCTACATCACAACTTTGTCTCATCAGCTCGTCTACGACAAGACACTTTTTAAATCTGGGTAGAGCACACGTCTGGCCACGAAGATGGCCAGCCCGCCCACTCGAAAGACCTTGAGGGGGGCCAAATGAGGCAGCCCACCCAGGCCCCCTTCTCAAAACACTTCTAATTTAAACCAGCCCTTCCCTTTTCGGCACCATCACACTGCTTGTTGTACATTACGTACGTACAAACACGGTCCACCGAGTGAGAAGTCCAACGGGTGGCCCTCAATTGCGGTGTGCATCACGACGAGCGCAGCACAGCACATCAGTCACTTGTCCTGGACGGTGGGAGCAGCAAATGCGCCACAATTATTTTTATCCACCTCGCACCGTCCCGAGGCCACCCGCGGCCGAGGTCGATGGGGGCAAGGGAAGCTGGGCACCAAGAGTCAGACTCAGACTCAGACTGAGGGTCTCAGGCTGGCAATTGGTGGTAATAACAATAATGAGATGAGCAAGATGGTGAATGTTTCTTGCTATATCCCAAACGAGCCCTACGAGCCCTGTCGGTCGAGTGGGCCCTGCGACTCCCCTCCTGTTATTTGCCTCATACGTCTGCGCTGGGGCAGCCACATTCAAATCAGACAATAACCCGTCGAGGGCCATATCAGACTGTCTGTCCACATCTTTGCCACAGCTTATACCTACTCAGCCCATCACATTATATCATACCGAACTGTCTCAACTCTGGTCTTTGAACGTGGTTGTGGTCTGGTCAACACTGCCACAGTCTGTCTGTCTACTACCCTGAGTATCGATACGGACGATCGGCGCAGCGGCAAGCCCCCGCCAATCGTCGGATACACGCTATAGCTGCACATCCACCTCTCTTGACTCTGTGCTGAGTCCAGACGCGTTCGCCTAGCGTCAGGAGCTCCCGCTCCCGCGTCGCAGAAAAAGGGGCCAGGGATCCAGGCTGGTTTGATAAACCCCGGCGGCCGCCCTCCAAACAGCCCTTAAGACCGACCAAGGTCAGCCCTTCCCTGACAACCACCATAGCCTACCCAGGCAGGAACCCACGACAGCTTCGCAACGGCCGAGGCCAGCTCACGCCTTCCTCCCTAAGGCCCTTCTCTCGCCTCACAACAGACAGCCCCCCCAGCAACCCCAGCACGAGGAAGAGCTCCCTGCCCTTGCTCCTTCCCTACAACCTACCTGACTCTACGCCCACGACCACCCAATACCGGCCGCGTTCGAGCCATTCTTGCCCCAGACAAACCGCCAAGATGAGTGTTAGGAACCTCCGGGCCATGTTCGAGAACAAAACTCAGGATAGTCCGCCCGAGCGAGGGCGATCACCTGGTGTGTCTTCGAGTACAAATGAATCTGCCTGTTTGTTTCACCCCTCTCAATTGCTCTCGTCTCCATCTATCCTTTGCGCTCTGCCCCCTACCATTACCACCAAACACTCTGCACCCAAGAGCCTCTGCAACAACAGCAATCTGCTAGAGCATGGTCTTTCTAGTTTCTGCGTACCTGGTCCACCAACCCACTGCTAACTCGATTTCTCTGTCCTAGCCGGCACCGAGTCGCCTCGTCCCCTTTCCAAGGTCCGCACAAGCTTCGTGGCAATCGAGAAGGACGGCCGCATAGGCCTACAACAACGGAACCCAAGCGAGGCCTCGGCATCCAGTATATCTGGGAGGAAGCTCAGTGGTGACACCGAAACGACCGAAGCTGCGTCTTCAGTCCAGATGGACAACACCGGTCCAAATGTCTCTTCCGCAACTACCAGCCAGCCAGAGCCCGTCAGGGAAGTCGCCGCCCTTGCCGGAAGCGGTCCGCCAAAAGGGCTTGCCGAGTCCCCGCAGATTAAAGAAGATCCCCGCGCGAGGAAGTCTGATTATGGCATTCAAGCTCGGAAGAGTCAAGGTGTTGGTGACCAAGAGCCAGCAGCACCAGAGCCAGCGCCAGCGCCAGTGCCAGCAGTCGTGGACGCGAACAAAACAAACAGCGCGAAGGCTGTAGGGACACCGGCAAAATCCACCCCAGCAGCGTCAGCAGCACCAGCAAGTGATGATACGAACAAAACGAATGGCGCGAAGGCAGTAGGGACACCGGCAAAACCCACACCAGCAACGTCAGCGGGACCGGCAGTACCAGCAGGCGACGACGTGAACAAAACAAACAGCGCCAAGGCTGTAGGGACGCCGGCAAAATCCACCCCAGCAGCGTCAGCAGCACCAGCAAGTGATGATACGAACAAAACAAATGGCGCGAAGGCTGTGCAGACACCGGTGAAAAGCATACCAGCAGCGTCGGCAGGACCAGCAAAAGCAGAAGCAGCAGGGGCACCGAGAGCGGCAGAAGCAGCAGGACCAGGACGGCTGGGACGATCAGCAGGAGCACCGGCACCGGCACCAGCAGCAGTACCAGCGGCGGCGGCACCCTCCAGCAAAGTGACAAGCAAAGAAGCTTTGAAGTCTCCCGACCCAGCACCGCAACCAAAGCCTGCGAGCAAGCCTACCAACACGGCGTCTCACCCGCCAACGACACCAAAGGCTGTGAAGCCAAACACCGAAAAGAAAGCAGCACCGGTCAGCGCCTCTCCTGGGGGCTTCGTCAAGCCCAGGCCCAAGTCACCAACACGCCCTGTCAAGCTACCTCCTAGCCTTACTACCCACACCACTGCCTCTGGATCCAGGACCAGAACTTCTGGCAGCGCTCCTCCATCCTCTCACGAGAACTCGGCCCGCTCCGTAAGCCGTTCCAAGGCGCTCGGGAGGTCGTCTTCCGCAGCCAGCAGGCAACGGCCCAGCATTGGACCTCCACCCAAGTTGCCTGCCAAAGACCACCCGGTCGTGAAGAAGGACGCCAAGGTCGACGAGGGCTTCTTAGCAAGAATGATGCGACCCACCCAGTCGAGCGCCTCCAAGGTAAACGAGAAGGTGCCCGTCACCCCTCCGAGAAGACCAGCAGCAGCACCCAAGAAATCGGCCAGTGCAAAGTCTGCCACAACGAAGAGGCCGGTATCTAAGACAACTTCTGCGACAACCTCCGCGGCCCCAAGCCCTGAGAGAACCAAGAAGGAATCTTCTGCGGACAGAGATATTGCGACAGTCATCGAGAAGATGTCTATTGCGGAGAATGTTCAGGAAACCCCCAAGACCCCTGAGCGTGAGGCTACGATAGCAGAGGAGCTGGAGGAGGAGAAAACAGCTGAACCTTTGGCCAATGGCGCCCACAAGGAGACAGAGGCAGTCAGCCAGCCAGCAGACAAGGGAGCTGAGCCTGAACAGGAGGAGTGGTGAGAGCGGATGAGTCTTGTCAATGAATTCGATGTTGTTCTATTCTCGATGTTCATACTGCATGGATATCATGACGTTAGGGAAGCGATGGGTTTGTTTCATATGATACCTCAAGGAGCAACAGGGAAAAGCACAATAGAACTCGAGATATGAGCACAAATGGATATACCCTTGCCGTTCTTCGACTCCATTCTCCTTATTTGCCCCGCACCTCGTGGACTGCGTATTCTTCTCCAGCGTAGTGAGGCGTGGCCTCTTACATGTTGTCACATGGGCATCTGCTGGTGATTTCGACTCGGCTGTAACCAGTACAGTCCAAACTGGCGCACATTTTCCTTTTGAACCGGTCAGTCTCCTGGGTGAATGGTTCGATTTTGTCCTCATATTGGAGAGTATGTTACAATGACGGCTGCTCTCCGCAACCAAGCCAGCCCATCTTATTCGATCATGGCCTCCTCGTACAGGCACTCGCCCGTCGAGTTCTCGATTCGAGAGAATCTTGATCTGACGATTGGCCGAGTCCCGGAGTATGCTCTCGCCGGTGTCGCCCTCGCCTATCCGCAATGGCGCGCTTTTTGGACCCAAGCCCTTGCTGTCACCCGTTCCTGCTTTTCCCTCCTTATTTCTCTCCTCCTTATTCTTCATCCTCTCTCCGTCTCATATCCCCCTTGGGCCTACCTCAGTACGGAGACACACGCGCCAGCATCAGCCCGCCAATCTGCTTCTCCATCGCCTCCCTGATCTCCAGCACGCCCTTGTCGGTGGCGACGAACATGCACTCGCCCATCTTCAGCCCGTCGATGTAGCCGCTCTCGAACCCCCTCGCGACGCGGCGCAAGCCCGGAAGCTTCAACGTGATGGGCCGCTTGGGCTTGCTGATGGACTTGAGGTTGCGCATCACGGGCTCGTCGCCGATGTACTTGAGCCCGAGCCACAGGCGCCGCGTGGCCACGTTCCGCGACGTCACGGGCTCGGTCTCGAAGGTCAGGAGCTGCTCGGGCGGCGGCGGGGTGGGGCCCGCGCGCGTCACGCTTGATACCAGGCCGGACCGGTGCAGCGCCAGGGCGAAGAGGAGGTTGTATTTTGTGTTGGGGAGGGAGGTCAGGCCTAGCCGCGCCCGGGAGGCGTTTTGCAGGTGCGCGCAGGCGTTTGTTATGTTGAGGATGCCCATCGTGCCGGTGAGTGGCTGTGTGTGTGTGTGTGTGTGTGTGTGTGTGTGTGTGTGTGTGTGTGTGATGTGTGTGTGATGTGTGGTGTCTGGGAAGAGGGAGCGCTCTGCTGCAGGAGAGGCCCCTCTTGTTGAGCTCGTGATGGGATCGTTCGGCCCGTCGCTGGAGGGTGTACGAGGTTTGCGAGATGGGTGGTGAGGGTATGCGGCGGGCTGCGTCGGTGGGTAACCGGATGCTATGCGGTGCCGCTTGGTATTGAGGTGGTCTTGTCGTCGGAGAGGTAATCTCTTCACCAGGTCGTAGGAGGGCAAATGTCGCGATGTCACCAGCGATACACCATCAACGCCAGCATCCAAGTGCAATGATCGTCTCCAAAATTTCGGGAGCCCGCGACGCACAGACCACCACGGATAGCTTCAGCAAGTACCTAGGTACCCAGACACCCAAGAGTCTGGAGCCAACCCCTGCCCTGCTTCTGGCTCCCGTCAACCCCACTCTCTGCCCGCTCACCTCCAAACTCACCCAGCCATTGGCCAACCACCAGGCGATGCCACCCAGAGACGAGCACTGCTAAGCGCCCAACACCCTCACCAGCGGCCAGTCTCGTGCATCCTGCAGACGTCTGTACCGGGATCGTCGTGATAGACGAGAGGTGAGACGGACGTTGATTTGAAGGTTTGGAGTTGCACATGCCCGCTAGTGCTTGCATGTCTGCGTCCCTGTCCCGCAGGTGGACCGCCCGAGGTGACGTCCCGAACAGCTGAGTGCGTCGCTCTTAAAGCTGTGGGCGAGGTCTGCGTATCTTTTTTCTCTTTTCTTCGCACTCTTTCCTTCAGTCGCGAAGGTTCTCTCGATTGCTATTTCTATGCCTTTTGCTGTTACTGTTGCGTTAGTTGTGGTTTAAGCGAACAACAAAAGCTTGGAATTACTCCTGATCTCGCGCGTTGCGCTCTCCTTCCTTTTGCCATTGGCGATCTATTATCCCTCTGACGGGGAGCTCCTGCGGTGCTCTCGACCCCTCCAGACAATGGCTCTTCGGCTGGGAGAAGAGAATGTGGCTACGCTGTACGTGCAAAAGAAAGGTGTCAATCCACGGTTCGACAGGCAAATGAAGGGGCGTTCATTGTTGTGCCCAGCATAGCTGACAATGCTTGCTCACCCACAGATTTGGCGACGTCCATTACTTTTACGGCCCGCCCACCGACTCACCCCCACACCACCGCTTCGACAAGGGCTCATATGTCTACCTGTTCGAGAATGCAAATGAGAGGAGGGCGCGCATAGAGGTTGCAAATCATGTCGGCACGGACGACCAGGATGCCTTTGACGGCTGTGAGTGATGACCCGGCCCCGGCCTCTGAGCCAAGTGGAATGAGATTGGCCCAGCTGATTATCAACTCTTATAACCGCCAGTCTTGGATAAAGTCCATGTCACCTACTCTTACAGGCAACACTGCATGGTAAACCTGGAAGTCGGCGAGGTCGAAGGTCATGAAGAGTGGCACCTGCCGACGTACGACCCTCACAACCAGAACAAATACCACTACAAGCTCCACTCCCTCGACATCTACTTCTGGACCCAGAACGACGCCCTGTCTTTTGTCAATGGCATCAGGCGAGTTCTGCCACCGAACCAGGTCGATGTGCAGGATGAGCCCGGTCCACCACCACGAAACGAGCAGCAGCACTCGGTTGATGTGAACCCTCTCGTCCAGAAGCTGGAGAATGCCGCCATCTACTCGGACTCAAAGATACCGCCCCCTCCCCCTCAGACCAACGGCAGAGACAGCAACAGCAACGGCAACATCCCCTCCTTTGCTCCCCCGCCACTGTCCGCCGTGACCGCCGACGACGATCACGACTCCAACTCCGCCAAGTCGCCGGCCAGCTTCGTCCCCATGGCCTACAACCCAGCCGCCCCCGCGGCGCCAGAGCAGATCCGCCACCGCGAGAAGACCCCGCCGCCGGAGGACGGCGACCTGAACCCCCTGCAGGCCCGCCTCGCCCAGGACGCCGGCACGCCCTTCTCCCCGGGCCTCGTGTCCGGGATGCCGTCCCACATGAGCCCCCTAAGCCCGGGCATCCCCCCTCCGCAGTTCAGCGCCGTCCCCGGCGCCCCGAGCTTCCCGGGCCCGCCGGTCCAGAGCCCCGGGATGCCGCCGCAGGGCTTCGGGAGTGGTGGCCACCCGGGCCTGGCGCGCGCCGCCACGATGCCCGTCCACGGCATGCCCTCGCCCGCGCTGCAGAGCCCGTACGGCGCGCAGTTCCCGGGCAGCCCGGGCTTCGCACCCCAGCAGCAGCCGCAGGCGCCGCCGCAGCTGCAGCACCACCAGTCGACGCCGGGTGTGATACCCGGCCAGCACAGCACGCCGACGCCGCCAGCGGTGACAAGCCCCAGTCTCCCGCCGCCGCCGCCCCCGCCCGGCGGCTTCTCCAACTACACGTACGCGACGCAGCAGGGCGGCGGCCACGGCCCCAACGAGTACAACATCCACCAGCAGGCGTACCGGCCGACCGAGGGCGAGGCGGCGGCCAGGTACAAGCCCAAGAAGGAGCCGAGGGGGCGGCTGGAGGAGAACGCTGGCAGGCTTGAGAGGGGGGTTACTGGGATGTTCAAGAAGTTTGAGAAGAAATTCGGTTAAAACGGGTTCTTGGAATGGCACGGCGTTTCTAATAGCTTGAGGGGGTGTTAATAACCCATGATTAATGAGAATCCTGCGTCCTTGAGGCGGACAGCCATGGTGTTTTTGCGTCTTTAAAGGTGAGGCTAGTGATGGGCTCGGATGGATCTCTGGTCGTGATGATTCAAACAAGGCAGACTGGGGCTTTCAGTCTTCATCCCTGGCCGACTCCAGCGGAGAACCCATGTCGATTCACCACGGCGTAAACAGGTGTGAGAAGTAAGGAAGACATTACGGATGGCACTATGTCCCAAAGGTCTCTATTGGTATCACATTTAAATTATCTTAATTTCATGTGCATAATGCTTGGGCAGCCTCAGTCGCCGCCAACATGACCTCCTTGAGTCCAATACACCAGAGCTTTGCGTGAAGAGGAACATTTGTACATATACAAAATTCCTTGTCCGCGCGATCGGTTTCTTTCACCTTGCCCTCGCAACTCCTGGATGGGGGTTCCTAGGTGCTAATACGTCATGCTGAAGACCGGGCTGCACCCGGGGGTATCAATATACTGTCTCCTCATACCTCTCATATGGGTCTCATAGTATCGTCGACTTGGTTGATTCGCGCTCGTTGTGCTATAATAATTCGGCAGTGTATGTATGGCGGGTCCAAAGATGTCCGGTAGAATATGCGACAGTGGTACTCGATCGACGACTTGATGTCCCGAGACACTCTTCACAGCGCGTCGGTGGCCCACCGAACGAATGAGCCGTTATTGGGCAATAAGTTGCAGGAGTCGAGCCGGTGTATGGCTGGTTGCATTGCCGCGGGGCTCCGGAGGCGTCCTTCTTCCAGCTCAAGGTGGAAAATTCGGCGACACTATGGGCCTTGATGCTCACCGGAGCGGTCTGTCTAAGGTATCGACCCCCTCGGTGGCTCGCCAGTGGGGGCAAATAGATGCAGGGTTATTTCGTGCATCGGTCCCGTATTGAGATACCATTCGGTTGGCTGCCATCATGCATGGCAAAACAGTATCACAAGGCTATCGTATCAACCCCCGCCATGAGAAGCAGCCGAGGTTGAAACAAAACAGGGCCGGGAGGGCTCTCTCATGGCGAGTGCTGAGAAACGTGAAACGGCGGCACGGCGGGTTTGAGGCTAGCCCCTTGCGCGTGACTCCCTGCCGCCCTCAATCCGAATTCTCGACGCGTTTCAGGGCCCGAGAGCCTTTTCGCATACGGGGAAATCTTGGTCGTCGCCGTCCTCGTAAAAGTGGCGTCGGCACTCGTGCAGGCGCTGCTGCTGCTTCTCCAGGCGCCTCCTGGCGCAGGCGAGAAACAGCGCCAGTCCCAGGATGGCGGCGCCGCACGCGACCAGAAACACCTTCAGGAGCAGTGGCTGCCGGGCCAGGTCGGCGCCGAGGTCTGCGAGCTGCTGGGACAGGAAGTCTGCTGTGGATTGGAGCACGCCGGGCCTCATGTCGAACTGCTGGAAGGGGCTCTCATAATGAGAGTGGGAGTGGTGCAGACGGCCTGCAGCGACGCATGTTAGTCGGGGCGGGAGAGTAACAGCAGGGCCTCGGGAGATGTGGGGAAATTGGAAAGCGTACTGGAGTTCCGTGGTGGGTTCATTGCAGGCCAGTCGAAGTGGCCGACAAGTGGTTTCTGGGCTGTTGGAGCCATGGTGGGGTTCTGGGGTTTGGACGTTTGGTTGAGCGGGATCGATGTCTACCGGACTGACGGGTGCCAGCTTGAGTCTATAATCTGAACTTTTGCTCGCGCAGTTCTGGGTGTGCCGTGATATATCAGGTTTCCTTTGGGCGAAGGGATGCGGATGCTGGCATGCAGATGTGGGGCGGGAGTAATAAGGGTATTCCTAAGCTTGGATTCCCGTGGTGGGGCCCTCGAGATCCTTATACGGTGGGTTCCAGGACTGGAATGTGAAGCGATTTATGGCACATGCGTGCGAATGCGAGACTGAAGGGGGGGGGGGCAATCCGGGCACTCAAGCCCTCAGAGCCAGGCTAGCATGCCTGACCACCTAGCACATAAGGCTAGGGCTAGCCAGCTGTGCATGCTCATCGTGCTAGTCGAGTCGCTCCAACGGCCCTGTGCTAGTGGAGGCGGCACTTTGGGTCCAACGCGGGCGCTGCGGGGTGGAACGGTTGCGATCCGGCCTCTCGTGCGCCTGCCCAACGCCCAGAGTTGACTCAGGTGACCTCGGTGGCGCAATCCAAAAGGCGGGATTGGCGGCGAACCCATGGCCTAGAGCTGGAAAGCCTGGGACGGTAGAGAAGGAAGGATGCGGTCAGCACACGGTAGCACTCGGCTGGTCTGCGTGGTAGCCTAGCGGAAGCGACAGGGGACGAGAGACAAAGCAGCTGCCTCGTGGTTTGCCATGGTGTGTTGTGGTGTGGGTGGAAACCTTGGAAGGCGGGCCTGCAAGGCAGGCAGGTGCAGTGCAAGCAAGGGCACGACTGGTTCTTGCCAAGAGAAGGATTTACTTCCAAGTGGCTCAGTCAGCCCCAGTCCTCCAGTTTCCACTCTCCCCAAAAATATCTCTTTTTCGGATGGTTCCCGGTATCTCTTCACAATGAATTGGCTCTGGTTTCTAGATGTGCTGGTCTGTAGCTCAACGTGGTCGTCAGTCGGTCAGTCTGGCAGCTGGACTACAATCTCCAGCCTCGTCCCTGACCACGCCTCACTTCAGAAAACCTGATTGCTGCATCCGGAAGGTCACACCAACTCTATGATTATGCCGTCAGCCTCCCAGCCTGCTTTACTGATTGATGGTTGCCGTAAGACTGCATGGCCCCACCAAAAAGATTATTGAGCCTCTTCTGGGCGATTGACACCACCCGCACAGGCCGGCCATCCCCCGTAGATTGGCTTCCGCGTATCCGATTCACCAGCCGAGAGACGCTCATCTGCTGCTGAGCCGTGTTTGTCCCCGATGTTGCAACCCGGCCCTGCAGCAAGCCTGCTTCATTAGCTATTGGGTGAGGAATGAGACATGCGCAGTCATACATGCTGGGGGAGTCTGACTTACAAGAACCTGCCGCCACGAGTGACATGTCCCTTTCGCTACAGTCGGCTCGTAATGATGATCGTACGGTATCCCTCCGGCAGTAATGACTGCCTGCTGGCGGCTTCGGGCAGATGCGCAAGTACCGTGCAACAGAGCATCTGGGCCCGATTTCATGGACCATGTGTAGCGTCCATGCCTCACGTAGTCTCTGACTGTGCAAGTCTCTGGCACATGTGCCCCCTCGAACTGAGACCTCACCAGCTCAGCGCGTCATTCGCGACTTTGGCATCGGGCTGAGAAGGTGCCACAGCTTTGACCCTGGCCACCGGCTCAGCAGCGGTGTCCTCCTCGTCCCGGCGCTGCAGGAGAGGCACCTGCTCCTCGAGTCCCCACCTCTGCATCTGCGCCTCGACCGTGGCAGTCCACCTCCTCACGAGCGGGTGGGCATCGGCCACGTGCGAGAAGACGACCTCGTCGTCATCCGCCTGGCCGCCCCGGGACCCGACCTCGTACTTCCACGTCCCGTCCGAGTCCCAGTAATCTGGACTGAACACAGCCTGTACGTCCAGCTCCCCTCGCGCCTCCGCCAGTAGCCTGCCCGCCTCGGCGTGGGCCGCGGCGAGGGAGGGGTCCCTGCTCAGCGCAGCGGCGACGCCCTCCAGCACGCCCAGCAGGTAGCCGACTTTCAAACCGATCGTCGCGCCCAGCCCGAATCCCTCGTCGAACCCGGCCTGGATGCTGGTGCCCTTAGCCACCGTGATGCCCTCGCGGTAGCCCGCCGTCGTGTGCTCCTGCCGCAGCCGGTGGATGTCCGACGGGTGGTTTTGCGCCGCTGGATTTGCCTCGCGGGCAATCCGTATGTGCTCATCGTCGCCCTCAAACACATCGTCGCCGTCGGAGCCGAACACGTCGTCGAGCGGGTCGGTCCGCGGGGCGGCGTCCTGGGTATGTCCGGGTGAGCCCATGGCCGCTGCCGAGATGCAGCCGTCCACGTCTGCTGGCTCTGACTGCCTGAGGAGCATCCTTCCCTTCCGAGCTTAATCCTGTGCCGTTATGGTCAAGGTTCCTGGTGCTATGCTTGAGCTGGTGCGGGTTGAGATGAAAATTTTAGAGTGTGGTCCGGTTTGCAGATTGAAGACTGGATGAATCATCCTCGCAGCTGATGACTAATGACAACCTCGGGATTATAACCAAAGTCAATCGCCACAGTATTCACCTCACGATGATTGGGATAGTGGCATGGCTTCATGTTTACATATTTTCATTATTTTTGCCTTTGTAAACATAATTCAAGCGTCTTGTAGCATTGAATTGTTTGTAAGTCGTACCGAACAGCAGCTTCGCCTTCGACTGTTTCTGTGTGACAACGTCCGTTCCCTCATTGGGCTATCTTGCATTTTGATTTCCCTTGCCTTTATCGCTGCACAGGTTATGAGGATAATTGAGGTGATTATTATTACTGCCAAGTCTATAGAATAAGCCCTTAGCTGACATGGATCGGGTGTAATTTCATCCATCATGGTTCCTCTCCTGCTCCACTGACCCAGTATTCGCATCCACAAAGACAAGGCGCCCTCGTCGGCTTTCAGCTATTCATGAAAGCTATAGTACAACTTAAAGTTACTGTACGATATTATGACTAGCGAGGCGTGTGAATGTTGGAAAGTCCCGGTGGCCGCTATGACCCCTTGGTGGAAGGGAAGCACAGCGATCTCACTAGCCAGGACGGCACGGCGAGCCCATGGACGGTCCGTGGCCAAATGCCCCGGCACAGTCATGAACACAAGAGCCACAAAATGGTGTGCCCCGATAACATGGCTCTCGGCCTGCAACACGCTAGAAGCTCCCACGAACAGAGCAACGACCACGCCAGATACTCTTCTCAGACCCTTTTGGTGTCGTTCTGCAGAAGATCCATGGCGTGGCAGTGTTGTCGAGGTGAAAACCCACTCTTTCACAACAGATCCCAGAATGGCGAAGGTGGCGGAAGGAAGTCTGACGGCGAAGGTGGCAGATTCAACTAGAATTCCAACCGGACGTTGAAGGAGGGCGGTCGCACCTGGGCGAGGTACGCACTCAGATGGCCATCGTTGTCGATTTCCACTGGAATATACTGCCCCGGAATCCCCGGCATCTTGAACAACCCTTCTACTCTTAGGCATGTTGAGCCTGGGAACCTCTGTTCGGCGATCTGGCGGAGTTCATCCAACGACTGGGAGGTCAAGAAGACGATGGTGGGTCCAACACTTGGGTCGATATTCCCCGGGCTGATCGGCTGGAGATATACCGGTCTAGGTCCAGTATCTGTGATAGGTGCCGTCTGGAACACGACTGGGGGTGCCGGATCGAACGGTGACGGAGCTTCCATGGGCGACGGGCCTGCAAGGAAATGTTGGTGAGGGTTGACAAACGGGTTTGGGGGATTTGGATCCAGGAGCATTGACGATCCAAGATGGGGATCCATAGGTACTTGTAGGTCCATCTGCGGACCGAGGAGGTGTTGGTCGGAAATCAGACGACTTGTGTGGGCGTGCCCGTGGTGGCTCGTATCGGCACTGGGCGGAACAAGCATCTGGGCACCGAATCCAGAGACGTCCTCGCCCATGTTGTCCATGACAGCAGCATCCTCCTGGTAGTCTTCACCCGCCGCAGGCCCTTCAGAGGACCTTGCTCTGGTCTGCTTAGAACCCTTGCCTCGACTTTGGTCATCCCTCAAGCGCTTCATAACGTCTCTTGCCAGCGCTTCCACGGCCCTTGTCTTCATGTCGTAGCTTTGCGCATCGTCAAGCCTGGTCAATATTCTCTTCAGCATGTCGGACTCGTCGATCCATCTCTGCTTGAGCTCCTTCCAGCGCTGAGCCCCCATAGCCACTTTCGAGGTGAAGCCATCCGCTTGCAGTATCTTGTAGAATGCTGAGCGCACTCTCCTGGACTCCTCTGGATTCAAGCCAAGGATGTTTTTCGCATCTGCTAGCAACATTTCCTTGTCGCCTCCAGAACGCATACGCTTAGTGACGTCTGAGCATATAACATCAAGCGCGAGCTTCTTCCTGTCCAGGTTCTCCTTGCTGACCCACAAGGCGTCCCGAAGTTGTTGGAATTCGCCAATCAGGCTCTGTTTCGCTGATTCCCATGCTTCAGGACCGGCCACTGTCTTCTTCGTGATACCCGCGCCTTCACAAAGGGCCTGAAACTTGTCCCGAACAGCAGTATAGGCCGCTTTATCAAGCCCCAGGATCACTTGACTCTCACCGAGTGTTGTTTCGGACGGAAAGCGAGGTGGCCCGGGTGGATCAGCAGGCATCCCGGCATACTGCCTCGTGCGCCGGCGGCGTTTCTTATTAGCCCACAGCTCGGCAGATTCGGCTTGCATTTTCCGGTTGCGCTCCTCCTTGAGTTGCGACGCTAGGTCAGGCCCGCCAGGAAGGCTATACGATGGGTGTTGCATGGCCATCTGTAGCTTGTCATCATCTTCCTCATCCTCGCCATTGCTGGCCCCAGCGTGCGGGGACAGGTCGGCCCCATCCTTGGTCTTGCCGGTTGGCACACGGAGCAGCCATCTATGCTTGCTGCGCACGCGGTTCAGCTCGCGGGACTTGATGTGGTAGCCGTCCTCGTCGTTGAGGATGTGCAGCATCTCGGCCTGGGAGAGGTTGCGCTCCCATAGCTCCTTGATGCGGGCGACAAGCTGGTCATTCTTAAGAGCCGGCTGGTGTTTTGAAGGGAATTTCCATCGTCGGAACTGAGACTGATATGCGCGTTTACTGTAACGGACAGACGATATCAGTACAAAATGAAATGCGGAAATGAGTGGGCATTCGGACGAGGAGACGCGGCTCCGGACATGAGACGGCACTGAGAACCTGGATGGTCACTGAGGTCGCCGTGCTTGGTGGCCGGCGTGAGCCTCTACGGCAGGGGACAAGACGTCCCGAGGCAGTCCGGAAGTGAGCCGTCGCCGTGCCGGATGTTGCCCGAAGTGCAAGCAAGCACGACATGGGCCGTGAACGTACCTAGGTGCGAAGTCGTGGTTTGTCCGCATATACGAAATGATGTCTTCAACGGATCGCTTTTCGTCCACATAAAGCCTGTTCAGAGTGTCTCTATGTGCTTCCCAGTCGTACACCATCGTGTGCTGTATCGTGGTCAGAGTACCTCTCGCTTACCGCTTGCAGACTGAGCACCTTGATGTCGCGTCGGCGAGCCCGAACTTGCACTTGCACACCTGGTCTATCCCGCCGCCCAGACTTGGCGTTGTGTTTACTCCACCGCCAGCTGGGTTGCAGCTGGTGGAGCTTCTTATCGATAACCGACAGTTGTTCGAAATTTCTCGACTGTCAATACCGGCAGAACCGAACATTACTTTGTACACCAACGACTGATTACAATGCTGCTGTCAATCTCGGATTGGCTCATTCACCTCTCACAACTTCCCTGCTACCACTTTATTTGGTGAACCTCGGCTGGCGACGGTCATATCACGCCTTCGCTGGACAAAAGACTGCGCCCATAACTTTGCGCAGGCCCCCGAAGGCCACCCAGTACACAGTATGGATATCTTCAGGGCTCTGTCGCTTGGCACGACTGTGAGGAAGGGAGGCAAGTCGGCACCTGGCGGCACACTCCCCTCAGCCGGGAGCAGAGCGAACGCGCAACTTTACCATGACGACGTCGGGACAACGAGGGGCACCAAGAGAAAGAGGGCAGATCAAGGTGGAGATGATGAAAGCGACGAGGATGACGCAAGCAGTCTGGACTTCTTCGCCCCAAAGGAACACACGAAAGGCGCCAAGAAAGTCTCTGCGCAGCCCAAACCAGCGCAGAAGCCCGAGCCGTTACGGAAAGCGAAACTCTTGGACGAGGACGAATGCAAGCAGATCTTGCGATCGCACCGCTTGAAGTTTACACTCCTATCAGCAGGAGCTGACAAGAAATCGAAGGTCAAAAAAAGCAAGAAGAAGGCAAAAGCATCAGCCAAGGAGACAAAATCAGAAAAGAAACAGCTGTTCCCGCAGCCTCTGCAGACTTTTGGCGAGCTGAGGTCTACCTACAACATTTCACCCCGGCTGGCGGACAACATAGATGCTCAAGGATATCGAGAACCGACGGAAGTGCAGATGGCTGGCCTGCCTCTGCTGCTTGACCCTGCGCGAGCTCTTGGGACGGCCTTGGGCGAGGATGTACCAGTCGAGTCGGTCGACTTCATGGGGGTGGCTCCCACCGGCAGCGGAAAGACTGTCAGCTTCTTGATTCCTGCCATAAACAGCATAATGAAGAGGCGGGCCGGATCCGAGGAGCGCAAGGCACACGACCTGGAAGCGATCATAGTTGCGCCAACAAGGGAGCTGGCGAATCAAATACACAACGAGGGCCTCAAGCTGACTGCGGGCACGGGTGTCAAGATGGCGATTATGAGAAAGGGCATGCGAATAGTCACGGAGGATGGGATTGCCGAGATCGAGGAGAAGGGAAGTGAGAACGAGTCTTCCGAGGACAGCGAAGAGGAAGACTCAGACTCGGGGAGCGACGAAGACGACTCGACTAAGCCGGTTACGAAAGCCGACATACTCGTGACGACGCCAATGCTGCTGCTCAACTTCCTCAACAGAGGAAAGTGGAAACGGGCAATCCCATCTGTCAAGTCCCTCATTCTTGACGAGGCCGACGTGCTCCTGGACGAGCTCTTTCGGGACCAGACCATCGGTATCTGGCAGGCTTGTACAAACCCAGAGCTACACCTCACTTTCTGGTCTGCGACGATGGGGTCCAACATCGAAACTCTCGCCACAGACCAGCTGAAATCTCACTACAAACAACGAGGCACCGCACCCAAGCCTCTCATCCGCTTAGTTGTTGGACTGAAGGACACAGCGGTGCCGAATGTGACGCACAAACTCACGTACACTGCCACAGAACCCGGGAAACTATATGCCTTGCGCCAACTTCTTCATCCTGTCTCGGGGTCTGAGGAGGGCCCGTCTCTCCGGCCACCGTTCATTGTTTTTACCCAGACAATCGAGCGTGCCACTGCTCTACACGATGAGTTGAAGTATGACATCCCAATCGAGGCGGGCGGCTCAGCCCGCATCGCCGTGCTCCACTCGTCGCTGTCAGACTCTGTCCGCTCCAACATCATGCGCCGTTTCCGCCTCGGCGAGATCTGGGTGCTTATCACGACGGACGTGCTGGCGCGAGGAGTCGACTTCGCAGGCGTCAACGGCGTGGTCAACTATGATGTGCCCACGAGTGCTGCAGCATACGTGCACCGGGCCGGACGAACTGGACGGGCTGGGCGCGAGGGCGGTGTGGCAGTGACGCTGTACACAAAGGACGACATGCCGTATATCAAGACCTTTGCAAATGTTATTGCGATGAGCGAGAAGCAGGCGGGCAAGGAAGAATCAAGGGTTCTGAGGGCACTGCTGGATGCGCTGCCGGACGTGAAGAAAGAGGACAAGAAGAAGCTCAAGACCAGGGGTGTGGAGACCCGAAGAACAGGGACCGCGATGATCACTTCGAAGAGTGCTTGGGAGAGGAAGAAGGAGCATAACCGGAAAGAGGCCATCAAGGAGAGCCGAAAGAGGAAGACTGGTTAATCGTGCCACTGGGCCTCCTTCTCGCCGGACGTCTGTAAGACAGCAAATGCACAAAGTCTTCTAGATACACAGGAGTGCAGAGGACCTGCCCAAAACAGTTGAACCAACCTTGAGCATGGAGAGAATGCCAGGTCTGAGGAACATGGTGGAAATATGAGAAATCATTTGTCAAATGGAAACCTCCAGGACCTCCCTAGTTAACCTGGAGTCACTGCTCTGATCGCTCAACGCCCACATTCCCTACCCCGTCCGTACCCCGTCCGTCCGTGGTCCTCAAGCCTGCGTTCCAGGCGTGACCGACCCACCGCCCGAGAGTGCGATCGTCCCGTTCGCCAGCCACCCATTGAGCAGCGCACCCGCATTATAATACACATTAAGCCCACCGCTCTCGATATTCGCCAGGGTCCCATCCGCATCCGTAAGGTTCTGGACGTACGAGTCCGCGGTCAGCGTCCAGTTGCTCGTGGCGTCCAGCGCGACGTCGACGGGCGACTCGCCGAACCCGGAGTACGCGGCACCCTCCCGGCTGCTGTGGGACGTCAGGTTCCAGGAGATGTACGAGCCGTTGTACGCGACGAGGTCGCCTGCCAGCGTCGACTCGGCGACGGCGATGCTCACCTCGGCGGGGGCGAGGGCCGAGTTGTCCCGCGTACGAGGCGTAGTAGTCGAAGTCCTGCGTGATCTGGGAGTAGTTCGCGACGACGAGCGGCGCGCCGTCGGCGAGGTCGACCTGCACGCTGGACAGCCGCACGCCGGCGATGGTGTCGCCGAACCACAGGCCCGGCACGTCCGCGCCGGTGGTCGCGATGCGGCTGTCGCTGATGTCGACGCTGGCTCCGGACAGGCGCACCTGGCTGCTGAAGATGACGAGCCCGCCGAGCAGGCCCGCGGTGCAGTCGCTGTTGGCGATGCTGACGTTCTGGGCGCCGTCCATGAACACCACGGGGCCCTTCTCCGACACCGACAGGACGTTGTCGGCGAAGATCTCGCCGAGGGCGTAGGAGGTCGCCGAGCCGATGCCCGCTGTGTGCGCGACGCTGTCGCTCACGTAGATGATGCCCTTGGGCGAGTCGCCCGAGAAGGCGGAGCTGCGGTAGCCGCCGGAGAAGTGGGCGATGCTGCTGCCGTAGATGGTGGCGTTGCCGCTCGCGTACAGGCCGTGGGAGACCGGGCCGGATGAGTACAGCCATGGGTTGGTCACGTTGACGACGGTGTCTGTGCCGTAGGCGTACACGTTCGCCGCGCCGTTGTGCACGGTCACGTTCACGTGGTCGAGGGACGCTGTTGATGCATTTGCCTGTGAGTTGTCAGATTAGCAAAGCATGCCACGAGAAGGGAAATGGGGATAATAGGAATGAGTTGATCAGTGCCGGCTCTGAGGGTGGTGATGTGGGAACGTACCACATTGGTGGCAGCATTGAAGCCCCAGAAGCTGGCGGAGAGCAGATCTGAGGCGTACCCATACTTGACCACATCCACATACGACAGGCCAAGGTCTGCCCCTCCAGCAACGAGGATGACACTTGTGTCATTGGCGTCCGCAGAATAGGTCTCATGGTCGATGGAGGTGCTGTTCTCATCGAATGTGTTCACAGCCACGACTATTCACCGCATGCCGCTTGAGTTGGCTGAATGACCATACCATGTTTGAGAGGAACACCATGTTGACGGTTCGCAAGAAAGAAATGAGACCCACTGTCCGAAGGTTGGTACTCGAGGAAGGGGACATTGTAGTCGGGGACTATGGCATTGTCTTCCACCCAGTCGCTGGCAGGGATCACATCGGATGGGATCTCCAAGGGTGACCGAGGCAAGGGCTGCTCTGGCGGCGAGGACGCCTAGCGGCTGGATGAAACGAAAGGACATCATTCTCGCTGTGTCTAATAACCTATCTCAACAGGCTGAGATGAACGAGCGGAAGGTACGTGAGGCAGAACACCACCAAAGCTTGGCCGGTGGATGGCAGGCCTCACACCTCAGCATTCTCGACATCTACGTCGTTATATTTATACAATTCGATTACCCCGGATTTCTCGTCGGGGACGTGATACCCTTGTCGGTTCTTCTTTTATTTCCCCACGGGGTTGTAGCCCGCCGTGGCCCCCCTTGCAGGACCGGATGCATGGTGGAGTAGCGTGCGTTGGGCTTGCAACGTTGGTGTGGTCTGCCATGCAGGGACGGGATGTGAGGTGCCATTGACGTTGACATCCCGAGGTTGGGCTTGCGTGGGCTTGCGTAAGCTGGCAAGACCGTCACGAGAAGTAGACTGGAGTCTGCTAGAATGGAAGCCGTGATGAGAATCATCGCAGGCAGAGTGGTACATGGCATGGATAAATATTCATCTCGGGACCTCTGCGTTCCTCGAATATCAAGTAGACTAATTGACTTTCGGCGAGAATGCAGAATCCATGGTGGGCCCCTGAACTTGCTGCGTGAGAGTCCCTGCGGATAAGCATTAATACTTATCAACAGCAAACAACGCATAGTCCTGTAATAAGGTCGTGATGAACAGTGACATGGAAAATGTGATATCATTCAACAGCCAGTAGACGTGCTCTCAGTTGATTGCCTTCTCTCCTCCCCCGCCAGTAACAAAACCCACATCCCTTCCGCACCCCCTGGAAATAAGCACATCACAAGCCGCATCTAGTAAGGCTTGTAAGCCCACCCCCTCGGATCCAGCACCACCTCAGCCCCCACCTGCCCGAACGTCCCAACCGCGACCGCCAGGTCGTGATACCCCTCGAGGCCGGTGACGGGCAGGTCCGTCTCCGCGTCGAGGGACTCGTGCAGGTTCCAGCGCCCGTCCAGCTTGCCGTTCCTCGTGAAGAAGACCTCCGTCTCGATGACTGTCCCCGCTCCTGCTCCTGCCCCCCCACTTCCTTTCCCCTTCTTCTCGGAGGAGGAGGAGGTGGCCGCCCCAGCGCCAGGGGAGAAGGTCATCCCGATGCCCACGACCTCGCCCTTCCTGAAGGGCGCGGTGAAGTCCTTGCCTCCCCACCGGTCGTTGACGAACTTGTGCCCGTCGTCGCCGTGGACGGCCAGGCTCCCGCGGTGCCAGCCTGGCATGCTGCAGCATTTATGATTAGTGACCAGAGCTTTCATGATGAAAAAGTTTTGGCGATGTGAAAGAGAGCCAGGCCATCATGTGGCCTACAGCCCGCCTCAAAAGCTCCAGTCTGATGAATGGAAGCTTCCAGGCAAGCAGTGAAGCAGGCCGCGGATGGACATATATCCCTCCTGCAATGGCCCCAACTGAGACATCAAGAAAGCAACTCACCGGAACGGCGGATAAGGCAACGCAGTAAACCCCACCGCAAACCCAGCATCCCTCCCCATCTCGCGCACGTAGGCCTCAAAGTAGACCGTCGCCGGCCTCCCCGTGGCAAGCGGGCTGTCCCTCTGCACAAGGTACGCATGCGGGTACCCAATGATGCAACAGTCCCCATTCCGCTTGTCGCTCCTCACCGCCCAGCTGCCCGAAGACGCAGACTGCGTCAGCGTGCTCCCGCTGGACCCAAACACACCCGCCGGGGGCGTGATCAGCCGCGGCACGATCCCCCGCTGCCGCAGCCCCGGGTCGGCGCGGTTCAGGTCGGTTGGCGGGGACAAGGGGTACCGCCTGCACCAGGCCTCGCCCGCGTCGGCCTGGTCCGCGGACGCGTTGGTGGCCGGGGAGTGGTCCCAGCCCGAGAAGATGTCTGGTGGGGGCGGGAACCCCGACGTGTCCGGGACGGCCTCCTGCCAGTTGTGCTGGGGCTGTTGCTGCTGTTGCTGTGTGGGAGGGGGGCCAGGTGGCGGGGCGAAGTCATCGTCGGCGGCGGGCTTCTTGCCGTGCTGCTGCTGCTGCTGAGAGGGCGGCGGGCCTGGAGGTGGTGCATAGTCGCCCCCGGGGCCCTGCTGCTGCTGCTGGCCGTAGGATGGCGGGGGCCCCGGGGGCGGGGCGTAGTCTCCCTGGCCCGGTCCGGATCCGGCGCCGGCGTAAGAGGGGGGCGGCCCTGCTGGCGGGGGCACGTCGTCCACGTTGTTGTTGGACGAGTGGCTCCGGAAGGGGTTGTTGGATTTGAGAGAACTGAAGCCCATGTTGAATGTGAGAGTTTGAGGAAGACTGGTGGGGCAGCTGGTAGTGTCGGTTCGTATGTTTGGGAGAAGATGGACAGATGCCGAGTTCGTTCGTTTTGTTCCCCGTTGTTTGTGTGAGCGATGTTTGTTTCAGGTTTGAGCGGCCCCAAAACAGCACACAAACACTTAGCCCAGCAGGGCACTTCTCTTCGACTCACTTTAAGACACTGCGATGAGCACGGCAATCTGATTCAGGTGACTTGAGGCCGCCCGGATGACGATGGTCTTTCAGTGATGAGGATCGCGGGAGGCTGTGTAACACCAAAACGCCGCCAAGCTAATCCTCATGAGACCCGCCACCAATCAAGACAAAGCGGGCTTCCGCGCTTACAACTTCGTTGTTCGATCCGCTTTCTAGAAATACGCCAATACGCCTGTCACTGATTGAGAACTAAACAAGCTCTTCATACTCGATGGAGCGCTAATTTGGCAGCCAATGGTCACTTTGCCATTCTGTCCAGTGCGCAGGCCTACGTGTACATTCATCACGGAATGATGGAAAAGACGTCATTTGTTTAGCGAGCGACTTCAGTTAGATTTTATGTGTCAATCAAATATGAGCAGCCCAACAGTCTGGCCGCATCGTGGGCCTGTCCATACCCTCATCACAGATGAGTTGGACATCTGTTCAGTTCCAAAAGAAAAGAAAAATCCATCTCCACCGTGAAGCCAGACCAAGAAACGTGGCCGGCGGTCCAATCTGTCTCCAAGTTTCCCATCATGAATATGATGACTTTTCAGTCACTATATCGCATGACAATCGCCATCCCATCCTTCTCTTCCCCGCAAGTCCTTTTGTAGATCTCCACTACCCCCAGACACTGGCGTCTTTGGCGTTGGGATAAAAGAACGCAGCCAGAGCAATGATCACGTACGTAGTACACAGTAGCGCACCCTCCAGGTAGTTGCTGCGGCCGTCGAGGACGAGAAAGTTGGCGATAAAGGCCGACACGAACAGGCACACCGTCTCGAAGAGCGTGAAGTAGAGCGTCATCTCCTTCTGCATGATCCAGCCCAGGATGACCGTCAGCGGCGTAATGAACAGGGCGATCTGGATCGAGCTGCCGACAGCGACACCAATGGCAAGGTCCATCTTGTTCTTCATGGCCACCGTGATGGCCGTGACGTGCTCGGCTGCGTTTCCCACGATGGGCAGGACGATCAGACCGATGAAGGCCTCGCTGATCGTGCTGGTCTCAACGAGTCCGTTGATAGAGTCGACCATGAACTCGGCACACAGCGCTACCAGACCCGTCGAGGCGAGCAGCAGGATGACCGCACTCGTCCGAGATAAGTCGTCCGCGTAGGGGTCCTCGGCTGCCTCCTCGGCCACAGCGATCGCGGGCATGGCTCTGGCCGGGATCTGAGACGGCAGCATCGCTCCAGGGGGGCGGAGCTCCGTGTTGAGGCGACCCGGAAGCGAGTTCGTTCTGCGGATACCATACCGGACACGAGGGATCGGGCCGGTCGTCGCTGCAGGCATCCCCGCCTGATTGGTCTGCTGGGTGAAGACGGTCGGAGCCAGGCTCTTGGCCGTGGGCTTCAGGGACAGCAGGGCATCAAATGGTCTCCTAACCAGAGCAGGCTCTCCAGCTGTACCTTCAGCGTTCCCAGGGACTGTATCAAGGGCAAAGTCCACACGCCGGGGCTCGCCAGGAGTCGAGGTAGTTTTCTCCACATTTTCCGGGCTTTCGTCGATCGTCTCCTCAGCCGGACTGTTCGTGCCATGAGTGTGAGACCGGTACTTCTTGTGGTGCTTGCGATCGCGCTTGGAGCGTTTGTGGTGCTTCCTCCGGTATCGACGATGCGATCTATCGTCTTCGATAGCCGACTCGTCGCCCTCAAAGGAGATGGTCCTGCCGAAAACACCCGGTCGGGCCTGATGCTCTCCGGGTGGCCCGTCCTCGTTGGTGGGGCTGACCGTGGTCCCGAGGGACGGTGTACTCCGAAGTGGGCCAGTCTGTGCAGTCTCCACCGTATCCATCGAGGCAACACTGGACTTGCGACGGCGCCCATGACGTACCATGCGCTTCACACGCTTCGAGACGGTGTCCCGCGATTGCCCGGATGAATCCGAGTCGGACGAGGAAGAGGAGCTGTCGTCAGAGCTGGAGGAGTCGAACCACGCGACCGCCGGGCCGGGAGTGGATTCCGCATCGATGACATCTTGTGGCGTTGACTCGTACATGTAGGCATGGGACTTCAGCTGGAAGACCAGATATATGATGTACACCAGGAGTAACACCTAGGGGAATCATGAGCTGTCAGCGACTGCATGGGGAGGAGGGGTCATTCTATCCAACTTACCACGCTGGTACCTCGACTGATGATGAGAGACTGCTCGTCTGCTTTGTCGTTATCACTGAAAGAGGCATGGAAGGCGGTCTAAAGACACCAATCAGTGGGGGCAATTGTTAAATCGCAGCCATGGCAGAACAAACCGGCAAAACGAGACTGATGACACTCAGACTTAGCAGGCAGGCGCTCATCTGCGTCACGGTGCTATTGTAGATCTGGAAGAGGGGATGGTCAGTACAACGGTCAATTAGAGAAATTTGAGGACTGTATTACCTGCTCGCGGAAGCGTAGACCTCCCAAGACGAAGCACATGCCCAGGATGAGAAGCAGGTTCGCCAAGATAGACCCCAGAAGGGATGCTTGGACAATACGGATTTCATCCTGATGACCGCCGTTAGCCGTGGCCACACGTGACAGATCCTAGAAAGGACGGAGACTCACCTTTACAAGAGCAATGCTGTAGCGTTGGACAAGGAGTGTTAGTGAGCAAGATGAGGAGGGGATCATGGGTGGGCCACAGGCACGCTCGGAAACAGCGGCAGGGACAGGCGGGCGGGCACTCATGGGTCAAGGATATGGGACGCGATTTGATTTGATAATGCCCATAAAAGGCTTCTCTCTTCTGTCTCTTGTCTTGATCACTTTAGCAAGGCGGACATACATGCTGCAGAAATGGTTAGCAACCGTGTATACAAGTCCTAGACCGGGAGCCGGCTGGTTGGGAGAATAGGAACTCGTGTCCCAGCAGGAACAAAACGGCAAGCTCCATTCCCTCCCGACCAGACGGCAACCTGGCACATGTTGTGCAATCACGTACAAGATGATGAGTTCCACAGCATTGCCAAAGGTGATATTCATCAGGGCACCGATGGCGTCGCCGAAGCGATGGGCCACTGTCTCGGTCGCGTGGCTGAGGAGGCCGGCGAGCGGGATGATGGCGATGGCATTCATTGCAAAGATCACACCGGGGCTCATGCCAGGTACGAAGTTGACGGCGATGCCGACGGGGACGAAGACCAGCAGGACGTTGATCCAGCTGTGGAAGATGACCTTCCTGAAGACATGGACGAAGCGCCTGAGGACATTGGGCTTTTCCTTAGCCTTGTCCTCGCCTGTGTCTGTCCCGTTTTCTTCTGACTTTTCGTTCTGGGAGGGGGGCCCGGAATCTAACTGAGACCCCTTCCGTGAAGCCTGCGGTGACTTATCGGCAGGCAGGCCTCCTCCAGGACCGTTATGCGGCCCATTGTCTTTTGAGGAGAAGCTACTGCCGCCTGCGCCGCCGTTGGCATCGACGCCGAGACCGAGGCCGACATGACTGCTGCTGGAAGGCTGGAGGACGGCATGGTCGCTGGCCTTGGCGTTGTGACTGCTCGCGGAGGTGTCGAGAGTCGAGTTGGTACGGTTTGTAGGGTTGTTAGTTATGGGAAGAAGGTCTGGGTTGGAGTTGGGAGTCGCTCGTCTCGCCGTGCTACGGTTGCCGCCATGAACTTTGGATTGTGCCCAAGAACGAAGGCGATCTATATACGGTTCGTCAGGTGAAGTTTCCTTCATCGAAGTTCGTTTGGCAGGTCGAGGCAGAGATTAAGCACGACTGGAGCGTGTTGTCTAGATGGGGGGATGTGTGTATGTGTGGGCGTGGGTTTTGCTGGAGGGCAAAAGGCTGGGTTGAGGAACGAAGGGGGAAGGAAAAGAAGCCAGATAACGACAACTAAGTGGTGGCTACTTTATATGGGATAGGTGAGTTTCACGCAATCGCAATCGACGGAGGGAGGGAGGCACAAGCACTAGCACAAGCACGAGCTACTGCAGGCGTGGGGACCCCTGGGGGGGCAGGCTGGCAGGGGGACGGGGGCAAGAGACACCCGCCCACCCGTCTCCACCGGCTCGACGGTCACTACAGCCCTGCCCCAGCCAAGTGGATTCGTACTCGCCCTAAAGCGGTATGGGCTAGTGATAGTGCACTCCAGCAGCTCTCCCATCGACCCCTGCCGGATGCTCAGTTGACCTGTGACGGGGCCTCGAAACGGCATCATCATCCGCGCCAAATCCGTCCATCATCATGTCCAACCTCACCACAGAGGGAAGGCCACTCAGTCCATCGACTGACTACCTCATCTGGACGTATGGAGCACCACCCACCGGTGAGATGAAGAGGGACGCCGAATGTCACGGTTTAGCCATTCATGACGCAAACCGGAGAAGTGCCGTGCACCTCTCCTCATTCGCCCGTGTGCTACAACGGAACATACAGTACATGATGGCATCGACCATCGAAACAAAAGCATTGTCGCTTCCACCTGCACTTCAAGCAAGCAAGCCATCAAAAAGAGGGATATCCCAGCCGAGATCGACAGACTCTCCAGTTGAGCTATCACCTCCTCGACCATCCAGCCCATCAAAGCGGCACGGCAGCCACGGCACTCCGCAACTATCGCGACACGGACCGGACGCTCCTGCGACGGTCCATCAGCACGTGCCCGCATGGGGGGTCGGTCTACCGCCCATCTGATAGTCAAATACTGTAGTGCGTGCAACGGCCACACATACGACACGCAATGCAGGGCAAAGCAATGCAGTGCAATCACTCGACGGGGGTGGTTTTGGCTTCGTGTTTGGTCTCAAGTCAGGGATGAGCCGCCCGCGGGGGAGCTTACTATGCATTGTACAGTACCGTCTAAACAGCTCGCTGCCACATGCCAGTTACTGCACCAGCCGCCGGCCGCTTCGGTCTCGCTTGCCGGGGATGGTGCTGCAGGATCACGTTGCATTCCGCTTCCGTTGTGTGCTTAATTCCTTGCCCTGCCCGTTTCCTCTGCCCGGTCCCCTACCTGCTTATCGCCGGGCTCGGGCATGCTGGCTCGTTGGCTGGCTCGTTGGCTGGATGATTGGGCACGTCAGCTCAACTCTCATCCCCTCCTGCTCCTCCATCCTGTCTGCCAAGCAGACCAAGCTCCAACCGGCAGGTCGACACGCTGATGCCGGTCCTAGCTCTTGGACCTTGGCCCCAAAGCTTGTTCGAGTCGTAAGAAACACGTAAGGCTGGTTAATTGTGGGTACTTCCTGGCCCAAGGAAACACACACACGCCTCCTAGTGGGGCAACCAGCTCGCGGTCGTAACAGAACGGACAGCACGCGAATCGGCAAAGCAAATGTGCAATTCACGACAAGACAGTTGGCACGATTGAGATGGTGAATTTGGAAAGTATCCACTGTAATTATACGGGCTTTTTGATAACCACACGGCAGTGCCATCTCTTCGCAGCGACTGCCACCGGCCACTGGCATCACCTCAGCGTGCTTGGTTCAACTCCAGTCCAACCAGAGGCGTGACCGCGGTGTGTGTTTCGAGACTGATGCCTCCCACACTGCCGGTGCTGTCTTCCAATCAGCCCGACAATGTCGATAGAGCCTTGGAGTATCATTTCCTTGACTATAATATTTGTGTTGTGATCACGCTCTAATTCTCTCTGAGTGACTTTAATCTTGAACATGGCCTCTAAACGCACCGTGGCAGCGTCAAGAACATCGTCGTCGACCATACTCCAGACGATGAGTTATTTTTAACGTCACTTTGGCAGACTCGGTGGGAATAGCCTGCATATCCGGGGCATATTATACGCATCACATGCTCTTCATGCCAGTTTATTTGCTTTCATGTAGGGTTTCAGAGTCAGACAGAGTTGGATCAACAAGGAAAGTATCACTCTTCCAAATGAAATCCCGCTCATGCCTTCAGCTTCAAAACCAAACCATGGGCCTGTGAGAAACGTAGCTCAACGGTGACTCATTCCCACGTTTGTTGAGGGCAAACATCACGCGTCTGATGTCCGAACTCTGCTATGCACTGAGGATGATGCGTGCACTCATACAGATCCCTCATGGAACGTACTCCCCAAAGACTTTGCTGCAGGAGTGCCGACCTCGTAAATCGATGTCAATTTACGAGGTCTTAGAAGATGACAAAACAGGGCTGGGTTGCCGCGCTGATGCTTTCGTTTGCGCTCATGCCCGCCGCTCGTGACTGCCGGCTTATACGTGAGTGAGTGGCAAGCTAGCCTTCACTCTGAGAGAACAATCCGTACGACTGATTCACGATCGAAGGTATGAGCTTTGGATGTATTGACCTCGGTACTAGAGTTCCCATTGCCACCAACCAAAATAATCGGCTCCTCAGCGTGTCAGGAACATGGAGGAGAATCAGCCCAGTTCTATGAGTTGAGTGAAGTCGCCTGCCCGCGTATCCAGAAAGGCGCTGACAGACATTGTGCTCGAAAGGAACTTTGTAGCAGACTCCGTTTGGCTACTCACAACCATGCTCGCAGAACGAAAACCCTGTTCTTGTGGATAAATGTCATAATCAAGTTTCTGGGAACACGGCACCGCACGCTTTCGCTCAAATACTGAATACTTCGTGAAAAGAAGGAGACTGCATTCGGACCCAATGTTCTACAAAACAATGATGCCAATACAGCCTAGGTTTCTGGCTTTGCGAGGCAAACTCAAGAGTCTGACGTTGTCATCTCAGTATCTCACGAGTTACCCTCCATTCCCGCGACTAAGCAGGTAAGGTCGCCACGACGGTTGCAACAAACTGTCCATCCCGAAAACTACATCACCAACGTCCAACGAAGCTTGGCGAGCATACAGTTATGTATGAACCTAAGTCGACCATTTGCCTTTGTCATTGTGGAATCCAGTCAGAAGTGTTATGTCGTCTCGCTTCGAGACATCCTGTCCTGTCACACTACCTACTTACCATGATAGACCGCCATGCAAATTCCATCACATCGTCCTCGGCATGTGGTCCGATTTCCTCCCTTCATGAAACTCTAGGATCTTCCGAGGTTGTCACTATCCCTAGATTTCCCATGCAGCACTATTTACAATTCAAGTTTTAACGCTGGGTGTTTAAGCGTTTATCACTGTATGAAGGGACTGGGTGCATATTGCTTCAGAAGCATATGTGTACAGATTAAAAACGAGACCACTTACAATTCAAGGTCAACACTTATCCGAACTCCCCGCCGGAATGAGTCCAACTGATGTAAGGAAGAGCGAGTGGGACTCGCCATCTATGAGAATGGAATGGGCCGCAAAGACCTCGAATAAAAATTGGAATCCAGGTTTTGAGAATACATAATTCTAGGCACAGATGATGCCGAAACTTCGATGACTGTGTGTACGTATGGGCGGTGGTCTGTGAGGGGAGATTTGTGCACCGGGTAGTCCAGTGAGCTGCCTGCGTATTGTCTCACGAAACGAGGAACCGGTGTTTTCACGAGAGGTCCGACAAGAGCAAGGTGAAGTCTGGATCATAGGCAGCAATATATGTGCAGCGGAAGATACTCGGAGCCCCATAGACCTTACCAATGATCAATAAGCTTTGAATGTAGGGCCTGGATTTGTTCTGAGTCGACCGTTCGATGCTCATGCTGTCTATGTGGGTCTATTATTCCCAATGGTGAGATGGTCTGCACGTCGCCAAAAGGAACTTCGGAACCGAGCTGAGATGATTCGGTGAGTAGCAAATCTGCGGTCTATCATGATGGCCTGCATGTAACCTCCGAGGGAGTACCGCCGAACTTTCTTGCGAGAATTCCCCTTACCAGGGCAGTGACATCCTGCCCGGCTGTTAGTGCTGCTCGGTCAGCCCAGATCGTCGCCGCTTGGCTGCTGGTTGTGAGGTGATACTGCGGGGAAACCGGGGCGGGATTTAAGCTTCTTTTCTCCTTTTGGGGTGAACACCACCCGCAGTGCTTGGTTTTCGGGAGGGGCTGCCCAGGCAATTCGGTCTAGCTGGAGCTTGATGCTAGGCCCAGTGCTACGCCGCTAGACCTGCACTGACGACACGCCTTTGATGCCCCCCCCCCTCATCTGCGTCGCTGTAAGTCTCGCGATACATGCAGCAATAGGTCTGCAGTCGGCCCGGTGAGATCTACTCATTAGCCCATGGCCCGATCTTGTGGCACCCAGGCACGTAACGCACTGCTCCTGCCGTGGTGGGCTTTCCCCCTTCCGGACACGACAGCCAATCCTATGACATCTCATGGACATCACTATGTGTGGAGAGACTTCCAAGGGAAGCCTCACCCCAGGAGGGGTGGCTGCCTTCTTTCGGTCAAATGCTCGCCTGGAACCTCCCTCGATATTTAAAGTCGCCGACCCGGCCCTAGTCTTCACCTTCTGCCTCTGGCTCGCACTGAGGCTAGCAGTCCCCCGCAAGCTCACCAAGTACGTGGACATGGCAGTGATGGCTTCTCTTTTGTTGACTTGGTTTCTGTTGGGAACATGTCACTCCGGGTTGGCCCAGACCCCATCATCCACACCCAGTGAAACGGGGACGACGACGAGCTATAGAGAGGTCTTCACCGTCCCCGCCGATTCTGATGTTGGACAACCCCTGCTACCGAACGTCGAGGACCCCGAGGCTGTCGATGCGCAGAGCGTCTGCCCTGGATACACGGCATCAAACGTGCAAAACACTACCACCGGCTTCACGGCAGATCTGAGCCTGGGCGGTGACGCCTGCAATGTCTACGGCAACGAGATCGAGCAGCTGACCCTGACCGTCGAGTACCAAGCCGCGGACCGTTTGCATGTGGGGATCCAGCCCCGGTACATCGGGCCTGAAAATGAGACGTGGTTCCTCCTCCCAGAAGCCATTGTCCCCAAGCCGGCGTCATCCAGTAATGGAGACACGAGCCCTGCCAGCAGCGACTTTGAGCTGTCGTGGACGAATGACCCTACATTTTCGTTCACGGTGAAGAGAAAGTCCAGCGGTGACACTCTCTTCACGACTGAGGGCAGCAAGATTGTGTACGAGGATCAGTTCATCGAATTTGTGTCGCCTCTGCCAGAAAATTACAACCTCTACGGTCTTGGTGAAGTTATGCATGGCTTCAGACTGGGAAATAACCTTACAAGTAGGCTCTCGAGATTTCTTTCATTAGGAGGATCATGGCTAATCATCAAGCAGGAACTTTCTATGCGGCGGATGTTGGAAATCCGATCGATGAGAATATTTATGGCGTGCACCCGATTTTCCTAGATACGAGGTACTTCCAGGACGTGGACGGACAACAAACCTATGTAGCAAACGCCACTGACACGTCAGCGACGTATAACACATCAACCCATGGAGTCTTCCAACGGAACGCTCATCCCCAAGAGGTCCTGCTGCGGCCAGAGGGAATCACCTGGAGAGCTCTGGGAGGCACGATCGACCTGTACTTCTACTCTGGGCCATCCGCATCAGACGTGGTCAAGTCATACCAGGTCAGCACCGTCGGCCTGCCGGCCCTCCAGCAATACTGGACTTTCGGATACCACCAGTGCAGATGGGGGTACGAGAACTGGACCAGGCTGCAGGAGGTGGTCGACAACTTCGCCGCCTCCGACATCCCCCTGGAGACGATCTGGAATGATATCGATTACATGAACCAGTACCGGGACTTCGACAACGACCAGAAGAGGTTCAGTTACGAGGAGGGCGCCGAGTTTCTCTCGAAGCTGCATGCGAATGGTCAGCACTACGTTCCGATCGTCGACTCTGCGGTTTACCACCCGAACCCGGACAATGCGAGCGATGCGTATGCGCCGTATGACCGTGGGGTCGAAGCCGGTGCTTTCATGATGAACCCAGACGAGTCACTGTATATTGGCTCAGTCTGGCCTGGGTACACTGGTGAGTCCTTCTCCGACCATGATTTGGCATTTCTTCCATCCTCAATGTGAATACTGTGTGTCAGTGAAAGCTGCAGAACACAAGAGACGCTGACGTCGAGTCCAGTCTTCCCGGACTGGGTCGGTGACTCTTTGGGCGCGACCAATGGCTCAGGCGCCTTGAGCTGGTGGAGTAACGAAATCACAAGCTGGTACCAGAACGTCTCCTTCGACGGGATCTGGATCGACATGAGCGAAGTCTCGTCCTTCTGCGTCGGCAGCTGCGGCAGTGCTAACGTCTCTCTCAACCCCGCCCACCCACCTTTTCTGCTTCCAGGCGAACCAGGTAACGGTGTATTTGGATATCCTGAAGGTTTCAATCTCACCAATGCAACCGAGGCTGCAGTGGCATCGTCAGCGAGCGCGTCACAGGCCTCTGCCTCCTCGGCGACTGCGTCAAGTTCGTCATCTACAACGACCTCGTACCTTCGCACGACGCCTACGCCTGGCGTCCGGAATGTCAACTATCCGCCCTATGTCATCAATCATGTGAGCGGCGACCTCGCAGTACATGCGGTGTCACCAAATGCAACCCATCACGGCGGTACACAGGAGTATGATTTCCATAACTTATTCGGCCACCAAATTCTCAACGCCACATACCACGGCCTCCTCAACACCCTGCCCGGCAAGCGACCATTCATCATCGGCCGCGCCACGTTCGCCGGCTCCGGCAAATGGGCCGGACATTGGGGCGGTGACAACTACAGCGTGTGGTCCTCCATGGTGCTAGCCATCTCTCAGGCGCTCTCGTTCAGCATCTTCGGCATCCCCATGTTCGGGCCCGACGTGTGCGGCTTCGCCGGTAACTCCGACCTGGAGCTGTGCAGCCGGTGGATGCAGGTCGGCGCCTTCTTCCCCTTCTACCGCAACCACAACACCCTCGGCGCGAGCTCCCAGGAGCCTTATGTGTGGAAGAGCGTGGCAGCGGCGAGCCGCTCCGCCATGGCGATACGGTATACTCTCCTCCCGTACATGTACACCCTCTTCGCGGAGGCGCACTCGACCGGCAGCACGGTCCTGCGCGCGTTGGCGTGGGAGTTCCCCGAGGAGCCGTGGCTGGCGAACGCGGACCACCAGTTCCTTCTCGGTGGGTCTGTCTTGGTCACGCCGGTCCTGACGCAAGGTGCGGAAACGGTGGATGGCGTCTTCCCCGGATCGGGCGACGGCACTACTGTGTGGTACGACTGGTACAACCAGACTGCCGTCACGGGCGTGTCGAGGGCCCAGAACGTCACCATCGACGCGCCGCTGGGCCACATTCCAGTTTACGTACGGGGCGGAAGCGTTATTCCAACCCAGCAGCCCGGTAAGACGACAGCAGAGAGTCGACAGAACCCGTGGGGCCTGCTTGTAGCACTTGACCTGCAGGGCACCGCTCAGGGGACTTTGTACCTGGACGATGGCGAGAGCTTGGAACCCAACGCCACCACTTGGGTGCAGGTACGTACTGCTGTGATTTCTTGTTGGAAACTGCCCGTGACACTAACACAAATATTCGTAGCTGTCTGCTTCCAACACCTCCGTCACTGCGCAGCCGACGGGCAACTACACGGACTCTGCCGCCCTGGGCAATGTGACAGTCCTGGGCGTGACTGGCCAAGTGTCTGACGTGACGCTCAACGGACAGTCGGTGACGGATGGTTGGTCTTGGGACAGTGCGACTCAAGTCCTCAGCATTACAGGCCTCAACAACCTGACTTCCAATGGAACGTGGAACTCAAACTGGGAGCTGCAGTGGAGCGTGTCTGGCAATGGCTCCGGCTCCGGCTCCGGCCCCGGCTCTGGCTCGGCCAACAGCAGCTCTGGCTCATCCGGCCAGGCGGGAGACGGCGACCAGTCGGCGTCCACTGGCGGTTCTGGCTATGTGCTTGTTCCTGTAGCTACCTTGGTAGCCATGCTCGTGGGTGCTTTGGTCATGTTGTGATCAGGAGAATATGCCTGCCACTCAGCGTCATCGAGGGCGATCACGGATGACGGTCATTGAATGATGCTGCTCATTGTACCTGTGTTCTTGACAAGACTGGTCACAGATTGAGGGCATAATCCTACAGGCACTACTAGTATGTCACTATGGTGCGGACAGCGCCGGCTTTCACTTCATCTCAGCGTACCTGTCCTTCGAAATCGGCCAAGTTCCATTTTCACATCACTAGAAACTAATCAATATGGTTCCACTCAAAGCTATTGTTGACCTCGATGATAAATCTGACAGTTTTCAAACTGCTATACGTTATTTCGGACAATCTCGTCATGCAGCTGAAAGGCCTTGCGGGTGCAAATGAGTGGGCAATGCGACCTGGTGATCGGTGTGCTCGGGGTTGAGTGACGTACCATCGGCAAGCACAGGTTCCTCGCGCCTCTGGGTCAAGTTTTGGGCGTGCGGTGGCCAACTAAGCTCCCTGGCCACGGCCTACTCTGCTCGAAGTACAAATACATTGGAAGAGTGATAGACTCGCAAACAGAATTGGACCGAAGAATCGTAGAGCTGGGATGACCGTCACGTTGGCCGGTGTTGAGTCTGCAGGCAAGGGTTCCAACTTGCGGTATCAGAGCGGCTATGTGGGAGTGTCGACTCTAGGGCTACGCTACTGACCCATATGAGTGACCAACCTTACAGAAAACCAATGAAAATGACCTATAGGCATGGGCATAGAAGAGGTGAGGTGAAAATCGTTGCAGGCTAAACCGAGTTCAGAAAATTTGTCAGATTGTGAGTGCAGTCAGACGAGAGATCCTGTGGTACCGACGGAAATTGGTATTCCCCCCTGAAATCAGTCAGACCGCCATGTATTAAATTTTTGAACTCTACATATGTAGACAGCATTTCAGACACGGCTATATTGTCGCGCATCCGTGTACCAATTGGTCTTCAGCAGCTTATCAGCATGTTCTATTAGAAAATGGCTACTATCCACGATCCATCCCTGATTGACCTAATCCCCTCCGAGCTGCCCGGCATCCCCGACCATGATACCACCAAAGATGATTGGGTGATTGGCATCGGAGCACAAGGCAACAACACCTTTTTCGATACACAGTGGGTACAATGCTCTTACCAGATAAGTGGTGGGTATGGGCACACACCAAGATACATCTACTACTTCCTGATCCTCTTCGCCATGTGGAAGAGGCGCACCGATTGGCTTGCGGAGGCTGCGATGGCGTCCGTCATGGTATACAGCGGCTCTGCGGCCATCCATGCCGTCGTACTAGCTGCGACAAGGGGAAAGATGGCCCCACGTTCCATGCTCCAAAACTACGGGACAGTTCGGGTAGAAGGCGCAACGACTACTGGCACTGCACCGACCTGGGACAGCAATCAAGATGAATGGATCAGTGATGGCCCGTTTGACAACAGCCTCTGGCTACCGGTCCTCCCGATGGCTTGGGACTCTGACGTCGACGCCACTCTTGCCATCGTGGGAACAGCGTTTCTGGTACTATTACCAATGCAGACCTGGTCAAGAGCACTGCGCAGGTCTCGGGTCAAGATCGTGGTCTGGCTGTGGGGTACCTTGTTGCTGACGGGCATGGTTTGTGCCTTGGTTGCGGAGCAATATATCCAAGCTTGGTACTTCGGACAGCTGCGGTTCTGTCCCACCGGAGCTCACGATAGTCTCCCTCTGATGAATGATGGGAGGCAGACCGTGGGCGGCGAATGGGACGGCTACGACGGGTACGACTGGAATCGGACGATCAAACGGCAATTCATCGACAAGACCAGCACCGAGGCCTTGAGCAATGTCTGCATCTACCCATGCTTTGATTTCGACTGGCCGCTCCGCGACAATACGGAAATTTTGGCTGTGGAACGGAACTACAACATCATATTCGTTTCTGACACGTTCTTCGTGTTGTTGATAATATGTTACTCCTTGGTAACGTCGACCGGTCTATCCAGTCTGACTATAGCAGTTCTGACCAGCCTTCCTCGACGTTGGACACTCCGTGGGCTCCGTCCACACTCGGACCAAGACGCCTTAAAACTACGCCTGATACCCCAGCAGCTTCGGTGGATCAGAGATGCCTGGAAAAATTATCATCTTGGTTGGATCGATCGAACTGCGAAAATAGCACTTTCCACTTACTTCCTCATAGTCTACGTTTACACCTTCTTTGTCAGCCCTGTGGTGGTGTTCTTCTTTGTTGGTTTCATGGAGTGGACTATCTGGGGCTCCGATCCTGGCGGTGAGACCTTCTACCACGTTGGGCAATGGAGTACTAATGTTGCATTGGCATTGGTCTTCATAGCTGCTGCTATATCTCATTATAGCAAAAGTCCGAGTCCCACTGCCACCCCTTAAGAGGTGGGAATGTCATATTCACAGGAACTTGGAGTTAAAATCGAACACTGAAAGTGGTAATATACTTGACCTGTAACGGAAGCATTGTGCTTGGTAATCCTGAAATGTGCATGCAGGTATGAATGAACTAATATTGACAGCCAGAATTCTGTTGTTTTGTCGTGTCAAAAACGAGCAAAGTCCTTTATTCGTAGCCAGTTGCTAGGTGGGAAAGAATGGTTTCTCTCTCACCTGAAGATGGCTTGTATTGCTTTCAAATGCACAATCCGTGACTCACATTCCACCCAAGGCAGAGACGTAGCTCAAGGTATATAATGTCGCCAGAATTGCCTCGCGGCAACGGCAAGGAAAAGGGGAAGACCTTCTATTCAGACGACGAGGGACATACCAGAAATTGAAGCGAGGGTTGTAAGATTGTGTCTAATACCTGGCTCGTCTGTGATGGGCAGGGGATCCATTGACAATTTCTAATGGCCAGTTAGAATCGCTGGACATGCATTCAGTCAATACTCTGGCTTGAAACCCGCTACGAGGTTAAAGCCTTCAAAGAGATCGTTGTTATTTGATACTCCGAGCACGTTTTCCGCGAACAACGCACGAGCGCCGTAGAGAGCCAAGCTCTCGTAGTTCAGACAGAGATGCAGAGCCCCATTCATCGGGACATGACGCACGAATTGAAAGAGCATCGGCGTTTGTACCGGGAACAGTGCGGTGGGCCCCTCGCGGTGATGCCGAGAAGCTTCAGACCAGCTTGGGCAAGGGTTCGAAGGAGTGAACCTTTTTTAAAAAAGAACAATTCCAGAATAACTTTCAGGTGTGTTTCTTTAACTCAAACACGCAACCATAATTGCAGAACCAAATGTTGGTATTGGCGAAGGACTTATCGTCATCCCGCCACTCTGGTTCCTATTTCCTCACAACGCTTCAGGAAGCCGACTGGTTCTTCCGTTCTTCGATAGCAACGCATACTGGCGTCGTCACGCGCGGCTGGTGGTAAATGCCATCCCAAGCTTATCTATCGCGTAGATTACAGTGGGTCGTAAAGTCAATCTATTCGAAACTTTGAGTTCTGTTATCTAGGAGAAAAATATTGCTATGAGTCAGAAACTTACAGAAAACTACACGTGCAGGAACTGATGGACGGCTCGTCTCACTCCAGACACGCCGGGTAATTGTTTATAAGCAGATGATCGTCGGTACGACTCAAGAAGCACTTTGGTACGACTCAATGAGCTAGTAGAGATCTTACGCCTGCGCCGAGGACGCCCACACGGGTAGGAATTACGGGGCCATCTATTTTTATTCGCCCCCTGTGGCCAAGACCACGTGAAGATATTCTTCGATTTCGTGCTTGTTGAAGAAAGCTCTTGGACATCATGAAGCCCATCATGAAGCCCATTGCATATAAATATGTACGGGATGCTCTCATGGCGCGACATCCAGAACTAATCTCAAGGCAACCGTAAAGCCCAATACCCACGCAAATCCGTCCTTAGACGAGTACACTCTTTCGACTTGCTTATTCATTCTTTATGACCTGAAATGACATCAAGACGTTCACTTTTACTTGGCTTCTTCGCCAGCCTTGCGCTCGCTCAGAGCTCCACGCTCGACTGCACCCCCTCTTCCAAATCCGGGCTCCAGCCAGAATGTTGGGCTGAGCTTCAGGTCTCGGAATACATCAAAAAATGGCTCGATGCCAACAGCACGGCCGCGGACTGCGACAACTTGGGATTCGCTCAGTGCTTCCTCCAGTATAACGGCTACAGTGGAAAGACATGCAATCTACTCAGCAGGGGCACGTGCGACTCTTTCGAGACGACTGGCTCCGAGGCCACGTACTACTCGTCTCAACAATTCTACACTCTTTGGAACATATACGCTGTTTATCAATTCTTCAATCAGTTCTCCGAGGCTCTTTCGAACGGGGCTAGTTTGGCCGGGACCACCATCGACGACATCGTTGCTACCGTCAGCCCGCCCACAGACGCCAGTTCTCCGAGCACACTCCTGTGGACGGCGATAAGCGGAGGATTCTGGATGCTTGCTGCGACACCCCTCGGGCCTTTCGCTGCTCTTGTAAACACTGGTCTGGCCGTTGTCACAGGCATGAGTAGCTTTTTCATGGGCAGCATCTCCGGCAGCTCGACCGCACGATTTGTTCTGCTGGGCGACATTGGGAGCGAACTCACCAATCTCGTCACAGAATACCAGACCAGCCTCGAGGAAGCTCTCAAAGAGCTCCAAGGGAACAGCGCTCTCTTCATTGCGGCAGCCGAACCTGGCGGATTCAGCACTCGTGCCGTCACCAGCCTGAACACTCAGAGCGTCGACATCTTCCACGATCTCCAGCTGTACATCCTTTCCGAGGCACTTAAAGGCAACAACATTGTGTCTGCCAGGTCTACGGATATAATCGCTATGGATGTCGCCACCAATACTGGCGCAATCGATTGTCCCAGCCTCGGCCCTGCGGGCAACTGCTATCAATTCTGGGTCGACGAGGAGGAGGGGAATACCTATGCGCTCCATAACACGAATGACTGGGGCTTTGATGACAGCACTGATGTCATTAACAAGATCGTGGACTCTGGCTGGGCGAACCTCTCTGAGATCTTCAAGGTTGAGGACTGCCAGGACAAGGAGCCCGGCTTCGACGGTACCAAGGTGTCGTGCCTAGCCACCCACAAATACTGCCAGTGGGACTATGCTTCTCAGGTCTCTGGCGGAAAATGGAACCAATTCACCAACTGTGACTCTGACTCCAAGTGGGGTACTCAGTGCAGCTCTTGGTCTACCATCTATCTCATCCCGGACAGCTACCTCGGGCCGGCTTTGGCCGATGACACTCTGTACTGCAGGAAATTGTAGAGCCCCGTTACACGAAGCCCGTTGTCTTGAACATCGCGCTCCTAGTGCGAGAGAAGTCCAACTAAGGACCATCATTGTATAAATTTCACATGAATAGAAACTACATAAACTTTACAGCTACATGGATACGAATATCCTCACAACGTCACTGATTGTTATTCGGACAGGCCTGATCTATTGAGATGCCCGAGTCCAAGCCAAGATCCCAAGCAGCAGCAGCCCAGTCGGGGAACAGATGATCAAGTTGTCATGCCTGCTGGCCTGTCGGGGCTGTCTTGGCTCCGGGACCAAATTTTGAAGATAAATTTAAGACTGAGAAATAAGAAAATTGACCATCCGAAACTTTTGAGGCAACTGGAAGCAACGCTGTTTCGTTTCTCTTTTCCCATGACGCCATGACGCATTTTCTTAACACTATTCGACCCAACCCTCCAGTGGTTATTCCCTTTGCAACCAACACTCCCAAGTTCTGTACTTTTGTTTTACATATATGGTTCACCTAATTCTGTATATATACTCAAGACTGCTGCTCATTCCTCTCAACACTCCCTGTGACAAGTCACGAAGGTGTACTGTTGGGGCAGTCTGTTAGGTCGCTTACATAAGCACTCTAAAGATACTCACGGATTCTACCAAGACCTGTTGGCCCTAAGCAATTATCTTCAGACTTTGACCGCCCCTCCTTTTCCTCTTCCCTATTCTTCGTTTCAGCTGGACATTTTCGAGGCAGTCTCTTCCTGTCCTTGTCTTTATGAGAACTGTTGACATGGCCCGAGCCGACATGGAGTCCAGCATCAGTTGGCATGTTTTAGGTGGAGCAGTGGTAGCCTACTACGCGACCCTTATCTTCTATCGTTTATTCCTGCACCCTCTGGCACGCTTTCCAGGTCCCCGACTGGCAGCCATTTCGCGTTGGTACGAGGGTTACTATGATGTTATCTTGGACGGACAATACACCTCCAAGATCGCAAAGCTGCACAAAATATATGGTATGGATCTGCTTGCCGTCCGATCCACTCACTCTGTGAAGCTCTGACTCTTGATGACCAGGTCCGATCATTCGTATCAGCCCACATGAACTGCACGTCGACGATCCAGCATTCTTTGACACTCTCTACCGTACGGATGGGCGCTGGGACAAGTACTCTTGGTCGTACGATGCCTTTGGTGCCAAAAACTCCACCATTTTCGGCTCAGGTAGATGCTGTGTCCCTTCCTTGCAGGCCTGGCCCTAGACCCGATGTCCTAACTCACATCTCCAGACCATGACGCCCACAAATCCCGACGCCGTGCTATAGCCCCATTCTTCTCCAAGCCCAATATTGCTTCCCGGCACCATGTTCTGCGCCGGAACTTGGACAAGCTCTGCCAGCGCATTTCCGGGCTCGCTGGATCCACCTTCAACTTAGGCGCAGCCATCAGCGCCTTCACACGAGACAGTGCCAACGAGTTCATTGTGGGCAGACAGTACAACGAGCTTGACTTGAGTGACTTCGGGGTTGGACTGTCTATGGCATCTCAAGGCGCGGGGCCTTTCTGGCGTATAACCAAGCACGTCCGCTGGTTTGGTCCCACGATGAGGGCGATGCCAATCGACTGGGCCATGAAAGTGGCTGATGATAACACTAAGGCTTTCCTTAGCTGTCTCAAAGTAAGAGACTGCCGAGCCCAGATCTTCGAGGACATGAGCTGGCGCGCTGAAATTCCGGTCAGCAATCCGAACAAGATACGCGAGACACTCTGGCCGTCGCGGCATCTTCCTCCCCAGATAAATCAGCCAACGACACCATGCTTCACGCCATCATTTGCTCTGACCTTCCAGCAGCTGAGAAATCCTTCGACCGTGTTTTCGAGGAGGTAATGACGGTGACGGGTGCGGCGTTTGAAACAACCGCCAGCGCCCTAAGATTAATATTGTACCATGTCTACACCAGTGAGGAGATTCTTAGCCGGCTCAGGGAGGAAATTGCCTCCCTCTCTATTGGTCATTCCGACCCAATTCTTCTGAAGCAACTAGAGCAGCTGCCATATCTCACCGCTGTGCTTACAGAAGGCATGCGCCTGAGTCCTGCAGTCGCCTCACGAGCGGCGCGTGTCACGGGCAAGGATCTCTCGTATGGCAAATGGCGGATTCCTGCTGGGACACCACTTGGCATGACTACCCTATTGATGCACACTGATGAGACATTGTATCCCGACCCGATGCGATTCAACCCAGATCGGTGGTTGGTGTCTGGGGCTGGGGGTGCAACCGCTTCCAGATATGCTCCATTCGGACGAGGAACGAGAATATGTCGTGGCATGCAGTGAGGTCTATCCTTCTCTTATGCCCACCGCACGTAGAGGCTTCTGCTGACGCTCCCGACTACCGTACAGCCTCGCTTGGGCCGAGATGTACCAGCTTCTTGCTGCTTTGGTACAGAGGTTCGACTTCACTATCAAGGATGCAACAGCTGGTGACTTCGAGTTGGAGAAAGACAATTTTGCAATCGGAACCAAGGCTGGTTGCAACTTGATGGCTCATGTGACTCTATACAAGGATGGACCTCGCGTGGCCTGCTTGGAAGATCTCACCTACAAGCAGTGTGTGTGGAGTCTGGGACCTAGAATGGGAATGGTGAGCCCAGGAAGGATAGTCGTCGTACGCAAAGACGCATACAATTGTTTGATCCGTGACTCAGCCATTTCCCTTATACTCGATACCGCACGTAAAACGATCTATCTAGCTCTAGCTTGACCAGTAGCTGGAGGCCATTCCCAGACTGTTATACAGCTCCTTGACTTCCTCTGGAGTTTTGCGTGTGTACTCGTATGTATGCTTGTCACCATACCAAGCCTATACGTCGTTAGTCAGCGAAGAGGTTGAGTGTCATTGTCCACGTACCAGAGAAAGCTTCCAAAGGGTTTCTGCGCTCATAACGTCACCTTTTCCGAACCCGTGACGTTCGTGATACTGCTCGGCTTCGTCCCTCGTTGTGCATAGCTGGATGGTGCTGCATGCATAGTGCACATCTGTCCACCACGTCGACGGGGGCGTGCAGAACACTGTGCAGAGTTCCTCTTGCGAACCATCCAGCTCAAGCTGCCCATTCGCCATGCTGACAGTGATCACTTCACCCGTGGCGCCGAGGACCTTGACTGATGCTCTTGCGGGGGAGAGCATGGCGGCAGCGCCAAATGCACACCAGGCACAATTCGTCCACCATGACTTGCCGCCGGAGTTCTATGTGATTTGGGAAACATTAGCTGTTTTTGCTTGCCGCTTAGTCATTTCCATGATGTGTTTTTTTTTTACCACAACATTTGGTGTTGGCCTAGTGCAGAAGTCATTAGCAAACCGAGTGTTCAGATTAGTAGGATTGCAGTGTGTCTTACAAATGCGAGAACGGGTGGGCCATAGCGATGGGAGTTGGAGAAGGCACGCGGTCGTCGTACAGCTTCACATGGTGAAGGTCGCGCAGCCTTTGCAGGCCCCGATCTATATCTGCATTTGGAAGTGACAGCAAGGTGGATAGCTCTTGAACGGTGGGAGGACGACAATTCTCCAAATAATACTGGAGTATTTGGTACCGGAGCTTACGCTCGAATGAATCCATAGTAGCCGATTCAAATGCTTGAGACTTGAGTGATGGCGAAGGCCTTTGAACGGTTACGCAGTCATGCAAGCGATGTATTTGTAGGCGTCCTCACGGCTTCTTACCTAAGAAGACGCGAGCGGCATATGCCGATGCCGGGGCAAGCCTGGATCAAATCACCTGGTCGGAGGACTCTACATTGCCATCTCGCTCCACCTCTACCAAATACCATCTGCTTTTACGCATACCCAAGTAATATTCATATTTCTGACATTACAGTAAATGGATTCAATGTGTATTAGTGATGCATTTCTTCTCTCAGTAACAAAATTAGGCACACGGGCTTAAATGTGCTGTTAGCTACGGCGCATAGAGCTTGGATCAGTAATCTTGTTGGAGGCCGCGGTTCCACGCATTCGGGCACCGCCTGTTGAACTGCTCATTTGCGCATTGCAGCATGCCGGCTTCCGTTCGTCAGCCAACAACTCTGAAAAGTCATTCAGCGAAGCATGCCTCGCCTCCTAGAACTCAAGTCCACGGCGTCTTAAGACAGCGTGACCGAAACACTTGACAAATTGTGGTCAATATTCTCCAATGCTCCCTGCCATCTGACAGGGAGAAGCCAAATTCCCCATAGTCGTATCCTTCCGGCTTCCGGCCTAAGACCCCCCCCCGGCTCCCCCGGCTCCCCCGGCTCTTTTTGGTGGCCGTCTCCAGTGGCCTCGAAATTTTAACAAGGTCGGTTGCCCAGTCCCACCTCGTCCGAGACTCTCCGTCGGTCGAGACAGATGTTAGCCACTGCATGCGCATACTCCACCACCATTCACCAATTCCTGTCTATCTCTGCACGTATTGCTTTGGGCCGAAGAAGAGTAACAGTACTTCGACAACTGGAACCTCGGCGGGATTGAAGAGGGGGAAGAGTGACGTTCGAGGATTTCGGCGCACCGAATTCCAATGTGAGACTGAACAGTTGTCCATTATGTCTGGGTTCTCGTGCGATTGTTACAAACAGCTATGATTTCATCTGCACAGGCGACACTGTGTCCAGAGGGTCACCCCTTAGAGCCTAGATAACTAGACATGCATGCATTTTGGTGCTCATTCAAACAAGCAATGACTCCCTATTTGATTGTATAGGAGTTTAAACCAAGTGTCAACATAAGTATTCCCCAACAGAGGGTCAGATAATATGTTGAGCTATCAGGCAGACACCATAAGGCCTGAGCAAATGTGGGTTTACTTCTCAAATATTGTACTGCGATAGACCGAATGTGGCCTCTAATGGTTGCCTGAAATTTTGACAAAGGAGCAAGTCTGACATGCATCTCATAATCACGTGCCTAAGTATTTTAGTTGGCATCGATACCAGGATTGTAGTCTCCTGCTTCTTGGGGACCAACAGGCCAAGTTGGCTACAGCCGTGGGCTTAAATCCAACCATCTTTCCCCCTCAGACAAATGTGACAAATTTCCGTAAGATCACAAGCCGGATGCTGTCTGTACTTTACTGTGCACCGGCCCAAATCGTGCACTTCCAGAACCTGAACATCTTGAAGAAGTCCAGCCAAACTATCTAGCCTCCGTTTTTCGCAATGACAGCCAAGCCTCCCAAACCCGCAATTCTACTCGTACAGGGATCGTTTCAGCTTCCGGAGGCTTACGGCAAGCTAGCCTCCGCCCTTCGCTCCCGCGGGTTTCTCGTCGTCCAGCCCCGGCTTCCTAGTTTGACAGACCACGACTCTCCCGACTTTGCAAAGCAAGATCTCTCCGACGATTCGCGTGCCATTGAAGCCGAAGCGAAGCGTCTCGTCGTTGACGAGGGCGAGAATGTCATGGTCGTAATGCACTCCTACGGCGGGCTCGCCGGGAGCGACGCAATTCCCCAAGACTTGAGCTTGCAGAGCCGCCGCCGGGCTGGCCTTATTGGTAGGTCTCTCGTACGTATGATAATCGTATGGGAAGCAATCATGTATTGGTGTTGTTCTGTTTAAGTTTTGAGAGGCTACGTGCCCTAAAGGGGATAACTAAAATAGCCTTTTAAATGCAAGAGTTATACTTACCAATACTCATAGTTTTTCTCTTCTTTTAATAAGTATATATAATCCTTATTATAATTAATAATTTTTATTATAATTAACCTTAAAATTATAATTTATTATATATTAAGTATATATAATTTTTATTATAAAAAAGCATTATTAAAAAAACTTAAAATTATAACTTATAAGTTTTAAAGCAAATTTTAGCAATCCTTATTATTATATTACCTTTTAAACTTATAATTATTATTATTATACCATTCCTTAAATATTATACCTATTATTCTTAATACTTAGCTTTTAAAATTGCTTCTTTATAAAGATTATTAATTTTTATATAATAATCTTAATTTTAAATTTTTTCTTTATAAAGGAAGTTAATACTTATAAAGCTAATATTAAACTTTTTAATTTATATTTATTTTTATTATATATTTTTATAATATAAATATTATTATTTTTATTTTTACTTTTATTATTAAAATATATTTAATATTACTTTAAATTAATTTCCTTTAACTACTTTTTATTCTTTTAAAATTAAGTATTATAAGTAACTTAATTATTTATTATTTTCTTTTTTTACTTTTTATTATTTTTTTTAATTTTCTTAATAATTATCTTTTATTTAAATTACTTAAGTAATAATATATATTTTTTAATAAGTTTTTTTATATATAAGCCTTATATATATTTATTATTAATTTAATATAAAAAGTTTTAAAGCTAAGTTAATATAATAATTTAATTCTTTAATAATTAAATCTTTTTAATTTAATATATATAAAAGATACTTAAAATTAAAATTCTTATTAAGTTATTTATTATAAAAATTATAATAATTTAACATTTAAAATAATAATTACCTTAATAGTTTTTATTATTAAGGATGCTATATAATCTTATATTAAAAGTTTTAATACTTTTAATATAAATATATAGCTTTTTAATTATATTATTAAAAAATATTTATTTATTTTAATATTAAAAGTTATTAATAATTTAAATAATAGCTATTATAATAATATTATTTAAGAAAAGTATTTTAGCTTAAGTTATAATTATAGCCTTTAACTTATTAATTTTAGTAATTCCTTAAAAGTTTATTTTAATAAATAGCTTACTCTTTTTAATGCTTAATATAAAAATAAAATTAAAGGTAATTTTTATAATCTTTATTAAGGTTTTATTAACTTAGTTTTAATTATCTTTTTTATTAATAATAATTAAATTACCATTAATATTAAGTAAATAAAAATTATTATTATTAATATTTTTATTAATATTAATTAAATAAGTAAGTAAATAAAAATTATTATTATTAATATTTTTATTAATATTTATTAAATAAGCATTATTAATAATAACCTTATTATAGAAATTAATAAAATTAATAAGCTTATCTTTATTCTTATTAATTAAGATAATTTTAGCCCTTTTTATAACCTTAATAATAATTTTAATCTTTATTTTATTACTTAATAAAAATGTAATTATAATATTTATTTTATTAATTAAGGTTATAATTATAATATTTATTTTATTAATTAAGGTTATAATTATAATATTTATAAAGGAATTTTAATTTTATTTAAGGGTTGTAATAAGGCTACTTTTAATATTAATTATATTAATAATAGTTATAATAATAATTATATTAAGTATATTCTTAATATAAAAAGTAAATATAATATTTATTAAATAATTTTGCTTATTATTATTATTTTTATAAAGTATATTAATAAAAGTATTAAATAATTCTTATAAGTTATTATTAATATTTTTTATTATAATAAAAAGGAAAAGATTTTATAAAAATTTAATAATTAAAATAAATATTTATAATGCAAAACTTTATAATTATTATATAATAATTATTAATTTATTTTTTAATTATAGGAAAAATTAATAAGTTATAAATAAATTTAATAAAAGTTAGTTTTAATATTATTATTAATAAATAGTAATAAAAAATAATAATAATAATAATAAACTTAATTTTAAAATAATAATTATTAATAATATTAATAATTATAAGGTTATCTTTATATATAATAAGGTATTAAAAAGGTTTTAATTAAAGTATAAAAGGTTAAAGTTTATATTAAGGGTTTAAGTTTAAAAGGTATAAGGTTTTATAATTAGTAATAATAAAATTAAAAGGAAAAAGTATTAACAATAAGTTACTCCTTCCTTAATAAAAAGGGGCTACTTTAAGTTTCTTAATTAATCCATTTACTTATATATAAAGCTTATTATTATTAATAAGCTTTTATAATATAATATTTAAAGTTAATTTTATTATTATATTAATAAGGTTATTTTGTTTTATTTATTTATCTTACTTTAGCAATCTTTTTTATTTTATATAATTTTTATAATAATATAATATTAATTATAAAATGTTCTTTCTTTATTATTCTTAATTTTATAAGGTATTGTTATGGTTTGAGCTTTGCTTATTGTGATTAGTTAGTGGGCTTTGGCCCTATAAGAATAGGCTTTGGCGCGGGTATAAACGGAGAGCGAACCTTTTCCTTTGCACTTTAAATATAAACCCTATTTAAATACTTTACGGTAAATAACTTAAGGCTAGCCTATAATATATATTTAAAGTCCTTTTGCATTATAAATTTATAATGCAATTATATAAAACTTAATATAGCAAGACTTAAAAAGAATAATAATAGCCCGCTAAGCCCTTCCTTATTTAAAGGAACTCTTATCTTAAAAATACTTAGTAACTTAGTTAGTAAAAATAAGGGCTAAATTCGCAATAAATAAGGAGGCAATTAGCGTTAAAGGGGCTTAATTCTTTTATATATTTAATTAGCTAAGAACTTTTTATAATTAATTTTTACCTTATATTAATTTTATAAAGATATTTAAGAAGCAATTAAAAAGCTTCCTAAAGAAGGTTTGCCTTACGCTTAAAAATTCTTTTAAGTAAAGATGTATTAAGCTTAGCTTAATTACGCTGCAATAGCGTTATAAAGAGGGGATAATAAAATTTTTTGCTTAATTTAATTAATTAGCTTATATAGCAAAAACTTAAAGTTAGCTAAATAAGTATAAAATATTATTAATAGCTAATGGCTTAACCTTTATAATAAAAGCCTAGCTTAATTATAAGGAGTGGCTAAATATATTTAAGGCTTTTTACTTTGCTTTATGGTAATATAAGGGCGTTTTTAACACTATAATAAGAAAGGATAATACTTAATCTTAAAACGGCAAAGCAATAAATATTAATATTATAGCGATCTTAATAAGCAAAGTTAAGTATTTCGCATATAATTAATTTAGCCATTATAAGCGCAATTACCTTAATTATTGTAAAAAAATAAAAGTATAGTTTTTATTAATTAAGGCTAGCAAGGGGGAGAAGTTTATTTAAGAAGATGTAAAATTTTTTTTTATGGGGTAAGGCTTAAAAGTAATGCCGGCTTAGCGCTAGCCTAGGCTTAAAGCAAACTAGCTGCGCGTTAGCTAATTTAATGCTATAAAAACGCTTAAAATTTAGAAAATTCCCGTTAATAAAGTAAATTACCCGCGATTAAGCATTAATTAATTATAAATTATATAATAAATTCGCGGTTTTAAGGTTTTAGGTAAGGAAGCTTATGCAAAAGGCTTGCATTAAAGGATTATAAAAATGCCATTAATTTAGCCGCTAACTTATGCTTAAATGATTATTTTTTATTAGCTTGCTTTAATTAATATATTAAATTATAAGGGCTAGGGCGTGCTAATTATGGATAATAGGCCGGGCCTTTAGCGTAGTTAAGAGGCGCTAGGGTGTAATTAAATGGCTAAGCAAAGAGCAATATTTAATTCGCGATTAAACCATGGTGTTCTTTATTTTTTTTTGTTATATAGCTGCCCTTTAAGGCCCGCTATAGGGACTTGGAAAAGGAGGATATGTTACGGTTTGGGCTTTGCCCATTATAATTAATTAGTGGGTTTTGGCCCTATAAAAATAGGCTTTGGCGCGAGTATAAACGGGGAGCGAACCTTTTCCTTTGCACTCTAAATATAAACCTTATTTGAATACCTTACGGCAGACAACCCAAGGCTAGCCCATAACAGGTATTTATATAAGCTATATAAGTTTATATAAATAATTAAAGATATATTTAATAATAAGAGTTATTTTATAATTATTTTAATTATTATAATTAAGGAAATTTTAATATTTACTTTATTTATTATGCTATAAATTTTATTTATTAATATACTTTAAGTAATATATTTATACTTTATTAATAATTAATAAAGAATATTACTTATTATTATAAATTCCTTAATTTCCTTATAAATTTTATTTATAAAAATAATAATATATTTAAGTTAAAATGTTAAGTTTTAGTTATTTATAAATAATCCATTTATAAATATAAAAAGTTTCGCTATTTTAAGATTTAAGAGCATATATTTAATTCCTTATATAGCATTATTTATTTATTATAATAATTATATATTTAAGCTTTTATAATTTCTTACCTTTAAGTTTTATATTTATATAATTATTAAAAAATTATATAAAGCTTTTAGTTAATAAATTAAAGCTATATATACTTTATAAGTTCTTTATTTAAGGTATTTTTAAAAAATATCTTTATTATTATATTAATAATTATAAGTTTATTAACTTATTTTTTTTAATAAATAGTAATTAAATTAATAATATTTATAATTATATAAGCTTTATTATAATTTATTAAGTTTTTAAGTATTAGCTTTTATTTTAATTTTTTTATATTTTTTTTATAGCTTTTATTTTAATTTCCTTTTTATCTTAAAATTTTATATAAATAAAATTAATATATTATTTATTTATTATATACTTATTATCTTAAAGAGTTATGTAAGCTTTATAATTATTAAGTAAAAATTATATATAAAATAATTTATTTTAAGCTTTTATTAATAATATTTTTAATATATATTAAATTAATTAATGCTGGATTTTATTATATTATATAAGAATTAAATAATATAAATAATTATGCTTAAAGAATATTTATTCTTTAATTTCTTTAATAACTTTATAAGGATTATTTTATATAGTTTTAACTTTACTTAAGGGTAGGCTTAAATAATATCTTAAAGTATAAAAATTATGCCTTTTTTTAAAATTAATAAAAAAATAAATATAAGGATTATTTATTAACTTATTCTTTAAATAATTAAGCTTTATATTAAGATTAATCCCTTTTTATTATTATTATAACCTTAAATAATAAATTAAGATTTCTTATAAAATTTTATAATTTTACCTTTTACTTTTTATATTATATAAAACTTAAAAAGATAATATTTATTATATTACTTTATTAATTATTTCTTAATTTAAAAAATACTTTTAATAATAAGGTTATTAATTTTTATTTTATTAAACTTTTTAAATAATAAGCTTAATATTATAATAACTTTATCTTATTTTATTTTAATTATTAAATTATAATTTCTTTTTTAAAATATATAATATAATAATATAGTTTTTTATCTTTAATAATAATAGTTATATAATAAGTTGCATTTAAGGTTTTATAGCTAAATCTTTTATTTATAAGGATTACATTTCCTTATTATTATTTTAATAATATAGTTAAATAATTATTAACTTAAACATTATAGCTTCATTTAATATATTTAAGATTATATTATAGCTATTTATAGCAATAACCTTATATAAACCTTTTTATCCCTTTTTTTTTCTTTATATATAAACTTTGCATTATAATAAATATTTTATATTAAAGATAAGTTTAACCTTAGTATTTAATGCATTTTATACTTATTATTTAGCTATAGTATTTTATAATATCTTTATAACCTTTAAAATAGCTTTTGCTTGCTTTTATATTAATAATAATAATAATAACTTATATAATATTTATAAATAAGCGTTAAAAACTAAAAGCATAAGAATTAATTTATTTAATTTAGCAATATTATTAATAGCTTTTATAACTATTTATAAAATAGCATTATTATTTATATTATTATATAATTTAATATATAGGATTTTATATATTTATTTAAGGGCTTAATAATATTTTTTAACTTTCTTAATAAATTAATATATCTTTATAAAAACTTATTTATATTTAATTTTAATTATTTATACCTTTAAATAAAATTCTAAGGATATAAAGTTTATTTTCGCATTATATTTAATAATATTTAATAATTTTTAATATATATTAATTTAAAGCATTTATAGTATTTATTATGCAATCTTTATAAATATAGATTTTAAGAATTTTGCTTTTTAAAAAGCTATAGCTTAGTTTATAATATAAAGAATTAAGTGTTTGCTTAAATATATTATGTTAATTAAGATTTTATAATTAAATTTATAATTATTATATAATGTAAACTTAAAACGCTTAAGCATAGGTTTATTTATTTAATAATGGTAATATATCTTTTTAATCTTTATTATTGCTTATTTATTAATATTTAAATTACTAGCTTTTTTAAGTATTTAGCATAGTTAATTTATTAATAAATATTTAAAATAATAATAAAGTTTTCTTATTTTTATTTTTAAAAGGAAATATATAGCACTAATAATTTAATTTAAAAAGAATTATAAATAATTTTATTTTTTAAGTATTAATATAATAATTACATTATTAAAGGAAATTATTTTATTTCTAATATTATTATAATATACTTAAAGCTTATTTATATTTATTAAATAAAGCAAAAATAGGGTTTATATTTAAATAATATAAAAATTAATATAATTAATTAAGGTAAAAACTTTTATTATATTAAGTAAATTAATAATTATTTTATTATTAAATTTAACTTTAGCTTTTCTTACAATAATTATATTAATTTAATACTTTAAGTCTTTTTATTGCAATGCAAGAAATTACTTATATTTAGCTATAAATATTAATAATGCTTTTATATTTAGCAAAATTCCTTAAAAATAAGTTTAATTATATTTATTTTTTAAAATAAATTAGTTAATTATAATAATTATTTTTATTTAAAAAATATTATTTCTAATAATTTAATGCATAAATGCTTTATTAGCTAAGAAATTAATATTTATATAATAAACCTTTTTATTAAGTTTTACTTTTATAATATAAGCATTATTATTATAATTATTATTTTAATCTTATTTATCTTTATATTTATAAAATTTATTTTTATTATTTATCTTATATTTCTTAAACTTACTTAAAAAAGTATTAAAGTTATTATTATAATCTTTATATTTATATTATATTAAGTAGCTTCTTTTTGCTAAATATTGCTTATTAATTAACTATTTAATTAATTAATATTCTTTCTTTTTATAAATATAATATCTTTTCTTTTAAGGTTATTCTTCTTTTCTTCCTTTATAAGCATTATTATTTTAAGCTTTATAATTAATATTATAAGATTTTAGCTACCTAAAGCTTAAATAACTTAAATTTAATTAGCTAAATCTTTAATTTCCTTAAAATACTTAAAATTATAATTATTATTCTTTTCTTAGCTTTTAGCTATTATATTTATAATTAATATAATATTAATTTAAGATTTTATTTATAATATAAATTATAATTATATAATTAAGTTATATTTTTATTATAAATTTTAAATTTAAAAATAACTCTTTGCATAATTAAGCTAGTTTAAAAAAAGCTATTTTTAACTTAAGAACTTTTTTATAAGCTTTAATTATTATTATTCTTAAAGTTATTTTTTTTAATATAATTTTAGCTTAATATTTATTAATAAAGTTATAGCTTATTAAGTATTAAATATAAAACCTTATATAAATCTTTATTTAAGTTTTATATTTTTATCTTTATAAATATTATTATTATTTAATTTATATAATAATATTAATAATTAAGATTTATATTAAAATGCATTTTAATTTTAAAGTATATTATTATAAATATATTAATGTAATTTATAAAATAAAAATAATAAGCCTTAATTTAATTTTTAAGCATTTAAGGAAAAACTATATAAAATTAACTTAATTAAATTTTAATATAATAATAAATATTAAAAAATATCTTTATCTTATTATTTAATAAATTATATAAATTCTTAATATATTTATAAAAATTATTAAAGGTTTTTATAAATTATATTAACTTTATTAAATTTAAGCGCTTATTAAAAATATATTATAAAGAAAGAGTTTTATATAAGTTATACTTTTTATTTAATAAAAACATTTTTAAGGTAACTTAAAGTTATATTAAATATAATATATATTTTTAATATAAGCTTTATTTTTATTTTTTTATTAATAATAATAAGCTTTATTAATTATATTAATTTTTAATAAATTACATTATTAAGTTTAGGTTTTATAATTATATGCTTAAAGTTAATAGCGGTAATAAAAGTTATTCTAGGAATTATCTTTTTAGTAATTATTATTATTTAAAGCCTGCCTATAATGCTTATAAGGGCTATATTTATAATTATTATTTTTAAAGTTATATATAATATTTATTTATATTTAATTTTAAGGTTAATAAAGCATTATAAAGTTTATTATTAATTTATTTTAATTTTTCTTTAGCTTAAGCTATAATAATTAATTATAATATTATAGGTTAGTTATTATATTTTATATAAATACCTTATATTTAAAAAAAAACTTTTAAGCATTATTAATAAAAATTTAATAATGCTTTAAATATTATTTATATTTATATTATATAATTCTTATAATAAGTAATAAAAAAGTTATTATTATAAAAGTTTTATTATATATAGTTTATTAAAGTATTTATTAAGTAAGTAATTAAGTATTTTATTAATGCTTTTTATATAAGAGCTGTAAATTATAATTTTAAGTTAATATATTTATAATAAGCTAAGTTAATTAAAGTTTAAGTAAGTATTTTATTAATTATATACTCTTTAATAAAAGTTAATAGCTTTTTAATATTATTAGCTATACTTATAAATTTTTATAATAAATATTATAAGAAATAAAATTAATAAAATAAAGAAATATTAATAAAATAGGTAATATTTAAAAGTAAGTTAATAATAATAATTTAATAATAAGTAAGTTATAATTATTAAAAGAAAAAAGTTATTAATTTCTTTAAACCTTAAAAGCTAAGGCTTTTTCCTATTATTAAGTCCTTTTATATTAGCTAAAAGTATAATATATAACTTATGCTTATTTATAATATAGCGTTATATTAGCTTTAATAATTGCGATAATTATAAGCTTTATTTATTAATAAAACAAAGCTTTATTAAGTTTTGTTAAGTTTTAAAGAGAATTTAAAAATAAGTTTATTTTTAATAAAGTTTTATATATAATAAATATATATTTCTTAAATAGTAATAAATATATATATAGATATTATAGGAAATGCTATTTAGTTTATTTAATCTTTATAATATTTACTTAAGAAGTTTAATAATATAAGGAGGCTTAAAAAAGTAATTATTATTATATAGCGCTTATTAATAAGGAGGATATAATTTTTAAGTTAAGGAAATTTTTATGGGATTGCCTTTTTTACCTTATTAATTTATAATACTTATAACCATTAATTAGTATTGATAGGTCTTTTATATATATAATAATCATATGGGAAGCAATTGTATATTGATGTTGTTCTGTCTAAGTTCTAAGAGGCTACGTGCCCCGGAGGGGATAACTAAAGTAGCCTTTCAAGTGCGAGGGTCGTACTTGCCAACAGGCCTGGTCGGTGGAGTGTGCCGCCTATTCTATTTCGCAGCCTTTGTGCTTGACCAAGGCAAGTCGGTTCTGGGCACTTTCGGAGAGCCCCCCAACAACGACGTCAAATCCAACGGGCGATTCACCATGAAGGAGACGGTCAGCACCGTCTACTATGATCTTCTGCCGGAGGAGGCAAGGTACTGGGCCTCGAAGACCATCGACCAGAGCTACGCCGTGCAGACAACACCCATCTCCCGCGCGGCCTACAAGTACATCCCCTCGACGTATGTCGTGGCCGAAGATGACCATGCTCTTCCCTTGCAGTACCAGGAGATGTTCGCAGCGGCCACGGGCGCTGAGGTGAAGAAGATTAAATCAGGGCATTTGCCTCAGCTGAGCAAACCAGAAGAGCTCGCGGAGTTGATAGAAGAGGCGGTGTCGGCGGAAAAAAGTACATGAAATCTTGCGGATTCGAATACTCCATGAGACCTTGCGGATACAGAAGAGGCGGCATTCTGCACAAATAGCAGTGCTCTTCGAACCCAAAATAGATGCTTGATCATATTAGAGGCAGCTTGAAATGAGTTCGATAAGTTGCAAAAATAGTTAGAAAACTAAAGTTACTCTTACTTCGATTTGAACACAAGTGACGCGTGCGTGCTTGAAGGGTGTCTGTTGTGTCGCCTGGCTGCGGCGACAGGCCGACCTTTGCAACACATGCTCCATCTATTGGGGCGGAATCATACATGACGAGCTTTTCATACTACTGCCCATCTCAAGATAAGCCATTCTGTGTTATGCACAATCTGCCTTGTCATCCTGACACGCATTCTTTTGAGCTCCTACAGGGTTCCGTCCAGTTTTGCGCCCACCGTCCTCAGCACAGGCCTAGCATTCAAGTCATCGTAGGGCTTCGGCGCGCCGGTTCCAAACTTCCCCTGAAGCTCCGGCGTAACGCCAGCGTAATCGACCAACGGCTTTCTAGAGTCGAACCGAGAGGCATCAACCTGTAAACTCGATTAGCTCTGGCTCTTTGACAGCAAAGCAGGGCTCGTGACGTACCCATTGGCCGTGGACGCCGTCGTGATCTCGGAAGGGCAGTTCAATAACGGCGACGGGGCCGGCATTTATATCTGCGGCGTCCAGGATCGCCAGGCTGCCGTAACCAGTCTTCTGGTCCTGGCAGCGGGTGAACAAGTAGCCATCTCCCTCGGGCGAGTCTGCCGACCGCGGTACGAAGCACGGCTCACCCACCGTGGTGTGCTCGCCGGCCTTCCAGACCTTGGTCACGCAGGTTGCGATGTTCGTGTGGGTGATGCCCTCGAAGCCCATGGGACCAAAGGAGCCCTGAAGGCGTGGTTATACGGCTTCCCTGTGTAGCGGTCATCGCAACGCGCTAACTCCCCGGGGATGTCGCTGAGGATAGTGGGCAGCTCCAGCTCGGTCGACTTGGAGTTCGGATCGATCTTGAACCGGACAAACTTCCCGACCGGCGGGACATCCGCCTTTCCAGCATCTACCTCCGGATGCATGGAGGGGAATGCCCTTAGAGAGTCGTTGTTGTGCATGAAGGCATCGATGTAGATAATACCATCTTCTTCGAAATGATTGCATAAATGACCCCAGTAGTGACCCTTCAAGGACTCGAACCATCTTGCCTGCTCAGGCTTGGGATTACGGCGCGGGAGCACACCGAACCGGTTACGCTATGGATTGTCGGTTACCTGAAAGAATGTCGACCTCATGAGCCCAGGATGATCAGATATCTTACCAGATAAGCATTTTTGCGGAAGTGAGTCCCGGCCTCTTTCTTCTTGTGCTCAAGACCCATCTCATGAGTCGCCATGACATAGACTACATAGCTGAGCCCGATCGTCAGCACGGAAAGCGATTTAGTCTTGTTATGACAACACGGTTTAGGGGAAGGTGGCGAACTTATCTGTGATTGCCATCTCATGGGTCCAGGTAACAGCTGGGGTCTTTATCCAGCACTCGTCGATCACTTTACCGTCTTTATCAAATTGATAATACGCGAGATCATTTGGCTAAAATTTGCCAGAACTGCTTCATATTTGCGAGACGGATCGGGTTTACCCGAGGCCGGAAGCCTCCATGCTGTATGCCGCCATCTCGCCCGTTGTGAAGTCTGTTTTCGGGTGTGATGTGAAGGTTTTAGCAGTTACCTGACCCTCAAAGTCGTAGAACCCAGCTGTTTGTTAGATCCTGTTATTTCCCTTCAAGGACTGCGAAGTTCGAACCGAATGTGTCCAGCGTGTCTGGGTCCAAGATCAGTGGAGGGCTATCTTCCTTTAGGACGAGCAGTTTCCCCCGCCAGAACTGAACATGCGTATTTCCGGTACTCTGGACCTCGCCAAATACCCTGGAGTCACCCGCATATGGATTTCTGTAGGTGCCCCCAGAGCGGCTGCCGAGCCGTCCTCTCGATGATGAAACGCGGTGTCCGCACGAACTTCGTCCTGAAGTCAACAACACCATTGGAGAAGCGCCACGCATGAACGGATCCATCTTCATTGATCCAGATATCCTGATTATTGCGGTTGGCGAAGATAGGTTCTATCACTATACAGTAGTAGGTTCCGTCGATGCTTGTGGGCACCGTTCCGCGAACGACGCATGATGCTAATTCGGCATCAAAGCGGGTGGGTTGGTTTGGTAGCAGTCGTCTCGAAGGGTCTTTGTCTTCGAAATGGAAAAGCTCGCTGACAACGAGCTCTTTCACCTTTGCTTCAATACTTGGAGCAGGTTTCTATATCACCGTTTCAATGACCTCCCTCCGAGGCAGGTGCTCCATCATCGAAGCAGGTGCTCCATCATCGAAGCAGGGATAGCCTCAGTTTCCCTGCCCATTTTTCTGGTCTGCTGAAGAACGTATGCGACGAGCCTGGGGTAGACACGTGCGAATGTCTACATTAGAAATGCTTTCACCGCCATCCAGGGTATCGTTTACAATTGGTGACTATTAAGTACTCAAGGCGCCGTGCAGCAGGATCCAGGCCAAGACGGACTCGGCTTGCCAAAGCGCCTCGAAGCATTGCAGATCGATGGCCCATCCACAGAGAGTGACGCAACCAATTAGTACATTCGACTTACGAATCCTTTGAAATACCATATCACTTCCCCTAGATTCATGTTCTAAATCCGGAGACTGCGTATCTCCCCGAAGAAAGCACTGGCACTGGGTTGTGCGGATTAAGGCTTGTGGGGTTGGCAGTCTCAGTTCGGGGTATAGTATAGTTGCAGCGGAATTACTCTCATATGCAATCAATCGTATCATTTTGGCGCTAGTAAGCTGCACAACACACACCACACCCTTTTTCCTCCTTACTTCGTTTTTCAACTATTTTTACCTTCTATATAATGAATATACCCTTAATTTAAATATACTTTATATTAAAAGATAGCTGCTTTTTTTTTAATTTTTTTAATATTTATTTAAGGAAGGTAAAGAAATTATTTAAGGTATAAGGTATATTAATATTTAATTTTAAAAATAAATTTATTTTTTTAAGTGGGAGGTGTTTTTAAGTAAATTTAGATATAATTACCCCCTATTTATAATGATTTTAACGTAATTCTTAAATTTTATTACTCTTTACTACCCCTTTAAATTTAACTTTAACTTAAATTATTTTTAATCTTAATTTAAATATACCTTATACCTTTAATACTTTCTTCTCCCTTCTTAAATCTATATTAAAAGAATTAAAAAGAAAGTAGCTTTCTTTTAATATAGGTGATTATTAAATTAAAGCTATATTAAGAAACTTAAATAAAATATGATTAAAAAAGGGTGTGGTGTGTATTGTGCAGCTTATTAGCGCCAAAACGATACGATTGATTGCATATGAGAGTACACTCCAAGCATCCACAGAGAGCCGGAATACAGGGATTATGAGACAGCAATTGCGGGGAAGCTTCTTCGAGGTGAAGCTCAGGGACACACTAAGTAGATGGAAGCAACCCATCAGGTCGAACCACGGGAAAAAAAATAGACTTGGGGCTGCATTGACAGATATCCAAGAGGTTGATCCCTCGCTGATTTGGAAGGTTAGGAGTTGCCCAACGCGAAACAGGTGGTCCATTCAACTTTAACGGACCGTCGCCACTTTCGAACTGTTGAGGTTGATGGTGAAGACTTCGATATTACTAACTCTGATGCTACTCTGCTGGCTAAAACTAGGGTCTTTCGAGGGGCTGGCGATGAGTAGCAGCTCGCACAATTTTTTGTCGAAGGGTCTCTGACACCGTCGAAGGAAGGTGAGAGTGGGCTGAAGACCCCGTCTCGCGAGAGGGTTGGGATTGTAGTGTAGTTCAATCCTACAGTGTTTGCTATACTGGAGACAGATGGATAGCTTCCACTAGCCACACGCATATAATTCAACTCAGAAGGTTTTGTTATACCTGTCCAATGCTGCACATAGGGTGGTCGTCCAGCGAGAGGCGGGCAGCCCGGTCAAGGAATTGAAAGAAGAGCATTGCAATGGTCCAACATCAGCCGAAGAGGAATGCAGCATTAATCTAGTCTTCCAAAGTTGTAGATGTACTTAGGATTTCCAGCACTTTGCTGTTGTACGAAGTCTTAGAGTCTTAAATTGCTCATCCTCTAGTGGAATAAAGCCAAGTCGGTCAAGCCTACCAAGCTCATCTCCATCAGCACCATATAGGAACAGAGTAGATATTATTAGTACATGACGATTTGTTGGAAAACCAGGCATGTTACCTTGCTACGGGCAAGCACTGCGGAAAACAGACCGAGGCAAATGGGGCCCGGAGCAAGTGGGCTTCCAGCTTAAATAGAAGCCCAAGGAGCCCTTCCCCTAGGAAACCCAATAGAATATTTCCTTCCCCTTATAATTCGCATCATACCTTGTAGAGACTTCAAAGCTTTGTTGTTGTTAACAAAGCCTTGCTCTTCTATTTAGATCGGTCTCACAGTTGCCAAAGCCTAGAGGCCCATGGCATGCTCCCATCATCTCTATAATGCACTCCAACGGGAGGGTCTCATGCGGGTAGGCTGGAAAGATATAGACATTATCAACACACACCTGGGCGACTCCAGCTTCTATATCGGTGGTGGTAATGAAGACACCCCGAAGAAACCGGCAGCCTAATTTACCAAATTCTGCCTCCAGATAGGTGTCACTGCTGTGGTCTTTGGCGACAAGAAGAAGCGACGGGCCGGGATCGACATCTAGTCCAAGGCTGGTCCGAGGGGGATCACGTACGGGTTCCGTCTGGATTATCTTCGCATAGAGATATGTTGAGTCTGAACCTACAGTGCAATCCAGCGCTGACTGCGTCCGCGATATCCCTTCGCACACAGCGGATGGGAATTTGAGTCATCTACCAAGGAGATTTTGCCACATTTTAGAGAAAAGTAGTTCACGATATCCAGAAGATGATTGGGATCAGGAACAGGAAGAAGCAAAGCACCAGCTAAGACGGCTGTCGTCTCCTGCTTAGGCTCATCAGGTCGCTCGCCCCGACTCCACAGGGGGATTCACTCATTGTGCATTCCCCTATCTTGCGTTTGTTATTCGACCGTGGCCTGAGTTAGCTTTTCCGGGGGCCGCATACGCGTTTGTTCGCGTTTGTTGTTCTATGATTGCTGAGCCCCGCTCCTACTGCCACGACCGGTGGTCTGTTCTCTGTGATTGCAGCCAGTTACTGGGGCAATTCACCCCCAAAACCTTCAGATCAATCCCGCTAGGGTTAGTTGGGAGCATGAAGAGTTGTGCCTGAAACTCGTTTCCCTCTTCCCTTCCTCTCTTTCTTTCAGCAGCCGCAATCACAATTTGCATGCCCTGCGACGACCTTTCCACGGAAAGCAAAGTGTGCAAATGATTTCGAGGTCAGATTCCTTGTTTCCATCCTTCGCAGCGCAATCGGCTTCAAACTAACAGGATGCACAACTGCATTCATAGGTACCTGAAGCGATCATGGAGCAAGCCACAAAGCAAACTTTGAAAGACGACTACGAAGTAGCCTCTAGACTGATGAGACGGCACCAGCTGGAGCCGACGGTTGAGGAATTCATGTCCCTGGTCCAACCAATTCTCCACGAGGAGTTACCCACAGTGCGCTCCGAGATCAGGCAGAGGGCAGAGCGAATCTTCGACAACTGGAGAAGCCTTGAGTCCATTGTGCAGCGTCACGAGGCCACCATTCAGAAACGATGGATGAACAAATCACTGATGAAGAGAAGAGAGTTGATTCTCACCACCTGGCCCAACATGGCTCGAGACCACCGCCCAGACATTGTTCTGGAGAACAAGTCCTGCAGTCCCAGGGAGTTAAAGAAGGAGAAGAAGCTATTGCTGCAGGGGAAGCGAACACAGTACAAGATGTATGAGGGATCGCAACGTGAGGCCTTACTAATGCCATACATCAACCTACACGATCTTACCAAATCGGAGCCACTCCTGCTCATGATCAACGCCAGAGCACGCCAGCCTCCACATGCATTTTCCAGGCGGGACCTCCAGCTCTCTACACAAGGTGTTTGGCTGACCAAGTGGCGCTCTTTGGAAGGCTACGTTATGGACTTCGACGGCCGGCAGTCAGGCCCAGAGACTTATGGCGAATTGCGAGAGGGAGAATGGAAGAATCTTGTCTCCTCCACGGGAGCTGACACTCGGCTTGCTAATGGGACAATCAACCCAGGAGACGGTCTATGGATCCTAGAGATTCAAGACCGTATCTACAAATTTGTCTATGACACCGTCATCAGAATACTCCACGACATACCTACTGGCGACTTGACAGGACCCAAGTACAGTATTCAGCCAGAGCCGCCTCTGCCCTCAGCAAACTCCCGAGCAGACAGCGTCGTCTCCCTCGCCACCACCAACTTGGAAGCCATTTACTCCCCGCCCGGAAAAATGGATCTCCGTCGTCTCCAGCTGCTCGTGACTGCCAAAGCGAATGAGGAAGAAGACAAACTTTGGGCTTTGCGTGAGGACCCTGGGCGCTTCTCGGAAGGGTTGAAGGAATTCATTGCCCATCAACCTGAGTATGTTGCAGATCTACTCGGTGCACAACATCCTGTAACCACCATCGATGGATGCAGGAAGCATTATGGGTCCCATATCACAAACCTCGAGGACTTGTTTTCTTTTTTGTTCTTGCTGTCTAATTTCCGTTCTGTCGAGTTCTGGGTCGGCCTTGAGCGGGACATCACGGACCTGGTGGAACTGCAGAAGCAACACTTTGGCAGCAAGATTATCGAATCAGGCGACCCGTTGCCAGAGCCTTTCGCGATGGCATTAGGCAAGTTTGAGTCTACTCTATGCAAGTGTGTTGAGGAACGACTCTTCATCCTGCGAAGGGCGGCCTATTCATCCCCACCGCTTCGACCATATGTTCGAAGAGCCTCACCCGATAGCATCGACCACTTCAACTCCTGTTCGGGCAAGCGGCCACCACAACACATACTCGACTTCATGTCTATCTTGTTCCGACTTTTCCAACAAGACTCTCTCATGAGCAAGGGCCACATTTGCGGTGTCCAGTCGCTGATGGAACAATACGACATGTTCATCAACACCGTCCCAGACGCGCAAGAGGCCGTTTCTTCATACGTAGCCCAAGAGATTTCAACCCTGGCGTTGTTGTCCGAATGTCTGCGACAGATACATCTCTTCCAGCCATGGGCGACGACGGCTCACAGAGAGGTGGAGACGCCGCATGTACAAGATACTCCCGTGGCACATCACTACGGGGAAGAGTGCGAGGAATTCCCGCCTAAGGAGCTCAGGTTGAGTGTTCAGGTCTGGACAATGGCTTCTGATGTAGCAAAGAGCCCGTATCCAGTCCACAAGAAACGCACCGCGATGAATGTGGACGCGATGCAGAAGGCTGAGGCATTGCTTGACCAGATGTGGGCTGCAATGCTGGGGGAAATGGAAGAGCACGACTCTCTGAAACCACACTGCAAGAAGGTTCTTTTCTTCCAAGGCCGTCAGTTGCAGCGGACTCCGGACTGGGTTGAGCCAGTGACCTCCACCAAGAAGACACCACACCAAATCGCATCTCCCGAGGTCCTTGTGCAGTCCTTTGGTGGGCTCAACATCGATGACAACAAGGTGGAAAACTTCCCGATAGAGAAGATCAAAGTCAAGACACGTGGGACACCCGCTCCCCAAGCCTCGGCCTCAACGCAAGACGAGGAGACAGAGCAAGAAGACCAGGACCCAGCCCGTATTATCCAAGTCGACCGACGAGCCCTCAAAGTCTTCGGAGCACTCTTTCATACACCTTCCTCAACGTCCAAGCCAGGTGAAGTGCCGTGGACTGAGTTCCTACACGCCATGCGCTCCGCCGGCTTCAGAATCGAAAAGCTGTACGGGTCGGTCTGGCAATTCACGCCCCACGATGACAGCGACGGCCACGTGGGCGCGGGTATGAGGAGCATCCTGTTCCACGAGCCGCATCCTCATTCCAAAATCCCGTTCTGGGATGCAAGGAGGCACGGGAGGAGGTTGACTCGCGCCTATGGGTGGAGTGGGGAGACGTTTGTTGCGAGGTAGAGATGGGACACCGGCGAACATGCATCATGCACAGATACGAGGTTAGCGAAGGGAAAAAAGGGGTAACTAAGCAGCTGATGAGGTTGGGTTTGGAACCGGAAGGACTGCTCCGCTGTTAGTTGTTTGATCTACAGCAACTTTGCCATCAAATTTGTACTTATACCTTACCACTGATGTATTTGCGCTTTTTGTGTGTGTAAAATATGTGACTTAAATGATACATGAAGATATCTCCCGTTGGCTCCCTGGATCCAGCTACTCGGTACAGTGAATAAGAGGAGAGTGGCCGAGGTATTTGTTTACATCAGATGTCACGGGCTAAGGCCTCTCAGCACAAAGAGATTTGCGCTGGTGTTTCGGCTGTCAGAACATGTCCAAATCCATACCAGCCTCTCGTGTCTGGATAAACCGACCATGATTCTCCTGACGATCTCATCCCACCAAATCTTGCATCTAGCACCACACAGTCCCCTCCTATATTCCTACCAACGTGGCCAACATTGTGCCATATCCCAGCCAAGGGTACTGGTGGTATGGCTAGTTGCAGAGTCGACTAGAATATCCTCTCCCGAGACGTCCGCACACGCGATATTTCGGAACCAGGTCGGGGCATACCTTCCAAGGCCGGCGATGAGCAGATCGTGGAACTCCTCGGCAGATGCGGGGAATCTGCATATAAACCTATTATCTATGCGATGGTCGCAGGCAGTCCTCCTTTGTGACTCGTTGGCGCCACACGACGCCTCTGCAAAAGCAAGCTTTCGCTGTTCAGATGGTCCTTGAGAACATGAGATATTCCTGCCTGAAATGATCTCACTGTGCCACGCCATACACTTGTCAACATCAAACTCAAATTGTAATTGTTCTTGGGCTTTCAAAGCCAGAGAATGTAAATACTCAGGTATAATGAGATCATATACATTTTGTTCGTGATAAAACATTACTAGTGTGCTCTCATCGCATCCTTTCTCTGCCCATTCCAACTACATGACCATCATTATGACCAACATTAACCCAGACCGTGACACTGTTATTCGACAAGGAGTCGCTGAGAATGATTGAGTACAAGTATGCCGATGTGCATCTCTCGGCTTGCAGTGTTGAAGTTTCCATGATCATCCATATTTTGCCCTTGACTGCCGGCAGAGACATTGCATGCGTGCTCCTGCTTTGACGAGTTCCTCGGACAAACAGGTGCGAAGTCGGATCCATCTCGTCCAGCTCTCACAGGAACAAGATAGCGAACCCGGCAACACTGGCCATGCCCACAACCATGATCTGCTGCACAGCTGCAGCAGACGCTCCATTCTCATCGCCGTCATCGGAATCACTCCCATCGTCCGAGGCACCGGTGGAGGAAGAAGAAGAAGACGAGGAAGTGGAGGTGCCGGTGCTGGCGGAAGCAGAGGTGGTCACGGCCGGCTCCGTCTGCGACGTCTGGGTCACGCCGGGGCACTTGTTGACGCATTCCTTCATGGTATTATAGGCCTTGGAATCGGTCAGGTCGTCCGGGTAGCTCGCGTCGACGCACTCCCTGGCGCACGCATATGCGGTGCAGGGCAGGTTGTTTGCATCCCAGAAGGGAGACCCCTTGAGGTCCGTCTCGTACTTGGTGTAGTTGCCAGTGCCGCCGGTGAAGGTGAACTTGTTGCTGTAGTCTATGTCGTCCTCGTCGCCGTCGACCTCGCCAACTCCGATCGAGTAGTAGGTTGCCGAGGGGCCGACTTCTGCCGGGATGGTGAAGTTGCTGGTGGTAGAGAGTGTGGTAGAGTTGGTGAGCCAGCCTATGTTATTTTGTAGCGTCAGCATCTGATCTACATCTGATCCGGGTAGATCATGTCGATCACGGCCAATTGTCACATTGCAGACGTACAAGTTGGTCCAGTTTCGCCTCCGAGGGCTGCCGCCAAGTATACACGGTACTTGTCGTTGCTGTCGAGGTCCTTGGCGGTCACTTGGAAGCTCGTTTCGGCGGCAATGGTGATTGGCACAGTGACATCGACCGCCTGGGCAAGATTCACCAGGGAAGCAGCCAAAGCGGCGTAACTCGCGACGTGGTGATGCATTTTGTTTAAAAGAGTGTGGAGCGACGATCGGCTGTAGTCGCGATGTGGGTGTTTTGAAAGTAAGCAAACGAACAAAGTTTAAGGAAAGTTGATGGAGAACAAACGCAGTCGACGATCGATTGTCAAGTTGAGTGAGGAGTCAAAGATGTATGTCTGCACAGACGCCCTAGCAATGTTGAAAAAAAAGCGGACAAAAGGGGTATTATTTCCAGGAACATCCATATGCAGCTCTGACTCGCTGCCAGCCGCTGCCAACAACAAACCTGAAATCCCGGAGTGGCCCACAAGTCGGCCCGGCGCAGCATCTTTGTTTGTAAGAGTGCATGCGCCCTGCCGCCCAATAAATTAGCAGCGGTTCCAACACATGCAACGGGCGCAGGGAACATGGTAGCAGAGCTCGTGATTTTTGCTTCGTGAAGCAACCGCAATTCCGCGAACCCCTACGACCCGGAATCCGTGACATACCTCGGCCAATTGCACGTAGTCCCCTAGAGGTACTTGGATAACTTATCCCCAGCAATGACCATGCCAAATCTTGTGGCCAAAGCGAACGATTAACATGCGCCCATCGCCCAGGCTGAGCTTAGCCGTCGATCCTTTGTGCATCTGCCGGATCCTCTCGTCGAGGCCTCCCCAAAAGTGCGAAGACCCCCATTCCGGAGCGGTCTGGAGTGGTCTCATTGAAGCGGGTGACGTCGTTAAGGTAAAGCGGCCCGCATTTCATTCTCCACCAGTGCGGGTCGACCCCACCACCCCTGCTCCGTCTCATACAAAATCGATATGCGTAAACTCCGACAGGTGTGGGGCATGGGTTTTGAGGAAACGACAGTGGAATACCCTCCTCTCTTCCCGTCTTGGACAAAAGTGGCCTTCCACATACATATAGGCTAAGCTTTGGGATGCACCTAAGCCGGCGTGGTCACCACCACGGGTTCACTCAATCGAACCAAAGCTTGAATTGAAGATGCCACAAAACTAGCCACGGAACACGTCATTGGCGTACTTGGGTTGAGCACACTTAGGCGCGAGACTGCTGCGACGCTTCCTCAATATAGGTAGTGGCCAACGCCAACTCCCTCAACATGGCGATGATCTCGAAGGTAAGTGTGTGATACTATTTCGCCTCGGCAACATGTGCAGCCATTTTGTCGTATTGGGTTACCAGAAGAGCAGAGGCAACATGTGGGTATGACGCATTTGGAAAAGGGGTTTCGAGGGGTGAGGCAGACTGTCAACCCTTTCAGTCTGTTGTGCTTGATATCTGCCTTGCTCCTCGGCCAGTTTCTCCAACCATCACATTTTCTGGCTGATCCTTTAACCGTCACGACGTGGTATATGCATCGCAGTAATGGCACTGGGGACCGATGAAGTCTAAGCATATTTTGCAGACGATGACAATGGGCACGGGTTCTGTGTATTAGTCCGAGCGGCATAAGTTTACTCCCCTGTGTATTATTCATCCCATGTTATGGATTGGACCAAAAGTTCCGGACAAACAAGTCGAATTCAGATGCATCTACCAACCGGAAGATTTCAATCAGACTGACATGCGAGTCTATCCTGTTCGGGATGTGACCTAAATGCTGTCGGATGCATCGAACAGGGCCTGGGCTTCGATATTATGCGAGCTGCAAGCCCAGGGCCCCAAGTGTTTATGAACTCTAGACATTAGGAGCAAAGTCTGTCTTTCTGATTTCAAAGTCTCTCGCTATTATTTTGCACACTTCCACACTTTTCGTGCCAAGTAAACCCTTCAGTATGACTTCGGCACGTCTTAATTGTCGCCCTGTTACTGTCCTGCGGAGCCTGCGTCCCTGTCTCGGATCGCAGGAAAAGACAAGATGCCGCCTTTGACTATGTGATTGCGGGTGGGGGCACGGCGGGCCTTACACTCGCGGCCAGACTTTCTGAGGACCCTTCTACCTCAGTGGCCGTCATCGAGGCTGGCACTTACTACTCGATCACGGATCCTTTGCTGGCTTCAACTCCAGCAGGCGACACAGTAGGTCTACAGCAGCTGAAGACATTACCTTAACTTGGACACGAGTTCGCAGCAGACGAAGTCCATATCGGCGCTCCTGAACGTCGTTGTCATTATCTTCAACTAACTTGACCACAACCCAATAGCTTTTCGCCGGCAGCTCTCCAACGGACACCGACCCGCTTGTAGACTGGGATTTTGTCACTACATCACAGACAGGTGCAAATAACCGCCAAATTCGCTATCCGCGAGGGAAATGTCTAGGGGGCAGGTGAGCAACCTGTGTGGTTCATTTGGATGTTTTGTCAGATTCGTCGTGCATCGAGGCTGATTGATAGTACAGCTCAGCCCTCAACTTCATGATCTACCAGCGTCCAGACACGGGCTCCATGCAGCTCTGGGCTGACACGGTCGGGGACCAGAGCTACACCTTCGAGAACATGCTGCCATACTATAAGAAGAGCGTGCAGTTCACACCACCTGACACGAATATGAGAGATCCGAATGCAACGACGCAGTATGATGCCAGTGCCTTCGATTCAGCTGGCGGACCCCTGCGAGTGTCGTACGCCAACTATGCACAGCCATTCTCCAGCTATCTCCAGCCGGCAATGGAAGAAATGGGAGTACCCAGGCAAAGGATTTCAACAGTGGGACGGTCATGGGCTCACAATATTGCAGCTCGACAATCAGCCCGGAAAACGAGAATCGGGACTCGTCCCAAACCTCATTCCTCAGCGCGGTGGAGTCAAGGCCGAATCTCAGCGTCTACCATTCAACCAAGGCGAGCAAGGTCGTGTTCGATGGGAACAAGTCTGCCACGGGCGTGCTGCTTGATTCGGGCTACATGCTCTCGGCGAACAAGGAGGTCATCCTCTCTGCAGGAGCCTTTCAAACTCCACAGCTCCTGGTGCTGTCGGGAATTGGGCCTGCAGAGATTCTTCGGAGGTTTGACATCCAGGTCATTGTTGACCGTCCTGGGGTGGGACAGAACTTAACAGACCACATCTTCTTTGGGCCATTGTACCGCGTTAAGGTACAGACTCTCACATATCTCGCCAACAACCTCGCATATGTTGCTGAGCAGTACGCAACAGCTTATCTCCCTTCCAACGAAGGCCCCCTAACCAACCCTGTCTGCGATTACCTCGGCTGGGAGAAGGCACCGCGAGCCAACATCACCGCCAGCGCAGCCACAGCCCTGGACCAGCTTCCCGGCTCGTGGCCCGGGATCGAATACCTGCCGGCACCAGGATACGTCGGGGCCTTCACCAACCTCTTCACGACCCAGCCCAACGACGGGTACCAGTACGCCACAATCCTCGCCGCCCTCGTGGCCCCGCAGTCCCGCGGCACAGTGACCATCTCCTCGAGCGACGTGGCCGACCTGCCCCTCGTGGACCCGCGCTGGCTGACCGACCCGACGGACCAGTCCGTGGCGGTGGCGGCGTACAGGCGCACGCGGCAGGCCTTTAGGTCGGGCGCGATGCGGGCCCGCCCTCGCCGACACGGCCGAGTACTTCCCCGGAGCGGAGGTGTCGGGCGACGAGCAGGTGCTGGACACGGTGCGCGACACCCTCATGACGGTGTACCACGCGAGCTGCACCGCGCGCATGGGCAGGGCCGACGACCCGACGGCCGTGGTGGACAGCCGCGCCAGGGTCGTTGGCGTGCAGAGGCTGAGGGTCGTGGACGCGAGCAGCTTTGCGCTGCTGCCGCCGGGGCATCCTCAGAGTACGGTTTATGCTTTTGCTGAGAAGATTGCGGATGATGTCAAGGATGGGAGGTAGAGTTGGGGCCGATGGTGAAATACTGGGCTTGAAATTTAATCGAGCAGTGTCGTCGTGCCTAGCAACTTTTCAGTAATAACAATGAGTGGGGGAGGGGGGAGGTGGCAGACAACTGTTCATGAATAACGACCAATAAGCACTCATTGTTCAAGCTGGTCCAGTCCTCTCAATCACGCTTAGTTAGGTATCATAGTTGTTGAAAAGGCATATTGTTTAGGCAAATGGGGAGAGATACATCACTCCATGCGGCGAAACTCGACCTAATTTATTGACGGACGGTTCTGAATTGTGTCTAATGGCACTCAAGCGCGCTCATGTTGAACAGACAAGCCAAGACCTCCACCAAATATGCTCAGGGCTTCCTTTCCGCTCCTCATCTGTCCGTGAGCCAGTGACGATGGTCCCGAGCCGCAACCGCAACAACCCCTATCTGCACTTCTCAGCGCCGTTGACAATGACATTCCAGTGCTCGGTTTCGTGGAATATCTGCCCGCGAGTCCAGGATATGGGAGTGTCAAATTCGATGCACCCATCGATTATCTTCCCGGCAAGGTCGGCAATATCGTTGGCAGTGACAGTTGCGCCGATGAGATCCTGTTTTTGAGTCCTTAGCATCAGGACTTGTAAAGACAATCCAAACACAGACATGGAACCTTTTGGCAGGGTGGGAGCTTACGTCGTTGCACCACCAAATCGCCGCGTGGCGGTTCTTCAGGTCGCCACGACACTGCACCTGAGCACAGGTTCCAGGGCCGGAACCCAGGTTGAAGTAGTGGTTGCCGATCTGTTTCAGGGTATCCTTGCAGAGATTGACCATGGGGTATGGGGCGAGGCCGAAGACATTGCAGTTGGGCGTTGGGTCGTCTTGGGCTGCCTTCTCCGGAGACGTACTGTTGAGGTTGTCGACGTCGGGCCAGTCGTAATCGGGTAAGTGGATGTTGATGTATTGGAAGATTTTGTCTGCGGTACCCGTAACCTTGATCTTCTCGCTGTCGGAGGCACCTGGGATGTTCAGCTCCCAGGTCGGGTCGACAATTGTGTAAATGGTCATCTCGCCGTGGGCGTTGGGAGCAAGGAGGGTGTCGTTGTCATAGAAGATGGGCGCGTTGTGGGGGACGACCTGATTTGAACCTTTGTCAGTATTTACGCTCTGACAGTTCGTTTGACAATCCCAAAGCCAATGCAAGTGTTTGTTTGCGCGTTTGGGACCTACATCAGCATGACCGGCACCCATCAGCAGACCCATGAGGATCATGATGGTCATCTTGAAGCCGAAGTCGGTCAACATGGTGACTGTTGAGGAGACTTTATAAGGCAATATAATAGGCGATGATCTGTCTTGCAAGACTTGTGGGAGTGTTGCCAATCCAGGCTTGAATTGCAGAGGATGGTTGTCGTGGTGGAGACGTTCCGTTCTAGAAATGGGCGAGATAGACATGCAGGCCCCTTTTAAGGTTGCGTGAGTGAGTGACTCAAAGGCATAGACCAGATGAAGCAGAGTGAAGAGCTTGCCTCTCCGACTTTGTCCTGGTAATGATGTGTGCTGTTGGCAGCTACGTTGTTATTCACCGTCTCCTGTTACTGCAGCTTGTGATTCATCATTCATTACATCCCAACTTTTAGCGCTATAAGATTTAGATGCTACATTACTTTATTCCCAAATTTACTTCAGTAATTTACCTTCGATCTGTAATTAGGACCCAGTCTCCTTTCGGAGTCAAAGGAGCAGGAGTCAGAACACTGCAGACTGCCAAAACTGCCAACGGAGAAGAAAAGCCAGATCTTGTTCCGAACGTTGGGACCATCTTTAAGCACCATGCCTCTGGATCTTTCCGCCTGATCTGTGCAATGGGCTTCAAGACCACAGCGCTTTTGCACTCTTTCAAGAGACCTACACCTGTTCTCTCCTTGACACACTGACGTCTGCTAATCAAACTTGATCACTTGAAATCCATCAACAAAATCAATCATATATACCTAGACCTTTTCAACCACGCGTGTACCCACGAGTTCCTCAATCGCCATAGCAAAAGCCGCAACTTGAACCATTAATACCGACGATCCTAAGCTTCTCACATTGGTGTGCTGTCATCTATCTCGGATCTACTAAGGATATCGCCAGGCATGAAAGGCGAACTTCTATCTTCCAGCGTCTTCTCCAGCATGTTGCATGCCATAGATAATCCAGAGATACTCATATTCAAGATGATGTGCCGGCCTCAGAGCGAACAGCCCAAATGCAACAGTACAGGGGCACCAGGAGCAGTCCCTCCCAAATTCTTCGCCGGCCGTACGTACACGGATCTGCGTCTCTGGTAGCAAATCACACGAATTTCCAAAGATTGGTAGCGTGCCAAAAATTATTTCTAAGCCAAACCCACTGCTTGCAAACCCTGGTCCCGCATATAAATTTCTAGACTAGAGCCCGCCGGCTCAGTGCATTGCCAGGACGAGTTCCTTGTTGTGGCGACCATGGTCCAGACAAACTGGGCCGATGCTTTTAATAGTACCGTAGCGCGACGGCATCAACCATGTGAATACTGCCGACGCCACCGCCAAGAATACTGCGAAAATTACATACATTGGCGCCCGTCTACAGTGTTTGGTCAGAGCGGCACATGCAGAAAAGGGATATTTGATGGATGGCTCTGCCCTGGGGTTTGCGAGGAAGAAGAGTACGAGCCGGCTTGGACGGTTCCAGCTGGCTTGATACTAGCGTGGCCAGTGTAGCCAGCCTTGCCGCTAGGCTTGGGTGGCCGATCCGGTTGTCCCTCAAGTCTGAAGTCGTCAAGGTCCCATCTACCAAGCTTGACATCTAGACGCCGTGTGGGCCAAAACCGTCAAGTTTCTTAACTCCATCGACAGTTCATCTCTGCTCAAGAAGTGAGTTATTCCTGCCATGAGAATCTTGATCTTCAGTGATTGCAGACATAGAAACTCTCACCACCAGTCTATCAGTTGACTGCAACGCTGCTCTACAACCACCCAAGCTCTTTCACCATACAATTCGGCTTCAGGGATACAAATGTCTGCTCTTTTAAGATGGGTCCGAAAGCAGCTCGAAGAGCACCAGCGTCTCGAGGAAGCGAAAGCACGCGAAACCGAGAGACGTATCCAGCGGGAGCAGCGTGACAGTGAACAGGCTCGAGCCTTATCCCTCACCCTATGCGAGCTACAGCGCAGCATGGACACGCCCATAGCCGCACAGTTCTACAACGACCGTTTCTGTCCCTTCAGTCGGTTGCCGGAAGAGCTCCTCCTAAATGTACTCGACTTCCTCGCCGACGATCCCGTTACGCTGCACTGTCTCCAGGCAGTCTCGAGGATATTCCTGCGTCTTCTTGACCGGGAATCGGACATCTGGAGAGACGAGTGGTATGTCCGTCCTACATATTTGGGAGGAGCTCGCACTATCTATCTCCAACCTCACTTAAAGGGACAATTTCGACCGCTCCTGCAGAGAGACGGGCGGTGCGACAACTGCAGGCACTGGAACCACTTCTCTGTGTGCCAACCGTTCGACGACTGCAAATTCGCGCAGAGGCACCGACGGCGCGATTACAGGAAGCTTTATTGCGGCGCGTGCGATACTCAGCACGACATCTGTCAATTCTCCAAGAGATCTCAGCAGCAATGGGAATTCCCACGATCACGACGATGTCTAGGCCAGGAGGGATCGGTGCAGCTGTGTGAGCACGTGCAGATCACCTGGGCCAGCATCACGGCTCACATCGACGAGTGGCGGCGGCGGCACAGCGAAGGGGGAGGAGGTTTGAAAGCCTGCCTCGACAGTTTCAACATTGAGTGTTGCGATGCCAGCCACGATACGCGTTGCACAGCCTTGGAGGCGCCGACATGGCCGCGAGCCCGCCTCCGTGCTTCCACTGCCTTTTCGAGCTGGCATACTGTGGTTCTCAGTCTGGAGTGGGCGCCCCACAGCCGCATCGACTCGCTCAATCTCACCGCTGATGGCCGGATACCCGCTCATGAGCTGAGGGCGAATTTTCAGAGGCTTCGAAAGCTGGGGCCAGCGGATACTCTGTATCCTGCGAGCCGTCCTGGCGGTCTACCCGAGTTGGCGTGCATTAGCAGTTCGTGCCCTTTTGTTTACTACAAGACGGAACAGGACGACGAGACCCCGGCATGTCCATCGCTTCCTCATGGGTGGCAGTTATCGCGTTATTGCAAAAGCTTAAAAAGCAATGATGGAAGCGGGACAAGTGGTCGGAAGCTCCAAATCATGCCTCACCGCCTGAAAAACGCTGGCGGTACTGGCATTTCCTGGCAATGTTTTGTGACCAGATACATGGAAGACATCGTTATCTGCAAGATGACAGCCATAATGGATCCTACCATTAAGATTATCCCCACCGACTACTGGCTCCACGCCATGGATACCGACACATACCCCCACCCGGAGGCATGTCAGATCAGGCCTCAGTGCAGGGACGAGACCTGCGTTAACTACCATCGAAGGAGAATGGATTGCTGCTTGTTCGGTAACAGATACTTCAGTGGCTCATTTCCGGTAATCTAGTCCATGCATCCGCGATTTCAACATTTACGTCCAACAAATAGCGCAAAGACAGGACTTTTCATCAGGGAGTTGGTATGAGATGCAGATCCGCCCCGGGTTGAATTATGCTCTCTGTCGCCTGCCAATATGAATACAACTTGCGACATGGATTTGTGACACGACGAGATTTTGTTCTCTCTTCCTTGATTTCTAGCCACTTTAAGTTGGCACCAAAATCTCCGCGGAGGCGAGCGTGCCATCACTCCGACCGGGAGTCAATGACGGGCTAAGCATGACCTTCCTGCACATTTTCTGTGCTTTTTTCGTCCTTCTCTCCCTCCATAGGAGGCTTCATAGGAGGGCCACCTGTTCGGGCGTCTGTCCCAGTCTTGGGTAGCTGTCGACATCCCGCTTCTATCGCGTGCGGCGGACCAGTAGGATCTTTTCGTAGCTGACATGTGTCCCAGACAAGGCGAAGAGTTCCGCTCCGTTAAAATGGGGTAAATAGCCGTTGATGTACGATATGAAATCCAAGGACGTCTTTGTTACCGGCACGTAACGAAAACGCACTGGCCTGTTTTTCAGATGGTTGAGACTTTGCCTCGAGATTCGATATTCCGGGTCGTAATCATTCACGGTAGCCACCAGGGTTATGGGACTAGGAAACACAACCGAATCGAACAGATTATTCATACAGCCTCGCACGAAATTACCAATCGCTCGAGACCTGATCTCTTCAGAAGAGAGAGTATGTTCATGTCTCGAGCCGATGAGTTTTATCTCGACAAGCTCTTCATTAGGCCCCAGGCCCCTTTGACCCACATCTGACATAGTCGTGCCGCTAGATGGTCGCCATGCTGACTGCAGAGAATAGATATTAACCGCAAGATTCTGGATGTATTGGATGAAGGGGGGCTGAGCCGGGAAGACTACTGACCTCCTCGGAGTTCTCATCGAGCTGACGCTGGCCCTTCGTTCGTGACAGCCAGGTGTTGATGTCTTCTTGTGTGTAACTTTGTAGCTTGTCGGCCTCAGGCAGCTGGTGCGGCCGCTTTTGGACGAGGTCTTGCAATGTATAAATCCCCGGTGCCCATGTCGGGACAGAAGTCCGCGTCCTAGAAGAAGCCAGGCGAATCGAGTCAATGAAGCTCAGGCTGGGCCTTGGGATGGTTGGACTCCAGATGCTCCGCGCAGCGGAAACTTGTAGACCGGGGGCCAAAGAGGGCGAACGAGACAATAGCAACATCGCAAGTGTCTTCAGATCCTTCACCGCGGATGAGGGCAAGTCGATGTTGACACAGAAGCGAGTTCTCGTATGCCTGAGCACAGCTTGTGCAGTGGGGCGAGGTTGTGAGGGGAGGTCGGGTGGAACCTGAACCCTAGACCCCGCAGATAAGATAAGACGGCGAGACTGCATAATTTCCGGGGTCAACCCCGGGGCAGTTCACCCAAGAATCTGAATAGAGGGGGAGTCTGTGTAGGGCTGTTCTAAGTTAGTTCTGCTTGAGCACGTCCCTATTTTGGGCAAACTGAGCGGCTGTCAGCCGCGCGAGCCTGTCTCATGGCAACTGGTGGTCATGGACATGCTGCTGTGCACAATACCCGGGTACTTTGTTTCACACATCAGAACCACACAGACCCAGGCATACATTTTCCGCAGCCCATGATACGGTATGGCTTGAAGAATGGCTTGAAGAATTCAAGCTCTCATTACTCGCAACACGGGGTCGTCCCGGTTAGGAAGCAGTTATCACGTGATTGATTCTTGGCATTCGCGGTCTTGGCGCGGTTTCTTAGCGGCGCTCGGGAATTCCTGTGTGCCCGTGGCTGGGCCAAGGACACAGCTGGGCGTTGTCGTTGGGCTCGATTGGCCACCCCTAATGCATCCCCTACTGACAGCATGTCTTCCTTGATGAAGGTGGCTCCCAGCTCGGCGACTCCGTAGATCACTGCCTGGGGATTTGCCGTCGGCTCCAGAGGTATAATACTCGCGTCACACACGCGGAGGTTGGAGCAGCCATAGACACGCAGCCTGTTGTCCACCACGCCGCCCGTAGCACGCGGCACCATCGAGCACGTACCAGTACAGTGGTGCGAACCGTCCACCGTGCGGCGCACCTAATCCTTCGCCGCCTCCAGGTCAGTGATCCTCTTGGTGTACGGCTTCAGGTGGCGCGCGAGTGGCTCCGCGGTTGTAATAATGTCCTCGGCGAAGCGGACCTGGCGCGCGAGCACCTCGAGGTCCAGGGGGTGCGAGAGGGAACGGGTGTCGATGCTCACGCCCTCGCTCGTGCTGGCATGCTCCGGCACCGCGCTGGTGATGTGCATGGAGCCGCGCGAGAGCGGGTGCGACAGCTGTATCACGACGGAGACGTGCTTCCCGGGGGCCCGGTAGGCTGGGCTGGGGCCGTCGAAGGGCGCGTAGGCGGCGCCGAAGATGTAGCTGCCCAGCCCCTCGGTTGGGTCTCTGAGGATGGATCGTACGAAGGCCTCGTGAGCGGCGGCAAAGGCCGGCGTGGTTGGTGGGGAGCGGAGCGCGTCCGCCTCCGGGTCCAGGGTGCCTAGCAGCTGGTCGAGCTCCTTACGCCCGTCTGGGGTATGGAACTCGGGCAGCGGAAGCTGGGCCATGGTTATCAAGTTGCTGGTGCTGAGGGGCCCAGTCCCCTTGGTGCCGTAGTCCTGCATGGCTGCATCGACGGCATCAGGCTCCTGGCGGAAGAAAGCATCGATCGTGTCCACATCGTCGCGCGCCTCAAAGGAAATTCCTGTGAAGAGGTGGTTCTGGAGGTTCTCGCCAACGTGTGGGTTGTCAACTAAAACATCGACTCCCAATCGCTGAAGCAAGTCGGCACCGCCTACTCCCGAGAGCTCGAGAAGTCGGGGCGAGTTGATGGCCCCCGCAGAAATGATGACCTCCTTACGGACTGCAACACTTTGGGCAGACCCTCCCTTGGTGATTAACTGTGCGCCCTTTGCGACAGCATCGCTGCCTGGGGAAGGTCTTTCGAGCAACAACTTGGTAACGGTTGTCTCAGTCTGGATCGTCAGGTTCGGCCTGCCTCGGACCGGATCGAGACATGCATTGGCAGCATAGCTCCTCTGCTTCGTCTTAGGGTCGATACTCTCGGCAGCGATATTCGGTCCACCAAGACGGCCAGAGAGTGGATCAGTCCTCGGAAACCCAACCGACTCCAGGCCGTCAATCCAGGCCTTCTCCCAGACGGTCTGAGGTGCATGAAGCGTAACCTGCAAGGGGCCACTGCCTTCAACTTCCCCCGAGGACTTATGCAGAGTATATGACTTCTTCAGAGCCGTCTCGTACGCAGTGTAGTCCCAGCCTTCGTTGCCCAGGTTCTTCCATCCGTCCACAGTCGCCTTGGACGTTGAGGTGAACAGGAAGCTGTTGATTGCGCTAGAACCTCCGAGGGCCTTCCCCTGCGGGGTTGTGATTTGCTTGTCGATATTCTTCTGAGTAACCGTGTGGAAAGTCCAGTCAGCTGGAGACTCGGACAGCAAAGGCCAGGCCCCCGGAGTCAGGGTGTTCGGGTCTGCGCTGCGGTCCTCGCCACTTTCGAGGACGAGGACCTGTACATTCGGCTGTTCGGAGAGGCGGTTGGCCAGAACTAGGCTGGAAGTACCGCCACCAATAATGACAATATCGTAGGTCTCTGGAGACATTTTGACGATCTCTTGGTGAAGGAAGATAGGAGGATTTCAGCAATGATTCAGACAATTGAGACGAGGACATGCTCGGTGTTCGAGAGGCGTCTTCAAGTCAAAGCATCCACGGAGTGACGAAACCTCAAATGTATATTTGGCGGACTTCAAAGAATTCCTTGACGGTCCTCAAGGTTGGCCAATCACAGTATACGGTGAACGGATTTTCACTTATGCATGAGGACCCGCGCGTTGGTTGACAATGACAGGGGCATTTTGTCTCGGTGTTGCACTGCACTTCGCCCAACAGATATTAGTGCGGAGCCGAAATACAGGAATAACATGTCAAGGGGAAATTGACACCCCTGCCGCGGCCAAATCAGCACCCTCGTGTGTTCGCCGAAGGATCTAGAGGGTGTCGCCAAAAAGAGGCACAGCACCCAGGAGCAGACGGAGCGAGTAACTTGCCGGCTGCGATTGCATGTAAGCTGTTGGTTGTCAGCTTGTTGATGGCCGCAAATGCACAGCTAGGCAACAGATCCTTTTTCCTGGGCGTGAACATCCTCGAAAGGCCGGCCGCATTGCATTGAGTCGAACAGTCAGCGGTTGTGATGAGTACTTGGATTGCGGTCATGGTAAGCAAAGGCATACTGTCAACCCTGGGTATCTTACGAACTTAGCAAATTGGTTCCTACGGAAATGTCTTGGATTATCCCCATACTGTATTAATAAAGCTATCGTGCCTGAGTTACATGCCATCAGTCATAGAATAGAACCAGTCATCTGGAAACTGTTCATAGTCATAAGCTTTTGAAATTTAACTAATTCGTGATAACTATTCATTCCTTTTCTTAAAACTTCTGGTGTCAAGCAGGTACTCAGCCGGGGAAATTGAGTCCAGTGAAGAAGTAGTATGCCTCGATGCTTCCAAGGTTGAAACCGCTACTACATATCCTGGGGCACATAGACACTGAGGAGGGAGATTCCTATGCCAATGGTCTCGAAACCATCAGGGTCTGAGTAACGAGCCCAGAGTCACTTTGCAGGACTTGGAACTTTTCGGCACAAGAATTAGTGAGGTAATCCATATTAGGGTTTCGAGAAGATTCTCGAAATGCATAGATATATTGCCCTGCAAGGTTCCGTGTGACGGCGAAGCAGAGAAGACAGGGCTATTAGATCAGCCCTGGCTTTGCAAATCAGCCAGTCCCAGAACTTCCTCTCGTAAAAAGCTTTCCATCAATGTTCGCCAGGTATTGGATAGAATATGCGCTAGTATCAACATTGGTCTCGATCAGACAATGGACATATAGGTTCTCTTTGAGTCAGCGTAAGCCATCACGGTCCACACCACACAACTAATGCACATAAGTTATGTACTAGCCTACAAATGAACGAGTCTTTCAGTATTTAGCCATCATAGTTTGCAGCTTAAATCAGCAGGTCGCCATTAGGGTGCGTACACTCTTCACTGAAAGTATAAATGTGCCGGTCCCCCCGACTCCCATCACCCAACTTTCCTTTCCCTTCTTCTTCTTCACCAAACACACACTCTCTATTTCTCTCACACACACACACAAACTTTCAAACTCATTTCAAATCTTTCTACTTCTTGCTTCAAGAAGAACAACAACAACAATAACAACAACAACAACAACAACAAGAGAAAGAAAGCATCATGCCTTCTAAATCTCAGAAACAAAAGAGAGTCCCGCTCCAGTGGTGGTCGACCGAGGCCCCACAACAAGGACGGACTCTGGGGAGCCAGCTTGCTCCTCAACCTGGCCCAGCCAGGAACAACGCTAAGTCTTCATACCTTCTCACCCCATCTGAGTTCCAAGCTGAGCTGGGGCGACAATGCATGCAGCACCATCAACAATCAACTAACCGGAAATGAGACCCTCTAGTGCTGCCGCTGGTGGGTGCAGCAGGCGAAAGCCTTGGGCACGTCGCGGTCCCTTTGTGGCCCGGCGGTTCCACCAGTGGTTGTCTAGCAGGGCACCTTATGAGCGCTTGGGGGTAAGAGCCTGGCAGTGCAGGTACCGTCCTTTGGGGCGCGGGCGGCTCGGCTGGTGCTGAGTTTCTCTGCTGGGCGACGACTCCCTGCTTGTGTTTTTTTGTTTGTGTTTCAGCGGCGCGAGAGGGTAAGAGCCTGGCAGTGCAGGTACCGTCCTTTGAGGCGTGGGCGGCTCAGCTGGTGCTGGGTTTATCTGCTGGGCGACGACTCTCTAGCGTTGCTTCTGTTTTGCTTGTGTTGTTTGTATTTCAGCGGCGCGAGAGGGTAAGAGCCTGGCAGTGCAGGTACCGTCCTTTGAGGCGTGGGCGGCTCAGCTGGTGCTGAGTTTATCTGCTGGGCGACGACTCTCTAGCGTTGCTTCTGTTTTGCTTTTGTTGTTTTGTTTGTTTAGCGGCGCGAGAGGGTAAGAGCCTAGCAGTGCAGATACCGTCTTTAGACGAGGGCGGCTTAGCTGGAGCTAAGTTTATCTGCTGGGCGACGACTCTCTAGCGTTGCTTGTGTTTTGTTTGTATTTCAGCGGCGCGAGAGGGTAAGAGCCTAGCAGTGCAGATACCGTCTTCGGGCGAGGGCGACTTGGCTGGAGCTGAGTTCATCTGCTGGGCGACGACTCTTTTGTGCTTTTGTTTTGCTTTGTTTTTGGGGTAAGAGCCTGGCAGTGCAGATACCGTCTTCGGGCGAGGGCGACTTGGCTGGTGCTGAGTTTATCTGCTGGGCTCCGACTCCTAAGCGTTGTGTTTAGGGCGTCAAAGTCGTATTCTGCGCCTCCACGTGGTGACGCCTGGATAGTACCAGAGCAGAAACGCAATAAGAATTAGATAGCTCTTGATAGGTGGCAACTAAATGTACTCAGACGTCTTGGTCTTTCTGAAGAGGCACCGGCATTCTTTTTTTTCTCGTGTGACTCTTGTGATACTTGTTTCCAAGGCTAACAAATATCCACGAAGCAGCAACCACGGTGACTCACTATGGCTGACACGTGATATTTTGGCTGCCTTAGGTTGGGAAAGGCAATGCTTAGCCCGGGTTCGGGTACCGCCCAGGACCTACAAGGCTGCTACTTAGCGCGGTGAGGCTGCACATCATATAGCCAATTACGAAAGCGGCAGCGTGGACGGCGTCACGGGTATTACGGGGCTGTGTCTCTGCTCCGGGGTGCAGTCCACACTGCGTTGGCCAGGTTGGCTCCTCATAGCCTTCACACCGTCTGCTGTTATATGTACCTTATTCTGTATATTAGAAACTCTTACATGTAAGCAGATATGAACCAAGGCTTGTAACACAACATTTACTTCCAGCATATAGCCGAAGAATAATAGTTTGAAGAATGGACCTACATTGATCTTCTTTATTTGTATCCTTACCTGGGGAATTGATGCGGTGTTTCTGCATCACCGTCGTTCTGCAAAGGCGTCCGGGGTAATTCTTGCAGTATCTATCTTGCTTCCAAGCATACATCACTTTCGTCGTGTTAGACTGCGTATGGCCCTGATTCCTTGCAGTTTAATGTAACTATGGCCTGAAATAGCTTGCTAAATCATAGGTAACGTCACGTGGCCTTTCAAAGAAGCCTCGTACAGAGATGTCGAGTCCGGAATGACCATCATGTACGCTATTTAGCATAGCATGCGCACCTTGATCATCTCTGCGAGCGCACGCATTTGCTCAACCTAATCTTCAGTGCTGTTGTCCGAGAAAAACTCTTGAGACAAGAACTTATCCAGGCACTGCAGTGGAGCATCTGCTTTCAGGTCCTCCCAGCATTCCACCAAAACTCTTCCCACAGCTTTGGGAACATTCAGCTTGACCTTCACGTACTGACAGAGGATTTTGCTGATTCCCATGTCTAGAAGGTAAATTTGTGTCCATATAACGTTCTCCGGTTGCACATGATTTCTCAATCCTCTTTCTCTCTGGCCCGGTTCCCGCTTCAGAGGATTCTGTGAGCGCATGGCTGTTGCCCATGATACCGGGTCGAACCTTCTGAATAATTCAACAGTATGTGGCAGCAGGCGGCCCCACACGAGGCTCGGAGACCGGTCGCCTGGGTCTGATGTATTTGGAGCTTCTTCGCGGCTCGTTTGGTTCGGTTGAACATTGGCAACTCGGCGCGCTCGGAACCTAGGCTGAGGACGTTCTAGGTTAAGGGACCGAGGGCCTGAGAGATCAATGACAGGCACTGAACTGAGTAAGATCTTCTCAACCCGTACCAGGTCAATCAGGTCCAATTCGGTATACATCCAATAACGCGTTTATAATTATACTTAAAAGCTATAAGATTTATTTTAAAGAGATTAGAATTTTCATAAGTATTAAAGTAATAATTATAAATGGAAAGATAGATAATAAAAATATGGCTAAGCTAGTTAAGTTCTTAAAAAAGCATAAAATAATTAATTAAGAGTTAATGAAATATTAAGTTCTGCCTATAAGTAGTTAATAGAATAATTATAGTTTAATAAACATAGTTAAAAAACACAATTATAAGTCTTTAGTCACCCTTATACCCAGGAGGGGAAGGGGACTATGATAATGAAGAAATTCGCCTACTGAATGCAAATGGCTATTTATTCATGTAATGGTATCTAGCTTATTCATGTAATGGTATCTAGCTAGGTTTCACGAAGTAGTCATGGTAAGAGATGGCAGCGATGAGCTCCGCCTGACCAGGCAGCTTGATAGAACGAGGTGTGCAGAAGTCACCATTTACTTTTCGGGTCCAACCAAGGATGCTTCGCAAGTTCTTCAGGTGTTGGCCGCTCGGCTGGGTTGATCTTCATCATAGCCCGGAGAAAAGACCCAAATACCTCCTTGGTAGTCTGGTCCAGACCTGGTAGAAATGCCTCTGACTCGAGGGGTGGACGGCCCATTGGCTCAGCGTCTTTAATCCTTCCTTCGTCGTCAAACATGGCCTGAACAGTGGCATCGCCTTTCTCCAGCAAGGCCCTTGGGAACGGGCCAAAGATATCGACAATCTCCGCCAGATGTTCCCTGACTTCGGAGTGGCCGTCAGGCGGGACTGCCCCATCAAACAGGCGCATGGCACGATAAACTTCAAAAACCGTAGCGCCGAGGTTCCACCAGTCGACGCTGATATCCCACGGGGCCCTGATCAGAACCTCGGGAGCCCGAAGAGCGACGGGCTGGATGTTTTCAGTCAGATGCCTGGTGGCCCAGCTCGACACTCCCCAATCGCCCAAGGCGATGTCGAGCTCGTGAAACCGTGTGATATCCGCCCTGAAATAGTATGCCCGTAACGGCCGAGATTAGATCGGAGTGTACCGTTCTTCAGCCTTGTCCTGCTTCGGGATGGGTTCCTTGACAAGGTACTCTGACTTGATACGATGAGTGTCTCGAAACTTGATAAATACATTGTCCGGCTTAATATCTAGAATTCATTCAGCCTGGTAATCTGTATCGTATTTTTGAGGACAATGACATACCGGTATGAATCACGTTACTCTCGTGAGCAAAGTCGAGGGCACACACCAGTTGGAAGGTGAGCTTGCGCATGAGCAGGGTAGGCACCATGTGCTCTTGGAACCAGACGCCGAACGTCCGCAAGGTTTCACCCATTAGCTCCAACACGAGGCAGACGTGGTCACCGTTGGGTCCCTTGAGCTCGAAATCATCGACGAGATGGCAAACGTATTTTTAGCCCAGCAGTTTACGGTCACCGGCGCGAAGGTGGGTGAGAATCTCTCTCTCGAAGATGGGACTATCCTGGCCGTAACACTCCGCACTCAGAACTTTGAGAGCCTTGAATCGGTGCTCATCTTCCAGCCTGCATATTACAGGCCGAGTCAGTGTGAGCCCGGTACTGGAAAGGAGGGTGAGGGGGGTGAAGAAACGAAGGACTCACGGTTTCGAGAGGTCCTTGACAAGCCAAACTGTCGAGTAGCGTCCGTAGCCAATCTTGCTCATGACTTCATACTTGCTTGCATACACATCGCCAATGTAGACTGGATGGAATCCCCCTGATTGGTATGCATCTCCACCCTCCTCAATGTTGCCCAAATCGGTCACCACGACGCCGGATTGTTGCTGGGTGTCAGCTATTAGCGCAGCGCACGCCTCATTGGTTGGGTTTGAAGCCATGTTGATGAGAGCGGAGGAATTCTTGATAGCAAGTGTTCGTATAGACGCGGCGACGTTGAGCTCGAGTACGTTGCGAGATTTGTAAGAAGCTGTGCGTACTGTGGCAGCATAAAGCAGGCAGCATATTTGATCAAGATTGCGAGTGTCGAAGCATATGTTGGTTGGCTAGACTGCAGTTTGGCTTAAACGCAGCAGAAGCATACCGGTACCATTGCAGTTCCAAATTCCTGTGACAGTCCTCACGTCCTACGGCAACGAAGGTACAAGCTGAACGTGACGAATTGTTGATTTACAACTGTGGTTGCCTGGCTAAAAGAGAGGTTACAATTCAGCATTGGAGGCCAGTTGGGCTGATAAGATAAGCGAATAAGTGGGTCCAGTCAGTGACTGGGCCTGGCGTGCGTTCAGTCCACGGCCCTGACAATTCCCACTGCAGTGCAATCAGGAGTACCAATCGCCCTCGTCATCGTCAATCGACTCCTTTCTACCAGACTTGTCCAGCAATTCCTGAAATGTCCAAAGCTTGAAAGGAAAGCCCGGAATCGTGTTCGTGTTCTTGAAGTCCTTTCCATGAAGCAAATGGGCTGCGCAAGCCTCGTAGTTCTCATAATGTCCCCGGCCCGGATCTGCCGCACCCCCTGCTCTGCCGCACGAGATTTTTGGTGCAGACGCACCTTAAGACACCCACTTTTTAAACGCGCTAAATTAATTTTCCGTTAATTCTAAAAGTATCCCAATTTAAATCCTATATATAAAATTAATTATTTTATATAAAAATAAACTTAATATTAATTTACCATATTTATAAAATTTAATATAAATTCTTTAAGTTAAAATTAAGGATTTATTAAGATTTATAAGCATTTCTCTTATATTTTATAATAGCTACATGTTAATATGTTTCTTTATAAAATAATCTATATAAAAATTATGCTTAAATTTTATTATATATTTAAAAATTTATTATTATATATTTTAACTTTATTTTAAGTAATAAATCTTTATATAAGTTTATATAAACTATTATATTAAAATGTAATATTGAATTAAAATATATTAAGTGTCAACCAGTCCAGCTTGTTCGCGTAGACAAGGGCGGTAAGGCATTTTCGATTGCTACTGGCGAACCTGTTGAGATAGACGAAGCCAGCAATAGACCTGTCAAGGTCAAGCGGTCTGCTTCTGAGGAAGCAGCCGACGAAGACGAGATCATGCAATCCATGGCCCGGCGGAAGAAGAATGCAAGCCCCCCTGGTTATCAGTGAGCCTTTGAAAGACTTATATGGAGCACAGAGAAGCCACCAACGTGCATTGGCCACAGCTCTTAGTCCAACGGGATATTCGGCAGCCTAGCAGACGGGCGCGCATCCTGCGAACCCAGTTGAACGGTTATGTCCTTCCTCAATACCACTGCTCCTTCCAACCTGCGCACTCCCCAGCAGGCTCCTGCGGCTCTATTTCAACCACGCAACTCGCATTTTCCGCAAGGAGGCGACTTGTTCAGTAAGATCTAACTTCAGATAGGATGTAGTACCAGCAGCACCCTCGCTGAACGATCGAAGAGGCCCAGCTCCAGCAAGCACGCATTACACCCGCCAGCACCACCAGTGAAGATTTGACATCTAGATTTACAGGCCGGCTGCCTCACCAAGACGACTTTGGGTGGTGAATCTAAATTTTTATCTTCAGTGGTGGAGCTTTCCTCCACAGTTTCATAACAAATTTAATCCGCACACATCGAATCGTAGACTAATCCCAGCTGTGTAAGTGGCCATGTGAACGAATAAAGAAATGCGATCCATATGGATATCGTCCTCGTGTTCCTCTTTGAACTCACTCGCAGCCGCGACTGTTTTTTTCCCACCGGCTATGTCGACTTCACAGCAATAATCAGGCTTTCTTGAGCATCAGGAGCGTACTCGCAGATCTTGAGGATCTTGAATCCACTCTCGGCCGTGAGTCTTTCCCACTCAGCCTTGGTGCGCTCCTGCGCCCCAAGTTGGCACATCATGGTCATATCCAAAAACGCGGCTTTCCACGGAGCCTGCTTCTCAGACAAGACCGTGTCATCAATCAAAAGGTAAGAGCCCTCATTCATGGCATCCCTAAGATGTCTAAGAATCTCAACAGCCTTGTGACCGGGCCAGTCATGGAAAATCATTCTGAGATAGCATGCCCGTGCTCCTGTTTTACTTTGAGTGGGAGTTGAAATATGCGAGCGCTTGTATTTGCGAAGCACGTACCTTTGATTGGCTGGGGCTTGAAAAAGTCGTGAGCCATGGCCTCTATACCCTCGAAACCCGGTAGAGGCGTCGTTTCAATCTGGCTAACGACTTGTGCCTGGTCTTGGACAATGACCCTCCCCTGAAGGTCAGAGTATGCGTTTTTGAAGAAGATAGATTGCTGACCCATGGCCCCGCCTACAGCCACGAACAGAGGCACAGAGGGGTCTGTATCATGGCCGTGGAGGATTTCTTGGCGAAAATCAACAAGGTCAAACCAGTTGGGCATGCCATCCCTCAGCGTCGCCATGGCCTGATGACACCTTAGTTAGCACTCATATGACCAAATCATCCTTTTCCCCCTCCGACCCGCCTCCCCCTCCCCTTCTCTTTTTCTTCTTTTCTTTTTTGCCGTATCTGCAGTGGAGCAAAAGGGAAAGGGCAGGCTACGGCAAAATCGGCAACACTCACCTGCATGAACACTTCCATCTGACGCGGGTGGTTTAATAGCCCATGGGAAAGCATTGAGTTCAGTCTTGTGACCTGCATGCCACGCTATATGATCCGGGTTTGTAGGATTCTTGTACTCGTTGTCCCGCAAGAACTGGGGATGGTCTCGACCTCCAAAGCGGACACAATGCCACTTCTTGTCACTTCATTAGGAGGCACTCGACTGTGTGGTGCCATTTCCAGGAAGATTTCCTGGTCGAAGTCAAAGTAGTAATCCAACATCGAGAGACTGTAAGCCTCCGGAACGAAATCGTAGAGGTCCCAGAGCCTTGACAACGTCCCATATCGGTCCAGATACAAAGTAGCCTCCGGATGAAAGTCGTCGGGTAAGTGATTTAACTTCCTTTCTAACCCTTGCCTTTCATGCATTTCCAGACTTGTGTCCATGAAGTGGACCGTTCAATGTTGGGCCAACACGACCCTCTCCCTCTGCTTCTGACACCTTATGCTGGCGAGCCGACCGACGTTGCAGAGTGTATCAGGATGGTGAGTCGTTGCGGTGAGTATGCGCATCTTTCGCTCTTCTCTGACATCTCTCTTGATTGCTCGTGCTCACCAGCATGCCCTCTCTTAGTGGAAATGATGCACAATGACGCCGACATAAAAAGTGTAGTCATCGGGGTCGCCGCAGCTAGAGCCCAATGCAGACGCCCGGCGGCAGCCGCGACGCGCGATGCTACGACTTCGTGGGGCTCGACTTGGACTACAAAAATGCCATCGGGGTGGCGGGGAAGAACGGGACCTTTTCATAAGGCGCGAACATTCTCAGGCCCCTGAATTACATCGACTTCTTCGCCTACGACGCGGGCGTCAGCCCGCAAGTAGTCCAGGTCCTCGAGGTCGATACGGTCTCGTTGGCGATGCGCTTCGAGGCCGCGGACTGCCGAATCCTCTAGACGTCCAATACTTTCTATAACTTCACAAACTGGTGGAGAGACGCAAACGCCGCTACGACGGCATCGCCGTCGCTGTGTGCCCGCGGAAGGGTTCGACGGGCTACGCGGGACCTTCGGCTCAGCCGGGCCACTCGACCCGACGCCTGATGGCCATCAACTACTCCAGCATCGACGTCGCCCGCCTGGATCTGGATCTCACTCGCGCCGTCGGCATCCCAGTCCTGATGTTCAACGGGCCTGTTCCGGATGTACAACCACCCCTCTCCCCTTTCACGTCCTCCGCCCGATGACGCCGGCTTATCCGGACTACATTCCGCGGTCATAGCATTTCACGAAGAAAGTGCAGGATAAACTAAACTAGCTGCACCAGTTGCGAGGAAGAGATTAATTATAATAAAATAACAATAAGAATTACCTTTCTCAAGGGCTCTTTGCACTGCCGTCTTAGGATCATCAGAAAATGGAGGATGTTGTCTTGATGATCTGAAGATGATGAATAACCAAGAAAAGGCCTTATGAAGATTAATTTCACGGAGAGTAAGGGTTCTCGTCTTGAGGTTGATGCACAATTTGTATATTTCTTCAATGCAAACCTCAAGCCGACCTCGAAGATTTCAAACTAGATTTTATTGGGACGAGCTCTGCTCAGCCCGGAGACAAGATTAGCTAGGCCTAACAAGGCCGAGGTTATGGCCGGTCTAATTAGAATAACCAGCCTTTGTCGCCCCAGACGGGCCACCAGGAGGAGTTTAGGGATTTGTCACCGATAGTTTACGGTACCTAGTCCAGGAGAAGCTGTCATCAACCCGTCCCCGGCAGTAGGCTCCTGTTAGCCTGTTAGCTTAATTTCGCGTGGGGGGCGACCAATTAGTCCATTGCGAGACTTACCGATGTCTTGGCGTCAGGTTGATACGCTCCCGGCAGTGCAATACCTGTTGGCAGCGTGGTCGATCCGCCTCCAGTGATTGGTAATCTGATCGCAGCTGGGATAGAACTGCGCGAGTCTTCCGTTCGTGTTCGTCCGCTGGGGACCAAGGACCTCATGTTTGCAATACTGGGTTAGAAACGAGCTGAGTATCAAGATTCTAGGGGCCATTATCTCGGGCTCGACGGAATGTCAGACTCGATGTATAGGGTTCATGACCATCTGTCGATTTACCTAGGTACATTTGCGGCTGGATCAAGCTAAACATTTCGAGGAGGCGGAACGTAGGCAGTAATTAGTTTGGACGGAGAAATTCGAGGCGTGTAATCAAGCCTTTGCCAAGAAGGGACTCGCTGCAGGCTTAATTCCTAGCGCAGATCCCGGAGCCTAAGAAAACCTGGGGAAAGCTCATTCTATTGGGGGAGAAATTAGACGCCAAGGAGAAATGCTGGCTCCGTGAGGGAAATGACTTGGCAGACATAAAAGAGGATGAGCAAAACAACGTTGCTCTACTAGGACTCTCATGCTTCACCCGTCTCTTGCCAAGGCTTCATCACAATCATTGTCATTATCAATTATCATGGCCAGGCTTGCTTGCGCCGTCGCGCTGCTCAGCGTACCTGCCCTGGCGGTCAGCGCAACAACCTGTACAGTATCTACTTATACTGCAGTATCCTCCGCGGTCGCCTCATGCACAGATATCGTCCTCAATGGCATTACCGTGCCGGCTGGGAAGCAGCTCGATCTGTCGGGCGTGCAGCCCAGTACCACTGTGACATTCTCAGGCACAACCGTAGGTGTCTTGACTGAAATTTGCCTTGATTTGAGCTAATGGTTATCCCATGCTAGACGTTCGGATTTAACGCCTGGACTAGTCCTTTAGTTTTGATTGGCGGAACTGATTTTCATATCACAGCTGAATCTGGCGCCATTCTCGATGGGAACGGCCCGGCCTGGTGGGATGGACAGGGTGATAATGGGGTGCAGAAGTATGAGACCTGACTGACTTGACTGAGTAATTTTGACATTATTGACAGGCCCGGCCACATGATCTCAATTAAAGCCGCGGGCACCAACGCACTAATTGAGAATCTTAATGTGAAGAACTGCCCTGCGCATTGTTTCACAATGTCTGGAACGAATTTGCACATCAAGAATGTCAATGTCGATACCTCTGCGGGCAATGCTGCAAATAGCAAGTCGGGTGGCAAGCCGGCTGCGCACAAGTAAGTTTGTCATCCTTCTGTCGGCATTGAGTAGTTAGCTAACAAGTGAATAGCACCGATGGCTTCAATGTCAAGGCCAAGAACGTATGAACGGAGACTGGCATTCGCTACGTGCTATTCTTAAACTGACGTCAAATAGGTCCTTATCGAGAATATTACAGTCAACAACCAAGATGATTGTGTAGCCGTCAGCGGCGGCGCAGGAAACGTTACCATCAGAAATGCTGATTGCACTGGGTCTCACGGTCTATCTATTGGAAGTGTTGGTAGTAAGTAACGCCTTATGACACACTCTCCCGTCCAACAAGCTAACGAGAGCAGGCGATACGACTATCAAGGACGTATTCTTCTACGATAGCACCATCAAAAGCGGCCAGAATGGATGTCGAATCAAGACCGTCTCGGGCGCTACTAACAGCGCGGTGGAGAATGTCAACTACGTGAACATCAAGTTATCGGGTATTGCGAACTTCGGAATTGTAAGAACTACCCCCTCTCCAGCCTACCAAGCTGACCGATCCAAACAGGTGGTCGAGCAGGATTACCTAAACGGCGGCCCATCAGGCACCGCCACTAACGGCGTGAAAATCGCCGGTGTCACTTTCAAGAATGTGACTGGAACTGTGACGTCCAGCGCCAAGGATTATTATATCCTTTGTGGTTCTGGTAGTTGCTCTGATATCACCTTCAACGGCGTCAAGGTGACTGGAGGCAAGGGCGATAGCTGTAACTATGGCAACCTGTGCTAAAGATACGTTTGAGCTCTGTCAATAGTTATCATTCTAGTACTTATTTTTGTGAGCCCGGCCGATATGTATGCAATGTCTCTGTGGAGATGAACCTTGTTACTACTTAAAGAATTATGAAATCTGCAAAGCGACAAATCCTTGCGGTGCCCGCACAGCATACTGTCGTCCACTTTCGTCCTTGCTCACGAAGTCCGGCCCGAGTTTCTCGTGTGTCGCCACGAGCCAGTGAAGGATCAACCTGGCTTACAGTACAGTGTAGACACTATGCTGTCAGCCGTGGCTATCCATGCCGTCCTGTAGGTTGTGGAAACGACGGATGTACTGGTAATTGCAAGGTACCTTCCTTACTGGTATCCTTAGTCGACATGTTCTTCATTTTTCACTTGTCCGATTTCCTTGCTTCCTGCTTCCCGATTATTTACATTTCGTGTTCTCCGTTTCCCATTTTCGTTTTCTTCACCCAGATAGAATTTACTAAAATAGTTTGTAAGGGAAAGAAAAAAAAGAAGAAGCTTGGAGAGCAACGGCAAGAACCAGAATGGTGGCTGTACCATTTGGTGATTGGAGCAGTGATGTGTTTTGGGTGAAATTTGGCCTTGTTAAGTGTTTTGGGCAGTAGGTAATTTTCTTTCTCGTCCAGCAGGCTCAAGTTGTTGCCTCCCCAGCTAATCCATGACCAAGAAGATAACATAACTCCTGGTAGGGCAGATTGATGGCTCGCAGAGTGCTTTCTGGCCTCGAGAAATGTTTTCACCTTGTAGCCGCTGAGGTAACCTGCTCCCAATCTGCAGTGCCAAATCAACGCAGCCTCAAATCTCATCTGTGGAAGCCCACACAGAAACCCTCCCCTGAATGAGTATTTGACTAAATCCACAAGGCCAGTTATCCCTGGCAATGCGTCTTCTGGGCGTGTAAAGTTGTTGAAGTACCTACGGTATATAAGGCTTGATCCGGCTGACGGATTAAGCGTTCGCTTTTTCCACAAAAGTCCCGCATGTGGTACTCATTCAGTAACCGTTCCAATCCATTGAAATCAGGTATTCCGGAGAGCATGTTGGGCACACCTGACTGCAACGCTGGGTCTTTGAGATACTTTTTTTCTCCCTCGGTCTATCCTCGTGAAAGATCCTACATGCGCAGCTCCAGTGGATCTGCCTCTTCCCGAAAGTCAGCCGTCTTCGAGAGAGAGGTATTCCTGAAGGGTCGATCCCCGTCAGAAATACTCAGGATTGGGGCGGTGTTCATATGTTGAAGGGCTTGCAGAAGGAGCAGGCAAGTCTCGCACGACTATCTTGATATCGTTTAGCCACGAAAAGATATTTGGCAATTTTCGAGGTTGAGACACATTTCGGACTCTATGTAGTCCATCCCAGGCATCCCCATCCGCCGAGATGATCGTCGGCTTGGCGCAAGTGGAGATCGATCCTATAATCTGAAGCTGCCCAGGTGTTCTTGCAAATGTTCCTCGTCGTCGCATTTGATGCACAGGGAGTCTACCCAGAGGTGCCGCTCTCCTAGCAACCAGACGACGTGCATGGCGTGTTTGATTGTGTGTGGGATGTTGGTCTGCTTTGAGACGGCGCCTGGAATAGTCAAGCTGTTGAAGTTGCTCTTCTTGGTCCTGAAGCCAGCCACATGCCTCGTGCCCCACGTGTAGCTCAGCGCAATGTACTCGAGCCCTGGTTTGCCTTCGACTATTCAGTCGAGCTCAGTGTTAATCAGGTAGGCTGGAGTACATGAAAAGGTCTCGAAGGTGTTGCGGCATCTTGTTCCGTGTCTTTTCACACAACGCCTTAGCCATTGCCGGGCAGCCTGGAGATCTATCCACTCCGGGTCGAACGACTTTTCGTACGAATTTGTCTGGCTTTCATCTGGGATCTGGATCAGGGATATGCTCCGAGACCACCCAATTCGTCCTTAATAGTTGAGTGGTTGAATCTGAGGCGAGGCTCCAATTTTTCGATGAAAGCCGATTGTGTAGTGATGACGCGATGGATACGGATAGTGAGGTGCGCCGTGGCTGGCGAGGTATTGGGCTTGTTCGTCAAAGGTACCCTTGAACCAGGAGAGCACTGCGTCGTGCGCGGCCAGGGCGCAAGGTGTTACCTTCCCTTCACAAGCATTACCAAGCTCAATATCCACCTCATCCTAGACGAAGAGCCGTCTGATGCAATGGCGGATGTAACATGCCCCTGCGCTAGGGAGCAGGTCGGGTTCGTAGAAACTATGAGTCTTGTTCATTGAATCGTGTTGCATGACGAAGTTGGAAAACTCTTCTAGATACTTTCCATAGGCCTGAAAAACCAAGTCCATCTCGCCAGATTCAATATATTCGATCTGAATTGCGCAAGTTAAATAGAGCATTCAGGCGGCCTACAATACGTCGTCTTTGTGTGTGAAGGATGTGTGGAGGGGGTGGTGCCAGAGTAGATCCATGGACTTATCAGGTCGGCAAGTCGGCAAGTTGTAATCTTTGCTTCCATCCCGCATCGGTATTATCCTCCATCTCATAAAAACGGAAGGTAGTTATTGGTCACATGTTTGAGGTTTGTAAGGATATTGCATTGTGAAGCCACAGTACGCCCACCCAGCTTCCAGCGTTGGCCTACCTAATACTTCCTTTTCTTAATATTATATTAATAAAACTAGGTACTTTTTTAAGTTTACCCTATATATAAAAAGCTAGGGTAGCTATTTTTTAATTTAAGCAATACTTTAAAAATATAAGCTTAAAAAGCTTAAAGTGCCTTAAAGCGCCTAGAGGGCCCCAGAGGGCGCAGAGGGCGCAGAGGGCGCCGAGGGGGTAAAGGGCGCTAAGGGTAAAAAGCAAAAGTAACTTTTAAGTTATAAATAAAGGGGTAGTTATAAAACCTCTTTAAAATAGCTATAACTATACTTTATTAATAACCTTATAGTATTAATATTTTATAATGCATGCAGCTAATTTCCTTATACTAGGTGGGCCAACGCTAAAAGCTGGGTGGGCGTACTGTGGAAGCTGGGTGGGCGTACTCTGGCTCGCGAAGAAGGGGTTTGTTAAAAAGTTGGCGCATCTGAGTTACATGTGGATCAAGCCGGATCCTTCATCCATTCTAGTCGGGTCCCGATTTGGCAACCACACCGGTTACCTGATGTTGCGACGAGGAGGAATTGCACATTTGCTTTTCACGGCATGTGAGCACGCGTTGACAATTGATGAAAACAGTTGGACCCGTCGGTGATTATCTGGGGAGAATTATGGATACTAAGCCGTCTTCTAGAACATCCTTTAGCTCGTCTATGCATTCATCCTTAAGTTCGCTCTTGAGGTTTTCCTTCCCACGTTCCAGGTTTGACTCGATGGCAGCCTCTAGATCGAGAATGCCTTTCCCAACAAGCTTTTGTATGAGCTGCCCCCACTCTTGGCTCTTCGACCCTTGGTCATCTGTCTTGTATGACTCGTCGCGGAGATGCTCCTCGACTCGTTCGATGATCCGGCTTTCCATGCATTGTTCCGCATGATCCACGCGAGCAAGAACCGCTTGCTGTTGCTCAACAAACTTCGCCATCTGAGCTTGCTGCCATGAGATGAGCTCCGTCATCTGTGCTTTCTGTTGCTCAACAAACTTCGCCGTCTCAGCTTGCTGCCATGAGATGAGCTTCGTCATCTGTGCTTTCTGTTGACTGAGAAGCTCAGCGCAAACGTTACTGAAAGATTCGTGGATCGTGCCTGGATTTTCGGAAGACAGCTGCCGCTTCTTCAAGGGCGCCACTGTATCTTCGGGGGACCGCTGCCGCTTCTTCTGTTGTGCGAACAGCGTGGGTGGTGGCAGCTCTCGGGCTTCAGGATACGGCGGGGGACTCGCGCCATAACTGCCGTTTCCGTCAACTCTGTCTTTACCACTCCTCATCCCCGTATCTTCGCCCCCGGATCTTGCAAAGCCAGAGAATTGTTGAACCACTCCAGCACCGCGACCCCTGTAGAAATCGCGAAGAGAATCGTGCCTTGGGTGCTGCTTTATTGAGCCATTTGTAAATGCGTCGCATATTCGTCGCACCAAATCTGAATCGGAGATGGTGTGTTGGCCGAGGTGGATGCCCAGAACTGTCTGTCGACTGAGCTCTTCCAGGGAGTCCAGAAGCCGAGAACTGCGTTCCGATCGGAGCGGGACAGGGGCATCCAAAGGGGCCAGGATCGAAACAGGTCTGCTCAACACGAGGCGGAAATATGCTGTAGGACTGCGCACCGCAGCAGCAGAGCCTTCTGGGAGAGAATGTGTTGGACACTGAAGGAGCAAGTGGACATTTTCGGGATGAATGCAGATGTATACATATTCCTGCCTCTCGCCACCCGATGCCTGCTCAAAATAGAGCCAAACTCGGATCTTGAAGGACACAGTACCTTGCTCTTCGTTAAAGAGCAAGTTGAGCTGGACGGAGCAAGGTTCCGGGCCAGCGAGGTAGCGAGGAGTTCGGGGTCTGGACGCGACGTCGCTCCATTCGACCACAACGGGAGCATTGGGGATGATAGGCAACAAAGGTGAAGTCGAGGCGGGGGCTAAGGTAGCCATAGGATTCTCTATAATACGCGCCAGCGTCAGTAGAACTCGTTAGCATAGCTCCGAGCAAGGGCGCAAGAACGGCCACTAGGAGAAACTCGGCACATGGAAAGCGAAACCCCTGAAATCAGGATGCCCACCCTCCCAGGCTTTAGAAATGGCGGTTGGGCAGCCTTGACCCCGAAAATCCGTCGCAGCAATTTAATCGTGGCGAAAGAGTCGAGTTGAAGCATCCAAAGCTGCCCTCTAGACAACGGCGGCAACCGAGGACGGCTAGTTTTCGCAGCTCAATGCCCAGAGGCGTCCGGTCTGTGACGGTGATGGCGCGGCTAAAGTACGAAGCAGTCTTGACTATATACACCAACAGACACAAGTGCGATACGAGGCCTCTGGTGCACATAGATAAAAGAGCCAAGTAACGCCTGACCAAAACCCAGATTCTTCAACCATCTGTAGCTTAGCGTTGAGCGCGGTCGACGATCGTCCTCAGTTGCGTGCTGCGAAGTGCAATGCAGCAATTGCAGCGTCTATTCATTAGGTAGCTCGGACTGAAACAAAGAATGAAAGGGATGAATGCGAGGACGTGTGGATATTAACGTGAAAAGGTAAACCAGAGTGAGCGTTCAGGACCGTGATGGAAAGGCTCAAATAGGAGAGGGGTTGGGAAGAAGAGGTAGCAGCAGAGCAGCAGCGAGAGCATTACTAATAAAAGCAAGTCAGAGAAAGCAAGCAGGTTGTGAGGGTGGCTGGTGCCGGGCCGGGGCAACAACCAATCAACGCGAATTGACTCCTGGCTGGTTTTTCTCCACTCGGGGCCTACTTGTACGCGCGTGAGAGTTTTTTGGTCCGCGGAAGACGATCGCGCTGGCGCTCTGGCCCCTATCCCCAGCCACCAAGTTGCATGTTCGGTTGGACGCAAGGAACCCTTGGCCACGACAACTCCGGCGTTCCAAATACAACTCGGCATGACGAATTCCACCCTCCCCGGGCGGACGAAAACGATAGTTGTGCCAAAAACGGTTAGCGGGCCCACTATTTCCTCCATGGCATTCAAAGTCGTTCCAGAAAACGCATCTTGCTCATTTTAAGGAACATAAAAAGTACCGGGTTGGGCCTCAAGTGGTGCTCGGCGGTACCGGCACCGTCCGTCCTCGCCCCAACCGGCCCTTTCTTAATTCAATTGTCAACCTGAGAATTAAATTAATTGAGGCTTTGTTTGGAAGTGATGAAGTTGCTCTAAGATTGTTGTTTTTTTAAAGTGGATACGCTAACCGTGTTTGGCACAACTATCGTTTTCGTCCGCCCGGGGAGGGTGGAATTCGTCGTCCCGAATACAACTGAATGTAGCCTTCGGCGATCGGCCCTGCGGGCCCGAGAATATCGGGCTCCTCACTGCACAATTGTAATCCAGCGCTTCAACCTCACCCGCTGGAGGACTAGACAATGCGAGCAATCGTTAGGTCCTGTCCGGCCAGTTCCAGCGGATCCCCAATCAAGACCTTGAATTCCGTACCTACCTAGGTAGGTTAGGGGATGACTGATCGACTAGCTACGTAGCTAAAACACCACGAATCTCCCCGTAGCCTGCCTTGATTATATTCTTGCAACAACACAAGCACTCACCAATATATGCTTCCAGTCCTGCTCACAAAAAAAAAATAAAAAATAAAAAAAACTTTTCTAACTACTTCTCAATCTCTTCGATCGCCGTTGGTCTGCATCGACGCCATAGTAGGATACGCAGGCGTGGAGATTCCGAACGATGCTCGCACGCAATTTCACGGGGTCTAGTTGGTCGTCCCAATCGCCAACTGGCTGGCCGCTCATCCGCTGGGAGGCATTGCGCACGACCATCGGGCCGCAGCTCGAGCAATCCTGCTGCTGCGGGCTGGGCTGGTCTGGTCAGCAGTACTTCGTGCTTGATAGGGAGTCTGTTGCCTACCGCTTCTTCATAATTAAAGCCGAGGCTCTTCATCTCCTCCTAGAGGCAGAGCTTAGCACATCTGCCAAACCGAGGGAGAATCTTGACTTACCTGTACCGCGTTTCGAACTGGGTCGCCTCTGGAGAGTCCGGACCTACCCGAGCGATTTGAGAGGGAGTCATAATGATATATCATGCCTTCTCTTTCGTTGATTTCAAGGAGTGTAAAGTGGTTGGCGTTGACGCATAAGGGGCACAGAAAGATAAATCCATCCTGAGGCCACTGGCTGAGAGACTGAATTTCGCTCCTTAGTCTTCGGAAAGGTGCCTTAATGGGCTTGACTTTGCCATCGACCAGCTCGTGCGTGGACACGCAGGGCAACAGTTTGACACAGGCGGGCCGGTCCTGGATTTCAAGAGCGGCCTCCAGTAGCCAGATGTCAAACCACTCGCCTGTGCCCAGCCTGTTGAAAGAGTCACCTGGAATCGATTTACCGGACAAGGTAATAGTATCCTTGTGGTCGAGCTCTCGCTTGCCGAGGGCCTGATGCAGTCCATTCTTCAACTGATGGATTTGTTGTCTCAGTTCGGCGCCAGACGTCGACAACTAGGAATACTGTTAGCACCCCGAAACAGCTCTGAGTGAAGCGATCCTTGCGTACGCCATAGTCTAAGCGCAAGGAAGATGCGTCGTGTGCGCTGACGAGTGACTTCGCGTCAACCGCGTCGAGGAATTTAGCGGTGTTCGGCCGCCCGTTCCCAACCAGAAGCTCTACCTGCTCACCGAGAAGGGCGAGGGTGGTAGCTTTCGCGGGGTCAGTAGAAAGGTGGGAGACCACATCTTCTACCTGGTCCTGAGCTATTTTCAATAGGTCCCTCAGAAAGAGTTAGCAATTGCGACCAACTCCGAATAAAGACTCACCAAATACGGCGGTAGAAGAGAACACCTGTGCCCAGGACTTTGACGATCTGGCGCAACCTCTTCCCTTTGTTGCACTTGTCGATGAAGGTTTTGCGTTGTTGGTCCTTTCTGTCTGTGGGTCGCTCAGAGGGCGCATCCAAGCCAGTTCCATTCGCTTCGTTAAGCAAGCGGTCCAGGACCGCAGTAGAGACTCGCTTCATTGGCTTGCCTCGCTTCGTCCGCGGAGGGGCGGTCGATGCCTGCTCGACCTGATCGTCGAACCATGCCGAGGCTCCCATCCACTCGATCTTGCGAAGGATTCCGCTCTTTTTATGTGACGCACGTCCTTCATCTAGTATATTCATTCACATGGTTAAAGACCAACCCATGGGGCGGCTAACCACATAGACGGAACCTGCCAGTAGTGGAAAGATCCCGTCGGTGTCTTCGCTTTTCAAGGAATCGAGAATCCCCCGGTGAACCTCGCCTCCTAGTCGGCCTTCATACATCTCCATGTTATGTATGTCCCGAGCTGCGTCAAAGATTATGCACCTCGCCGTATCTTCAGATACCAGAGTAGCCAAAGCCGGCGATGCCGCTGCAATGGCCTCGTCTCGCGGTGCCTTGATTACGTCCTTTTCGGACTCCGGTGACGTATCCAGCATGACAGGAGATTCCGGTTTATCCATGGCTGCAAAGTCCACGGTCAACGTCTCTACCTCATCTCGTGTGCTATAGTTGATGGAAGCGCTCACGACCTCAGGCGACTTTGGGGACGGGAGCTCAGGTTGCGATACCTCAGGCGACGTTGGGGACGGGAGCTCAGCTTGCGATACCTCAGGCGACGTTGGGGACGGGAGCTCAGCTTGCGATGTAGGCGGTTCATCCTCTGCATCATCTCGCTTTAATTTTGTCGACCTCGTGTATTTGGAGGATGAATGCGACGGGCGCTACGTGAGATCTTCCTGCTTCCTCGTCGTGCTCTCGGCTTCTCGGCATCGTTAGAATCGGCTGAAGTTTGAGTCCCGGCGTTGATGTATTTGGCTGTAGCTGGGGACTCGAGCGGCGTCTGGTCATCGCTAGATGCGTTGGGTTCGGCGGCTTTGTTTAGTGTTGCTCGTCTCCTCCTTCCCTGCTTTGAGAGCTCTCCCAGAAGCTCGCCAGCAATCTCAGGGTCTCTTGCCCACACGGTCTCAACTGCTGCCGAGAACTGATCTCATTAGTATCCGTACCTGCCCAGGTCCACAGCTTTCTTACTCACGCATGCTTTGTCACTTGTGCCGGTCTCCGTCGACTTCAGAAGGAGGAGGGCAGATATTAAGGCATCCATTTCATAGACGAGTAGGGCGAGTGACAGTGGAGGTGGAGGAAGGGATGCGTGATTAATTTGAAAGGAGGAAGGAACGGCTGAGAGTAGCAGAGACGAGAGACCTAGTTTTATAGTAGTCAGGGCAATGATGGCACATCGGACAAGGACTAGGGTACGAAAGGTATGGTAGCATTGTGTGCTGCATTGAATCAGGGATATGAGAGGGAGCGATTGAGGAATATGCACGTTGGCGCTAAGAAGGTAGGTTCGAGTCTGCTGTTGGCTGGTTGCCTGCGGTTGGCTGGTTGCCTGCTACGAGGGCACGTCGATGGTCCAGACATTCCAAATGAAGACACACCTCTTTGCCCGGACAAGATAGTTGGATAAGCCTCGTCATCCCAGCCCCCCTTTTCCTTTCCTAGGCTCCGTGACGGAGTCCTCGTGCAGCTCACTAGACACGAGAGTCTCCGGGATAGGCAACATGGCCCGACGGTGACGCATCGCGTCCCTTGTGTCGAATCTCTATCGCCTACAGCATCGCAAACGCATCAAAATGTGGTTCAAATTTGGTCTGGCTGCCATCTCATGCAACACAATGTACTACAAGCACATGACGCATCTAGATCAAGACAAGCATATGGAAGGATGCCGTGCCAGGGATGTCTTGGGAATATGAATGTCTTGGTGGATACAATTGGCACCGTAAACGACTCGACAAACCTCAGGTGCGAAGATTTCACCTCTCATTCAGATCACCACTGATGAAGCAATTAAGCAAACGATAGTTGATTGTTGGGTGTTGAGGAGAGAAATCTCCCTGCTATTAAACGCTTAGAAGGAGCCTATTTATAGGCTAGCGCTAATATATAGGCATATAACCCTTGCACCTTTTAATACACCCCTTATTGCAAGTATTGTTATTTTAATAATAATAAGAAATATTTCGTTTTAATAGCTAAAAATATAGTTTAAATATTCCGTTATAATTTATACTAAGACTACTATATAAACGTTATTTAATATTTATATATTTTGCTTATATTATTTTTAGTTAATTATTTAAATACCTTCCTTAGTAATATAAATTTTATATTTATTTTAATCTTAATTTCTTATAAGCTTTTTTAAGGGTAAGGCAAGGTAATGCTTTTATATAAATATTAGCGAGATTATCTTTAAATATAATGTAATAAATATTATATATTTTTTTAATTCCTTTATAAATAAAGTAATAATAAATAGCAATATATTTTAATTAAGCGTTAACTTTATAATTTTAAATAAGGTTTAATATTAGCTAATTATTAATATATAAAATAAGCAAATATTTAATATATTTAATGCTTAAATCTTTTAATGCTTAAATTATTTAATAAAAATATAATAATATTAATAAATATATTATATATTTCATTTTATAAGTAAATTTTATAATAATAAATTAATGCTTTAATAATTAAGCAATTAGGCTGCTATTAAGAAGTTATATATATTTATTAAATGCTTTTAAATTATTTAAATTAATATTATAAAAAGCATTAATATATATATTAAGTATAGTAAATTAAAATAATAATATTTATTTTAAAAATTATAAAGTATAATTTAATATATGCTAAATATATTAAAGCACTCCCTTTATAATATTTAAATAATAAATTATAAGCTTTGCATTAAATATTAAGAGCATTATATATAGAAATATAAAATTAAGTTTCGTTTTAATAATAAGAAAATTAATAAATTTAATAAGTAATTAATATATCATTGCATTTATTACAATATTATTAAGTTCCTTTTATTATAAAAATGAATTTAAATTTATAGAAGTTTATTTTTAATTATAATTAAATATATTAAAGCGTTTTAAAATCCATTAAGCATATCCCTTTTAAGAAATGCAAATTTTATTATTAATTTATATAATTTCTAATTTAAATAAGTATTTATAAAAATTAAAATCCTTGCATTTAAAACATTGCATAAGCTTAATATAAAATTTATTAACTTAAAAGGAATTCCTAATAATAAGAATATCATTAATATAAATAGCGATAATAATTTAATCTTTAATGAAAACATAAGGATTAAATATTATTTTTATTAAATATTTAATTAATTCCTTTTTAAGAGTATTAAATTATTTATAGCTTAATTATTTAAGTTTATATAAGGTATTAAAAAGTTTTAAAATAACTTGCTAATTATTAAATAATATTTAATATTCTTATAGCAATTATATATAAATATTATATTTTAAATAGCTATATAAGTATATTATTTTAATATTAAATTACTAAAGCCATTAGCTTATTATAACGGTAATAGTAATAATTAATCTTAAACTATTATAGTGCGCTATAAAGCTATAAGTGTTATTATAATTTATGTTATAAATTTATATATATTTATAAGTAATAAGTTATGCCTTATAATAAATAAGCTTATTAAAAGTATTAAACTTCTTTATATATACTTAATAAAAATTAATAATATATTAATTTATAATAATAGGTACTTTAATTTATATACTTATATTTAAAAGTAATTTAAGTTTTCTTTTAATAACTTATTGCTAAGCGTTTCTTTTATTGCTTTTTATAGCTTATGCATATATATTAAGAATATTATTAATATTTATTATATTAGCAAGTAATGCTAATTAAGTAAGATTTAATATAAAGTTTGCATTAATTAATGCTAAGTTATTAAAATCTTTAAAATATTTTATAATAATGTTTACATTTTTTTTCGCTTTTTATAAAGGCTAAATTTATTATTTTTAAGAACTATATAATTATATAAATTCCGTAAGTTTAAGTGGTTTATTAATGGGTTTTATAAGTTTAAACAGTTTATTTATAAATTTATTTATAAGTTTTGTATTATTAGCAGGTTTTATTAATTAAAACGTTAATAATATCTTTATCTTAAATAGCATGTTTTTATTTAATTAGCTAATTATTTATACAATCTTTATTATTAAATTAAACTAAGTAATATAGCTTAATATTATAATTATAATAACTTTTTAAAGTAGTATAAATAAATAAAAAATAATCTTACCTTTAGCCTTAAATCTTATAAAGTATATCTTTTTGGCTTTATTTAATAATTTTATTTTTAGCTTGCAAGCTTTAATAAAGATATAAAGGTATGTAAAGCAAAAGTATAGTTAGAAATATTTAATATTAGGCTTTTATTTATAAAGCGCCTTAAATAGTATTATTTAACATAATAGGGCTAAGTATAGTTTTTAATTTCATAAATATATTACATAGGAAATCACTTTAAGCTATAGGAATAAATAGTTTTTATTATAAATTATTATATAAGTATTAATAATAATAGTATATATAAACCTTTTAAGCATATTATTTAATTTATAATAATAAGGAGGTAATTTCTTATAAATAATTTTATATCTTTAAAATATTATAATAATTATTTTATTTATATATTTACCCCTGTTATTTAAATTAAATATTTTAACTTTTACGCTAAATTAAGTTTTAATTATATTTAAAAATCCCTTAATAATATTTAAGATATTATCTTTTTAAGTAATAAAGTAAACTTAATAAAATTAAGTATAATTATTAATAAATAAAATAAAATATTAAGAAATTTTTAATAATTTTATTAAAAATTTACTTAATAAATTAAATTAAATATACTTAAATAGCTATATAAATTATTATTTTAGCAATAAATATAAGCATTTCTTAATGAACTTTATAAGTTAGTATGGTTTATAGTAAAAATCCATTAATTTATTTAGCATAATATTTTTATCTTTATATAGGCATTAAGCAATTAATCTTAATAAATTGCTATAGCTAAAAGCTTTATAAAATTTATTATATATTATAAATATTATAAAGTTATTTTTTATTATTTAAATTTTAAAATTTCCATATTAAAACTTTACTTATAGTATTTTATAAAATTTATTATCTTTTAATAATAAGAAGATATTATTTCCTTATGCATTTAGTTAAAACCTTTTTTAAATTATAATTTAGCTAAATAAATAAGTATTCCTTAGTATATAATTATATAAAATATTAATAAAGATGCTTTTAGTAATTAATTTATTTAATAATTATAGGAAGAATTTTATAAAGTTAATGCCTTTTATAATAAGTTAATTATTACTTATAATAATAATTATACCTAAATATAATTATAAAGAGCTAAAGTTTTTTATATATTTTATTATATGCTTTAAAGCATTAAAATTAAAAATTTATAATATTAAAGTATTTATAATTATTAATAGCTTTGCTATATATATTAAAATATTAATATGCAATGCTATTATATTTTCCTTATTATTATTAAAAATTTTAATAACTTCTTTATTTATAATTTAATTTATAATAGCTTATTTTTTACCCTTTTTTTATTTTTAATTAACTTTATATTTAACAAGCTTTATATAATTAATATATAAATAGTTAATAAATATAAAGTTTTATACATAGCATTAAGTATATTCTTTATTGCTTAATATAAAGTTAGCACCTATTAATATAAACTTCGCAACCTTTTTTATATCCTTTAATACTAACCTTTTTTAAATAAAGGTAAAATAGGCTTTAAATTATTTAATCTTTATATAGAAAATAATATTTATTATCTTAGGTTTAATTTTAAAAAATATTATAAAGTTTTAATTACTTAAGTTATTAATAATATTATTTATAATATTTAATAATATTATTAAGAAAAAGGAGCCTTTAACTTTATTGCTTTTAAAAAGTAACTTTATTAACTTCTTAATTAACTATTTTAATATTAAGATTTTAATATAAAGTTTTATTTAAAGGTTTTAAAAAATATTTAAATAGCCTTATAAGTTAAAATTATTCTTATATTATAAGTTTATTAATTAATAAAAAAAGTAAATAATTAAGTTATTAGTATTATAATTAAATTAATTAGTTAATATTTTTTAAGCATTAAAAGATTTTTTATATAATATAATAAATATTATAAGGCTTAAATATATTAAGCTTAAAAGCATAATAAAGGCTTAGTTATTAAGCTTTTTTTATTTTATAAGGGCCGCATTCTTATTTAATTATTTCTTAATACTTATAATATATTTATTAAGATTAATAAATTAAAAGTTGTAACTTTATATTATCCTTTAATTTAAGAAGTTTTCCTTTTTTAAGTTTAACTTTAAGAAAAATAATGAGTTAAGCTTAAAATTAAGTATATTTAATATCTTTTAAATAATATTTATATATTTTTAAGCATATTTTAAATAATATTTATATATTTTTATTTATTTATAATAATTAGCATTAATTAATATAAGTAAATAAATAAAAAGAAGTAAGTAATTAAAATATTAAATAGGGTAGAAATGTTAAATTATTATGAGTTATTATTAGCTATGGCAGCTATTATAAAGTATAATGATGGTATATAAGCAAAGGCTAGCGATATTAAAATTTTAATAATTTGGATATGAAAATAATTATAAAAATGAGGGTATTAATATTTCTTAATATTTTAAGATATTTTAAGCAATGCTAGGCTTATAACTTAATAAAGCAATTAAGCAAACGATAGTTGATTATTGGGTGTTGAGGAGAGAAATCTCCTCGCTATTAAACGCTTAGAAGGAGCCTATTTATAGGCTAGCGCTAGCGTATGGGCATACGACCCTCGCACCTTCCAACAACCACTCCTGTCACGGGGCGTGACCGCTACACTAAAGCCATGCCGTGTCCCTACCAAAAGGTACAGAATTCCAGGACGTACTGGGTTCCTCAGTGTAGTCTATGTAGCCGTGTCATCACAACTCCTCTTACTTATTGGCAGCAACGAGACCTCTATCGTAAAAAATGTGAAGGCTTACCCTAGGGTAATTAGGGAATCGCAACCAGGTCTCAGACCGACATCACGTCGAGGAGGTTGGCGTCTGACATCTTCCATTTCTAGTTGAGCAGTTATTCGGGAGGCGAGGATGTTGTGAAACCGTCATATAGAACTGACCGATGAAGCATACAATGAGGCAGAACCCAAGGTGTAGAGGTGCGAGGAGACGGGCTTCCCAACTATACACTGCCCTGGTCTTGCAGAAAACAACGTTCAAATCCAAGTGGCAAGCAGCTTGGAGCCGGGTGGTCCCCATGTGGTATAGCAACGACGCTTGCGCATAGTTGTCACGAATCTACTACTGCTAGCAAATAGACCGCTCGGCCAAAAGACCAGTAATTTCCAATCACTATTAGAAATAACCCAGCAGTATATAAGTGCTACGGAGCCGTACCGTCACAATAGTTGAGATTCTTTATTTTTCTTGAAGTCCCAGTACGTTTTGAGCAGGCTCGAATGGAAGGGCACGTGGTTTCTTCATAGATGTACACCTTTGCGCCGCAAAAGTCGAGTCACAATCGAGGTTTTCCACGTCGTAGATGTGGCTTGAATTCGGAATGGGCGGAATGTGGCTCATAGTCTTAGTCAGTGGGGCGCAGCACCCGCCGGCTACCATACAGGCTAAATGCAGCGCAAGGAACATCTTTAATCCAGGACCCGTGGGGCGGAGTCTCATCGGTTACTGTGCTCAGCTGACGGAAATCCCCAGCGGGGAGGGTGACGCCTTTGTCACCATAACTGTCCGCCATAACCAAGCATCCACAATGTCGGAATTCACACAAATGGCAGAGCGTGCTCTTGCTGATGATGGGTTCTTGGAACTAGACGCCCCGAAAATAGGAGAGTCCATACTAGAGTTGGAGCGGCGGCGCTTCCCTCTGGCATCTAAGCATGGCCTGGACTTCATCCAGCAACATGTCCTTGATGATAAGGTAAGTACGTTTACAAGACTACGTAGAAGCATAACTAACAACTTACAGCGCATCACATCCATCATCGATTCCGTCTTTCCTAATGGGTGCGTGATCAGGCATTTCTTGAGATATCAAGCGTATCCTGGTCAGAGTTGTGAAAATACAAAAAATTACAAAATACAAAATACAGATACAGATACAGATACATAAAATTTTAAAAATACAGATACAGATACAGATACATAAAATTTTAAAAATACAAAATACAAATACAAATACAAATACATGTATTTAAATACATAAATACAAAATACAAATACAAAATACATTATATATAAATATTAATTAATTAAATCTAGTATAAATTCTTTTAAAATAAGCTTAAAACTAGCTATTTAAGTATATTTTTTTTAATTTTATATCTTTTTGTTCTAAAAAGATATTACATATAATATAAAAGTATTTTTTTTTTAAAAAAAAGCTTATCTTCTTATTTAAGTCTTATCTTATCTAAGTTTTTTTCCCCTTAAATATAAAGTATTTATAGCTTTTTAGTAAATTTAAATATAAATAAAATAAAATATATTTAAAATGCTTAAATTAATTAGAATTTAATTAAAATTTCTTTCTTTTTTAAAATAATAAAATTTAAATTAAATATTATATAACTTGTATTTGTATCTGTATTTTGTATTTTAAATACAAAATACAGATTTGAAATTTTAAAAATACAGATACAGATACAGATACAGATACAAAATACAAGGCCTATATAAATACAAATACAAATACAAATACAGTATTTAAATACAAATACAAATACATGTATTTATGTATTTTGTATTTTTAAATACAAAATACACAAATACTGTCACAACTCTGATCCTGGTAGGGCTGTCAGTTTGTGGCGGAGGCGTGGTTCTGAAGACGGGCGGCACGCTGTCGTAGTGCATTTCTTACCCATAGAATCCCAGGTCAACTACATACAAGGATCGCATCTTCTCGAATTATCTTTACAGAATGGGAGCCGTTCGCTATGGGAGGCACCTGCAGCAGAATTATTGGCAGAAATAGGGTGTAAGAAAGTATAAAAACACTTTAAAGATGGAGGGTTGTAAGTAAAATGCTCTTTATTCCTAATAATCTTCTAACTTATTATAGGATTATTCTTAATGCACAAACTCTCTGTATGATGGAGCAAGCATATGTGATTAAGTGCGAGATTACAACACAGGATGTTGCAAATACCTAGAAAAAAATGATATTGCCGAGAACGAAGACTACAGAGGACAAGCTCGCTGCTATCCAAAGCTCCAAAATCCAAATCAACGCAACTTTCCAGCAGACAACAACATCCGCTAAGTATTAGTATGGTTGGAGGTGCAGTGACTGGTTAACATAACGGTCGTCAGACATAACAGCGTTGAAAGATTCGAAATTGTTGGTAAAGTCGATCGGTGGCTGTGGGATATTGAGATGGTTGTGAACACAAGCGTAACGGTCCGCGTATATATCCAAAGCTGTGCCGGGCGTGGGGGGTTCTCCTAAAAGGGGCAGCGCATCTTGCTGAGGGGCCGACTGGCCGGGCGTGTCGAGTTCTCCCGAAAGGGACAGTGCATCTTGCTGACGGGCTACCGCGTTGCTGTCACCTATTCTTGCCATCTTTAATTATCCACGGCCAGCCCCAAGATTTGCAATATATGATGGCCTTTTCTTAGACCTCTTTTGTTCTTCGAGCAGGGCACTGTTGATCGTTTCCCCTCATCATGTCGCGTCTTGAGAGGGTGTAGATACTCTTGGATTGATCATCTAAGAGCTCCTTGTTGTACTTAAGTGGCAAAACGTGTCTTAAGAATTTGCTAGCTGTGTCAAAAGTTTGGTGGCAGTACACGCAAACTTCAGCACATGCAACATCTGTGCCAAACCAATCAGTACGGGAGGCTGCTCGGGAATGATTTACCTACGTTGTTGGAAATGTTGCTTTAAATATTTGCGCGATTGATAAACCTTCCCTTCTTTGCAGCCTCGTGGACAACTTCCCGCTGTGATGCCATCACTTTGACTATCACTTTGACTATCACTTGCATCACTTTCTGGGTCCTCTAGACGCAGAGCCCAATGAGCTCGGCATTTCTCCTTCTCAGCATCTAGATCCTTTTCTTGCGTCTTGGGAAAGTTAGCTAAGATTTAATAATGCAGAAGGATGCTAACCTTGTATTCATCTACATGGCGATCTAGGCCGTCGCTTGTCCTGAAAAGAGCAGAGCATGAGCATTCCCAAGACATTCTGGATGATAATGTGTCAAGAGGAAGTGCAGGACATCAACATAATGCCAGATTGCTAATCTTATCAGTGCCGGAACTATATTAATCCGTCATTGGAGAAGCCTGTTGGTGTCTCCGAACCGATGCTGGGCACCCAAACAGGCTTAACAAAACCCTGGTGGCTGCAGCCCGGCCTACGACCTTGTTTTCCTTTTTTGCCATTTTCAGAGACCCAAACCAGTCATCCTATCAAGACAAATTTCACTTCCTCAGGATAAGGATGCTCGCTTCCATTCGATACGAACGCGTTGACCTTGATCACCCGTGCGAGGTTTGCAAGGGTTCGGGCAAAGTTGAGGGGATTAATTGCCCAACTTGTGGTGGGTCAGGGTGAGAGCACTCGGATGTGTACTCGGGTATCTTTCTGATGTATTTTAGGGCGGGCTGATTCGGATGTGTTGAATGATTGTCGCGGACATTCGACACAGATAACCTCGGGTTCACATCGGCCTGCTGCTTCCATATGGCAACGCTCCGGCTCGGAAGTCGGTTCGCGCGTGGTCCTCGCTTTGTGGAGGGTTGTTATCTAAGTTCAAGGATCAGGACGTAGGGCGGTTGGCGGAACAGCATTTGGTACACGTGAGGGCAGAGAGTGGTCTGTTGGTTTACGTTTCATAGATGTCAAAATTCACGATCAATTTGCCAAGGACTCTAGCCCCAGGAACTTTACCGGTATTGCAGGACAGTCTGGCTCTGGCTCTGGCTCTGGCTCTCGCAGTGCACAATCCGGCCGGGGGAGCTACCGAGTACGTTGCCCAGGAGGTGAATGGACCCCCGCGTGCCCCGAGCGAGGAGAAGCTCGGGCCCCCAACGTCGACCAGCACCAAGAGTCGCGCCCATTGGTGCGTATGCTCGGCATCGCCCCCATTGCTAGTCTCTCTATTCGTCTGGAAAAGTCTCCGAACGGAACTCTTGCCAAGGTTCCTCGAAACTGAACAATGATTCGTCAGTCGCACTTGCCAAGACACTAGCGCGCACACGGCCGGCCAAAGAGCCTATCAACCGAGCTCCCCAGCAGGCTTGGCAGACTACGTGGAGGCAATCCGCGTTGTTTCTCGTGATAGGCCCGGATCTTCGAGGACGGCAGATGGTCCGGTGGCCCCCGAGAAAAAGCTGCTTGTCACCCCTGCACCCATGGCATCCCAGCCCATCAGGTCTGACCAGCCACCAACAATTTCCTCTGCCCCTCGTCTCTTTGTTTCAGACAGAGCAACACCAAGCGCATAAACTGCATTGCATTTCGCACGGGCCGTGGCAAGACAGTGCAGGCTGGCAGGGAGCCCTGTAGTGCTTTTCAATACCTTCGTACTTGGAAGGAGGGAGGTCCCACAAGGAACCACCATAAGTATTTCTGCGCGGCACTGCGAGCGATTAGTCTACTACAGTACGTCGCTGCCCAACAGTCGTAAAATACGTCTGCAGTGGGTGGCACCCCTGACCAGAGGTACCTGCCGTTTTGTCTCAGCCTCTCGGCATACCTTAGCTGCATGCCGCTTCAACCGCCAACACGAGTGATGCTGCGACTCTCAGTCCAGACTTCGATTTCTCCAGCCCCTGCTCATCTGAGATCGCATCCCGCAAGTCACCTTTTGCAGGACCGCGGCCGTGGCCGAGCGCGCCCATCCGTCGGCCGTCCCCGGGAAGTTCACAAATGCTCCCCGTACGTGTTAACCGTGAGTTAAATCGTCCCGTAGCGTGGCTGCACGCAAGGACTACGTAATGGCGTTCAACAAGACGATCGAGACCGCCATGCCTACTACAAACGGGTCACGGACTTCAAAAACAGGCTCGGCGTCCCGGTTTTAAACGCGCTTAGGCACGCATGCTAAAGCATTCCTCTAAATCGACAACGTGACTTTGCAAATCTTCATAGAGAGGGTGTCCTGCAGGATGGCGAAAGGATATGATTTTCTTATAGTCACAGCCGAAATCCCGGTCGTAATCTTGGACGAGTTCGTGCCCAACATCAACACGGACAACCCTAGCGAAAAGATCATCTGGAAAGTTGTGGCTGCTAAGTGTACCTATCCCTACGACCTTATCAGCCTCGCGCTCTCGCCAGGCACTAAGTTCCTGGCTACCAGCGTGTGTGCGATCTACTTAGATTCGGCCGCATTCAGGACCCCGCACCGGTGCTGTAGAGCTGTGATGGGTCTCGAAACAGAGTCGCTCTAATCCAACAGACCATCCAAACCCGCTGTGTGAACGTGTTGCGCGGAAGGCAGAGTACCCGCAAAATGAAGACTGAAATTCATCCTAAATCCACGACTTCCTATTCATCATCATCATTATCAACATTCTCAATACAGCTAACAGCGGTTCTCATCACGTTACAGCCGTCCATAGCGTATATAAAACTTAAAAAAAATTTCTCCCACTTCTTAAGGCTAACTATCCCCTCTATATTAAAATCTATTATTTGCAGCATGAAATATTCCTTATCAAGAACATTAATAGCGCTCTTAAAGTTTTCCATTATGGCAACCTCCTTCCTATTAATATAATCAATGCATATATAAAGTAGGAGCTTATGCATATCGGCAAAACTACTAATCGTAATGGCCGTAACATAAATTTCTAAACGGCACATTATTCTAAATCAAGCTTAAAGAGAGGGTTTATAAATAGTAGCCCTATAAATATAAATAAATTCCTTTATCTATATATTATTAATAGGGATTATAAGGACTAAAAAGTTAACTAGTTGCCCATTACGGAGGATACAAATGGAAATATAGGCATCTATAAAGATATATCGCAGGTCAAAGCTCTTCATTACCTTCTTCTTATCCAACTCCAAAATGATATTACCCTTGCATAGCGAATATAATTCAGCCTTGCCATTTAACGCAGTGCATTGCAAAGGAACCCTATCCATAATAAATAGCTAGTTAAATAAGAATTGCTTCGCGATAGCGGATATAGTTTAATTTAACAAGCTTTGCCAAAATGCATTAAAATGCAAAATGCTTTTAACGTTAAAGTCCTAGAATTAAATATTACTAAGCTGGCCCAACTTCCAGAGCTTAAAAACATTATCCACCCAACTAGCGGGGAGGAAGTAATATTGCTAGCAGTATAACTAAGCTAAACTTACTATAATCCAGCTACTATTCCATCATTATAGAAAATAACGCCGCTCTTTATTCTTAAGAGTAGTAAAGTAAGGAGCATAATCTTATAATGGAATGGCAGGTAAGAGCCTACACTTCTTTAGTAAAAAGTGCAATGGCTAATTAGCTTAACGTAGGTATGGACAACCTTTTTCTTGGCATTATTAAAGCTTGCAAAGTAAACCTTATTGCATTCTTTAAGACGTCTCTTTAATAAGGAAACTAATTTAAAGTTTGGGATGTATAAAATGTTAGCGATATTATACTTAATTAAGGTAAAGTTAGCCGCCTTATATATAAACATAATATGCGCTTATATCTTTATTCCCATTAAAAGCGTGATTTTAACCTTATTAAAGAATAACATGCCTTTGCAATATATAATAACAAGGCCATGCTTAAGAAGTAAGCCAATCTTAATAAACTCGCCGATATCGTAGCCATTAATATCCGCAGAGCTGTAAAGATGTAAAGACATAATACCGTGGAAGATTTCGTTAATTTTCTTGCCAAAACCATTTTCGGGAAAAGCTTTTTTAATGCCATATGCCACAATCTCGCCCATGCTTAATTTAACTAAATCAAAGCGTTAGCCAAAGGCATTGCCGAAGGGCATCTCCATTTTCTTTTCAACCCAGCCCCCTCCTTCCCAAGGCTTTCTCCATATCTCTTAAGGTAGTTTAAAATTATTAATTAAAAGGTATGCCATAATATATATAGTTTTGCGGTCTTTAATATCTCTATGTATGGTTTTAATGTATTGCGGTCCCTATTTAAGAAATTAAAGCGCTTATAATAGGCTTCCCATATTTAATGCTGAGTAGTTGTTAATAAACTTAAGAAAATGATAAGATTTAAATGCATTACTCGTAGCTTCTTCGGTAATGTAAACACCCTCAATAGGGTAATTTACCTAGGAGGCCGTCATCCACTCCATAGGGTAGAAGGTAGCGCTGCAATAGCTTATAAGATGATATACAAAGATGGCGTGGAAATCTCCGATATAGCAGTTAACTTGAACTTCTCAATTCCAACGCCAAAGCCAAAAGCTAACTTCCCAATCAATGTAATTATCCTTATATATACTTAGCCTTAATAAATCAGTTTGCAGGTCCTAATCTACCTTTAAAAGGATGTCGCTAGCTTCAATCTTACTATATGCAGGGCCTCCCTTCAATACTTTTTCTATGATAATAGCGTTAAATCTCCCTTTTTCCCGTATCTTAATATCCCACTTAGCTAGCAGGCCATATCGTTTACTTTCATAAAGTGCTTATAGCGTTTATTATACCTAAATGGTGCCATAAGGAATAATTATCCCCGCAAAAAGTTTCTTTATAACCATTTAAGGGTAGTATAAGGCAATTAAGAAGTTATTACTGCTTTTAAGATATCCTCCCATTATTAAGCCAATTGCCTTACCTTTTATATTAAGAGCTAAACTTCCAAAGCTCCCACTTATAAAGGAAAAAGCAACCTAAATTATCTCGCAATTAAAGATCCTTAAGCAATAAGCATTATGGTTATACTTGGGCTTAATATTAATTCTGCTAATAGTTGCTTATCTAATACTAAGCCTTAGCGCCTCATTATTGCCAAGGCAATGAAAGTTAATACTAGGCTTTGCCCCTTTTGTAGCGAAAAAAATCGCCTTAATTCCCTGGGAACGTGCAAGGTTCGCGTTAACCTAAATAATAGCGAAGTTTATCTTAGGATTTATATAAACAATATGCAGAATCTTAAGCTAATTTAGTTTATTAATCTACTTACAGCCAGAAGAAGTAAGATCTTAGCCATAAGCATACCTTAATGTTACCTTTAAAGATAATAAAGCCAAAATAGGGGCCTAGGCTTACAACGTGCTTACACATAAGCACAAAGCCTTTCTCCTCTTACACATAAAAGCCAGTGCCTCCTTTAATTACTCTTGGCTCCTCTAAATTAATATACTGAAAATAAGAGAGGCTAAATTAATTAATGCTCTTACGAGCTTATTAAATAATAATTTCCCATTGCTTAGCTTAATTAGCAAGGCTCATGTTAAACATCTTATCGCTAAAAGCAATGAAATTAAAAGTCATTATAAGGGCGGGAAGCATACATTAAGTCAAAACTGGAAGATATGGAATAAGTTCTTGGAAGTGAGAACAAGGTATGGTGTTATTATAAGAAAGAAGGGAAAGAAGGGAAAGAAGAGAGAGGAGAGAGACTAAGGACCCAAGTTTCCAAGTAATTATACTGGTAAATTATAGGCAGTGTCCTTACACTCCGTCAATCCAGGTCGGGAAAGCAATTAATACATTGGTACTTATTTCTTGCCTCTAGTGTCAATATATGGCATACAATCGAAGTTTGTGTCGCGCCCCCTCCCTGTACTTAATCTACGCAATAAAAGCGGTGGCAGCAGTGGCCCTGCATCAGATTGCAGGTGCTTGACCAACGTCCTCGCCTTGTGGTTGCCCAAGTGGAGACCACAGCGTTATGATGTGTGTAATGTCCAGACTGATGGCATGCTGCCTTGATACATCTATATTTGGCGACACCACGGTGACATCTAATTAGTGCTTGCATTATACCAGGGGATGCAGCTTGTAGACCTTGTTCACACCATGACAATGGCTTGCAGGCCTGTTCACACCATGACTACGGCTTGTAGGCCTTGTCCACACCATGACTACGGCTTGTAGGCCTTGTTCCACCAAGGCTATGGGCTGTAGGCCTTGTTGGATTGTCTTTTGCCTGTGGTGGGGTGAAGGTGGCTGGAGCAAAGAAAAGGAAAGGGAAACATCTGTACCAGGTGTGAGCTCATAGAGACAGCTGCAAATCTATGGGTACAGGTACAAGCGACTACCAGATTTGTGGACACGGGGGCAAGGCAAGCATGTATGGGTACATGTATTGCCAAGCAAGGGCCTGCAGTATATATTTTATCGACACCCGTCTAGACATGGAACCTTTCATTCTGGTTGCCTTATTCACGTCACTACGAACTGCACCTTTGCCAGCCCTCAGAATGCCCCAAGATGGTCTCCTCCAGCTTATTGATGGGTGGGGTGCATTTTTATTTGCAAATATAGCTGTCTTATCCTGGTTTGCCATTCGCTTAAGTGCAAAGGCCAACCAGTCTTCCTTAATGCCATAGTTCGCATGGAAGTTCGCCTACTTACTACCTCTACTCTCTGCACTTCCAACCCTCTTGCTTGCTATTGCATTGAGCTGGAGTATCAAAAGCGCCAAGTCCTTTTGGCTTCCCCATACCTTTCAAATTCTTCTAGCCTTACGAGCTACCTGCATTTTCATAACTACCTTCATTAAGGCAAGTCTTGGTGGTCCCTAACACCTACTATTTCTATGCTAATGTGCTTACAAGTTCTTCAAGGTGTTTCATCCTTTTCTTCAAAGTAATCTAAGACGATACTATTTGAATCTATCCACAGACGTTGAGGTGCCAAGAATACAGCTTTTCTGTTTTGTTACTGTCATCCTTCAGTGTGGGCTTTTTGGTGTGGGATGGAAGCTGTCTGATTCGAGTCACGACCTGACGGCAGCGCCGCTTGTTCTGCTGCGAGCGCTTGTTTTCGCCTTGAGTCCCAACCTTATTCGGCATCTCTGGAAGCACAACAGACGCCTGCTCGTGGTGGTATCATCCATGCCTCCCACAGCCACAATTTCTATCGCATTGTTGGCTTCCACAGCAGAAGGGAAGCTACCTGTTCCAACATCTCTTCAATGCATGCTTTGTTTGATTCCACTTGTGACCAAATGGTTGGCACACAAACGACATGCTAGCCTAGCGACACTCAGGACGCCCCCGAACTCGAATCCTTCCACTCGGAATCAAGTTTTGGGCATGCGAAGTCAGTCTGAGACCAACTCCGAATCTGAAAGGCCGAGTTCAATTTCACGTTCCTATTTCACGGTGTAATTTGGAAGCGGCGTCATGTGAACTTCGGGCAGGGCCATTTTCTGTGCTGGAATCTGATGAGTGGATTTATACAGTGAGCGTCACTGAGCACAAGTGAGGTGTGGGATCAGAGGTTGGGTCGCCGACTAACTTGCGGGGCCTCGCAGAACTGGGGACCCGCGTTATTGGCCAGCGGTTACCGCGGAAAGGTTGCATGGCGTATTGTGATTCGGAGGAAGCGGATGCATGCCTGGCGTCGGGGCCGTCGGAGGTGCGCAGGATAGCGTTGTCGAGGATGGTGCATGCGTCCGCTGATCCTATGTACTCTGCACGAGGCGGACGTGCCCAGTGTTGCTCACAAAAGTTTCGTCGAGGGTTGCAACGCCCACACAGGGGGTGCTTTCCAGATCTGGCAAATAACACAAAATTGATTCATCACATGCGCAGTTGCTGTAGCAGGTTTCAAATCATTGTCGTCGTCATCGTTTCTGGAAGGCGCGATGTCCATCTCGGTATGCCATCGGCTCATGCCTGCGGGGCAACGGTTTGCAGGATCGTTCTGAGGCTCTTGATGAGCAGTTGAGGACTTCCGAGACCATGGAGGACGGGTCCATTTGACAAAAGTGGCACCCTCTTGCCGGGACTGTCAAACTGGACCCTTCACACCCCTGGTTGATTGCTGTTAGCGCATAACCCTAAAAGGGCCTTGCTGTACACCTGCAATCCCATACCCATGCACCCGGACGGGAGCATTCCCGTTTTGGCTTAGATGTCGCTGCGTTCTTGGTCCTTTCCCGATCTGTCAGAAAATCAGTAGTGAGCCTCCAAACAACCTCGACGGGGAAAATGGATGATGGAAATGAACACGAACCGACTCAGCCCACCGACCTCGAGGTCATATTTTATTTGCCGGATCATGCAGTTGGCGTGTCCTTGCCGCCGGCGAATAGAGGATCCGGTATGCCAACGTGGGAAAGGCTTGCAGGCCATATCGGCACAGCCACCATACTTCCTCGCTTGCGTGTGGAGGATTGCCTCCAGCTGCTACCAAAGTACAGCGGTGACACAGCTTTAGAGGCTGCATCGAGTCTTGCATCAAGCATCTCGCAAGCTAAGGAGAGGCGAAGCATCCAGGGGATCTTACTCCTCAGCCTCTGTATAGTGTTAGACATGTCAGGGCGTGCTTCTCGAGCGAAGATTGATAGCATCATCAAGGTCCTTACCAAGAGTTCGAAGCCGAGATACCTTGACACTTTAAAAAGAGGAGCGCGAGTTGCGAACGAGATCATCGCCGAGTGGGCTGGGCGGCATGGCGGCGATCATCTGCAGCAGCTCGATCAGGCCACGCAAGCAGTGCTGCAAGGTGCGAGATTCATTGATTCATTCCAATGTACGATCTAACCATTTGTGTCATTCAGCTCGCCTCTCCGTTGCCCAATGGGGGACACTAAGTGAGCACTGCACTCAGGTAAAGGAAAGGGTAGTATCGAGACCTTTGTCTCAAGTACCAACGGGTAATGGGTGCCCAGTACTCATCCCACCTCTCATCAGCCATATCACCAAGGGTTCCCTGAAGTGCGTCGCCCCATCTGCAGGACCAGTAGCAAGTTACTGATATCTTAGGCTTGGCGAGGTTTGTCGCTACCTGGGGTATAGCGCTGACCTTACCGCCAGCATGGTTGGCGTGTCGTACGAGACAGGGAGGTTGGCCTAGAGTGACCCCGATTGGTGAAGTCGCAAGGAGGAACATCGCGATACCAGAGACGAAACCTTCCCCATCCGCGCCGCATCGGGAAAGATTAGCGGTGGCGGGTCGCTATCCCTACCCTTGATCTACGGGGAAGGGGCCCGGCATTGATCTTGGCCCCGTGTAGCATGAGGCAATTCAAGGCATTTTGATAACAGAAAAATTTCGAGGTCTTGCATGCCCCTTTACTCGCTACTATCTACCAGCCGGGACTGGTGTGGTATCCAAAGTAGGATGGCCAAGGACTGCTCCGCAACAGACGACCTCTCTCAAGCTCCCCTGTCGAAAATGCATCCTTTTGAAGCTTCAGCAGGGTGGTGAGTCAGTTTGATCAACACTGCGAAGCTCATACTGAGATGCAGAGCTTTGGAGGCACAGGACATTTTGCCAAAGCTGACGGAGACAGAGTACCCATATCTGGCGAATGCACACGTACATTCCGCCAGGGACGGAGGCGAAGTAGACAACCTGCAACGTCAGCCTCAAGCTTTTGACGTGTCAAAGAACGGACTCACCAGAGAGAAATCATCGTATGGGCCAACAAACAAGGCGAACCAGACTGCTCCGTGGAGGAGGAACATCACCAATGCCGGAACCAACCACTTTACGCTCTGCTGCCCTGTGGACACAACTGAAAAAACTCCTCCAAATTGTCGCAAAATCGTCCAACATTCCCATGCAGACCACATCCGACAAAGAAAAGTTGCAGACAACGTCGTTACCCTACTCCAAAGTGGACTCGCTTGCGCCAACGGTACGCTTCCGACAAGGAGGCCCAGCAACACACCGTCACAGATCATCGCCCCCGCCATCTTGCTCTTAGGCCATGGATCGGTCCACATACGAATCCAGAAGAGCCTCTAAAAAAAGGTCAGCCATAGCTCTGATACCTCTTCCGCCGAGTGTACATACCTCGCCTGACACCATCAAATAAGTGCCAAGGTTAATTTATGTAGATAAGAAAGTCGTGACGACAGTGGAGAATGGAAAGAATGATGATAGGAACAACTCCTGCCATACACTGCCATAGAGCAAAACAAAAATATGCATTAGGGAATATGAAAAAGAGTATCCGGGGTCCGTCTGTGCCGGTGATTCTGCGCCTGCGAAGTATCAAGACAATACTGAGTCCTGCCCAGAGATGGCTCAGCACAATGGCAAGCATGGCGGTCGCAGAGGGTGGCCAAAGGCCATGGCTCCTATTCGATTCGTCGTCGTGCATAATTTGGTTCTTGTGCCGGTCAATTCGTCTTTGCAGGAAGAGGAAGACAACGTTTCCCATCCCGGCCCAAAATGGAAGATGGCGATCGGATTACTCTTATATACTTTTCACATGCAGAGCCGAGATCCATCGCCGAGGGGGGGTCTCAGAGATGTGCATTGTGAGGCAGATTATATAAGCCACGGAGTGGAGTTGAACGTGACATTCTGTTCTCAGCCACCCGAACCGAGATGGGTGCTCAAGGGCCCCGGATGCGAAACTTCACACCCCAGTGTGCCCAGGGTGGTCTACCATATTGTAACCAAACGCGAAGGCAAGGGATTGGGGAACCAATAGCTGCGCGGTGAGACCTTGTCCACACCATGACTACGGCTTATAGTCCTTGATCCCAAACGGCACTGCGCAAAAAAAGTGTCCGTGAAATTGCCTGGTCAAATTACTCATGCTCTGCGCCGCATCTTTGCATCGTGTGGTCGCACATTCAGAGAGTCTCTGGTTTGCGAACCGAGACTCACGGCTATATAATGTAACTGGTGCTTCCAACTGTCGCCGATCAGAAGGATTCCCGTTCTACGCCTGAAAACATCCGTCCCAATACATATTCGTTTTGACATCAGTTTCGACTGACAGCCGAGAATCACCAACCGTCACAACTATGGACAACCACACTCCTGACCAGCAAACAGTCCTGAAAAATTTGCAATGGATGGAAAGAATTTCCCTAGGAGTCGGTTATCGATGTGAAGAGAGTCAAATATCATTTAGTTCGATGTTGTCGCTCCAAGATGGGCACCAAGAGGAAGCGAAGCTGCAGGAGCTCCTCCAGAATCATTACGGATTTGCGTTCATGAATCTCTTCCTTATTGCCCTCGCTCGACATTCTTCTGCAGCTAACGGTCTGATACGAGTCCTTGCATCTTTGCTGTCATTCCGCATCTTATCCCTTATACAATCCTTTTTTTGGCTACGGGACGCACGCACATGGCTGTATGACTTCGTCTCGCAAATGGGTGTTGTCCTGTCTTTTCTTTGCATCCTCGTGCCAACCCACCATAGCTACTTTGACCATTGTATCAAGGAGTTACATAAGTCTGTCACCGCAGTTTGTCGTGGCCTTCACGCAATGTCTTTCTGACTATTCTGATAGGACTATCTCAGTCGGATTCTTGATCGGAGCACAGAGTCAATTTGGCAATACGGCATTTCGTCAGAGCCCGGATTACATGATTCATTTCATCCAGTCACAGGGAATGCGGCCCACTGTTACGAAAGTTATGACAGGCCTTCAAAAAATCATGCAGAGCATGAAGCGCAAACACGATCTTTCCGAAAGTGATTTCCAGGTGGCCTTCGTCGAGTCTTTCGAAAAGTGCCGTACCCTCGTTCATCCGGATGACAAGCAGATATCAACAGCGGCGGACCAGTCACCACATTGGAACAATCAAGACCACAGGATGACCGAAGGCTCCCAAATGAACTCGGCCGTGCCTGCACCACAGTGGGATTACCAAGACCACGGGATAACTGGAGGCACTCAAATGAACTCGGCCGTGCCCGCACCACAGTGGGATTACCAAGACCACGGGATAACTGGAGGCACTCAAATGAACTCGGCCGTGCCCGCACCACAGTGGGATTACCAAGACCACGGGATAACTGGAGGCACTCAAATGAACTCGGCCGTGCCCGCACCACAGTGGGATTACCAAGACCACGGGATAACTGGAGGCACTCAAATGAACTCGGCCGTGCCCGCACCACAGTGGTATAATCAAGATCACGGGATAACTGGAGGCTTCCAAATGAGCCCGGGGGTGCCAAATTTGCTCTTTTCTGTGAAGGATATCCAGGAGGCGTCGTTGGAATATGCTGAAGATGACAGTTCGCAGGTGGCCGGAGGGAGTCAGCCGAGAGCTTAGGCGGCTTGAAGGTGCTTGATATCACACAAAAGTGCAAGGGTGCTCTGGAATGGGACACACATTGATCTCCTGAGTCTGTAGTCATGGTTTCGCGAGACTGAGCAGGGGCACAAAGAGAATGAATGTATAACTGAAATCGGGGAGCTTCACAGTCTTCGTAAACATAGAAACGTAATTGAGTCTTTCGAAAATCAGCTCAGCAGCCTTGATCACGTAGATCATCCTCCGTGGGGCCGGTTCTCCCATATCAACGTCGCTTACGGAGCATCCCTTGGGCCTCGGATTGCATCTCTTGGACCCTGTGTTGCGTCTCTTGGACCATGAGTAGCTTGTCTTGGACCTCGCGTTGCCTCTCTTGGACCGCGAGTTGCCTCTCTTCGACCGTGCATGTCATCTTGTCGACCGCGCATTGCAGCTCGCGCACCGCGTTTACAAGATTTTTGAGTCCCTCCGAGACTCCTTCGTCCGGTGATCCTTGATTGCTGGCAGACGATTCGACTTGGACATTGGTTTGAAACTCTCGGACCGCGTCTGACACCTTATGTGCCACGCTCTGAAGTTTTTGCAGTTCCTCCTGACATTCAAATTCTACCTGTTGGACAGAGAGCTCCTCTCCCTGTTGCTGCTGTGTATAATCCACGGCGTCCATCACTCGGGACTCTCTGCTTCATTCTTGGTCAGAGATGGTCGATAACAAAAAGGAAAGTCAACATATCTTACTGGCTGGGAGCAACGACGGTTTTTGCAGAAGGACTGGATCTGGGTTTCCAAAGACTTTACCATACGGTGCCAGCTCCTTGCGGGAAATCAAATGTTCCCAGTCGACCTTTTGACTGTCAGAAGAAGCCCTGCAACTTACTTTGGCCTGTTAGAACCAGGATTCTCATCTCCTTTTCCCAGAATGTAGCCTGGTAGAACTCACAACAGTCGCCACTGAGCTCCTCTGTCCAATTCACGATTTTTACAGGGCAGCGGCGATGGTAAATGATGTAGGTGGAACACCACTCCGCCGCCCGAATGTAGTAGTGGACGCAAGGGTAAAAATACACTGATTCCCATTCGCACATGGTCGATGGAAGTGTCATCAGAAATTATTCTGCAGAATTGTTCGCAGACTGGTTCGCAAATGACTGAGTTGCCTCCTGTGGCACCTATTTCACTCTGGTGTAAGCGTCGCAGCCGCTTCCTGCGAGCTTGAGTTCAACCGGGTCTTTCACTGGCTGAAAATTGACGCAACAGGGGTCTTCAAGTATCAATTGCAACATCCTGCAGGCATGGCATCCTGAATCACTACTGTGTCAATCGGAGGCTGTGCAACCAGCAGCTTTTTCGCAGATTGCGCAGAAGAGGGAGGCGAGGGAGTCGTTACTAGCGCCTTCTGATCCGTTCCCCGAGATTCCAGCCATAAAAGTACTGCTTTCAGTATAGCTGCTCATGTCGTCACCCGCCTGGTCATGGTCAGGGAGACGGATGTCTCGATTGCCATCCGAAGCCCGCACTGCCCTGATGTGCAGTGTGCGTGCCCAGGCGCATGCTTTTCATTTCTCGGAATGTCCCTCCATCCAGCTCATCATATGCTCTCCTGGGCAGAGGGGAGGGACACTACCGTTTTGGTCTCAAAAGAACAAAATTCATGGCAACTCGTTAATTACAAGGTCTTAGCAGCCTAAGCCTCTGTATGTGTCTCGGTCTGCATGGCTCATCGGAGCATCTATTGTTGGTCCCGGTCTTCCCAAGTCTGGTCCCACGGGACTTCCCACGACTGAAAGTGCACTCTATTCTTTCAATTGAAGGTGGTATTCGATTTTCTCTGAGCATTGGGTTGGTGTTCGTTCGGAAAACAATCGCCACGTGCAACAGGTAGTCTCAATGAAGTAGCGCTGGGATGCACTGCACACTGATCTAAATTCAGAAATCCCTGTTTTGACCCTCCTTGATGCAAGAGCCACAAACCCCTGCCGAGCCTCTAAACTGTTTTCAGAAATCCCTGTTTTGACCCTCCTTGATGCGAGTGCTATGAACCCCCGACCTGCGATGCAATGTGATCGCTGGATTAGGTCATGCGCCCGTTTCAGGGCTGGATGCTGGTGGAAGCAATGGTGGAGGCAATGTTGGACAGGGAACGCTGCGTTGCTTCTTGGCCGACTCGCCTGACACGATCATCGTGACCGATGTCACTAACACAGACCTTGAGAGTCAACTCTACCAATCTATACCTTTCGGGTTCTGACTGAGATTACCCCGCTATCTCTGTACCCTCTGGGTAGGCGGACGTTGGCTGCGCACTAAGCATGGCTGTCTGCGACAACTGAGAGCGCCCCCTCGCAAGCCCAGGCCAGTCTCAGCAGCGCTTAGTCAGTCCAGGGCTCTGTTTGTAGACTTGAATGCCAGCAAATGCTTCTTCTCGGGGGTTTTTTTTTTATTAAAAAAAAAAAAAAAAACCTGGCGGCACACAATAGCCACGCTGCGGAGCCATCTGCATACATATCCCAAATGCTTCCTCCAGTTCTCTCATATTTGTAACACTCGGTTCTTGCCAAGGGCAAAGAGTCCTTACCAGATCTGCTCTTCAATTCAACACCCTTATACGTCTTGATGCGATGGATCAGAGCCTTCCACATCCTCCTCTTCCAGCTCTCTTGGAGGACTTGGCATCTCGGTCGCCCCATGACACGTTGATTTGTGAGGAGACTGAAGCTGTCGCCGTGCTTGATCCTCCGGAGAGCCCGACAAGCCATTCGGAAACAGCTTCTTTGCTTTCCACGGTGGACCTGGATGTCCCAAGTTACCTTCCTTGGCCTTCAGAGGATGATCGCAAAGCTCCTCATCCCCAATTCACACTACTATTCGGGCATTATCACAGCATTATGATGATGGAGATTTTAGGACCTGAGTCGCATATAATTGATGCGACCATTCGCCGTCCGGGCGGAACTCAACCCTCTTGTGTGGGGAAACATGATCTGGGGAAACATGATTGGTAGATCTCTTCAGATCATCGTCTGTCTACATAATGCAGCGTCTGGAGATCAGATCACAGATTGTGTCCTGGACGGTGAAAATACCTTTGTCGGCATCTAATCTCAACGCCTTGACAAAAATGGACAAGCAACCTTGGTATATGACTTTATGATTTGTGGACTGCGGATATTAAAAGAAGGGCATTTCTATTTTACACATTTGTTCATAGAGCCGCTTGATGAGACAAGGGCTTTTTGGGACTTGAAAGGCAGTCCTTGCAAGGCTACTCGCCGCCCGGAACTTTGTAAGCAAATGACCACATTTTGCGAAACGCAGCTAACGCTGATGATAACCAGTGGAACATAAGGTGGCATACCTAGCTGAATTAGAGCAACGGGGCATCCTGCCGTTTAGTTATGGGGAACGGGCAGGAAGCGAAAATCGCGACTCGCGTACGAGCGGAACTAGTGAGGCTTGGTGGAGGTCAATCGTCGACAAATGAGCTTCGTCTGCTTCGTTTGCTGGAGCCAAGGATGTCTTGACAGCTAGTATTTGGTCTAATAGAATGTTTTGCCTGCCTGTTCAACTTCTATGTCTGCAGCTCTGGGAGTCCATGTGGTCGTCTATGTCATGATTGCCCGGATCAGCGTCGATTCTATGGGGACGAAAGTGGTCGTTGAGGAGGATACCATGATGGGGGGAGTCAGGTACATTCAGGTCTTCCTCGTCGCGAGACATGAAGATTGTTCTATTCTAACTGAGGTGCAGAGGTTCAGGATGTGTCCTTCTCTAGAATTCTCGCCGTCTCCTTGCTCCCATCTCATGCTCATCGTCCTCCCGGGGCCTCTTAATGCGGCGCGGCGGAGGTTGGCTCGCATCTGACTTGCCTTGCCTTTCTTCCTCGGCCTCTGAGGCGTGTTCAGTTGTCTGAGCCCGGTTCTTCGCAAGCCGGTCCATTTCCGCCTGCTTCCTCGAGAGGTTCATCGAGTGGGCCAGCACCGAGCCAGAGACATCCTGATGGACAACTGCGCAATGAGTCCTCCACTCTTCTGGGCCCTGGATCAGCGGAGGCTTGCTTTGGTCCGTCTTTGTCCTCGCACATTCTGGGCACGAAAATTCCTGGCTGAACAGTCCCTTGGCGACGTGTGTCTTCGTAAAGTGTCCCGATATTCCCTTGAAGTGTCCATTGCAGACAAGGCAACGCGTATACGGCGTCTTATCGGCGACTTTTTGGATACCCCACGGGGCTTCCTGTCCATGAGCGGCAACACAGTGAACGTGCCAATTATTGCAGTTCAGCACCAAGTGCGGGGCCTCGGCGCCCTGTCTAGCACATTCCGGACATGGGAAAGGCTTATCAAATTGACCAATCTTCACATGCTTGGTTTCGAAGTGCTTGCGTGGATTATATGTCGGGGTGTTGCATAGGAGACAACACGGTCGCTGGTCCATCGGCCCTGGAGGATTAGGAGTGTGCTGTGATCCGTGGTGCGCCGCCACGTGCTTACACCACTCATCGAGACCAGAGATGCTCCTTTCAACTTTGCCGAGTCGGCGGCACTCAGGACATGGGAAGGGGCTGGTGAAATCCTCACCCTTGACGTGGATGTTGGTATTATGTAGCGACAACCCAGTCTTCGTCGGATAGCATTGATCCGAGCAGAGCAGGCACCTGTGCTCGGTGGGATTCGCGCTGCTCGCCTCCGTCGTGGATGGCAGGAGTTTTGGGTCATGGTGCAAGTCAATGTGACGCCTCCACTCCGCACGGTCGCTGATAATGCAGTCCTCCGAGCCCAGACGACAACATTCGGGGCATGGGAACGGCTCGGCAACAGTCCACAGCGCCCGATGACACTTGACCAGATGCTCCCTGAGGGCGGTCGTGTTTTCGAACGTCTGGCAACCAAGGATACACCGGTAAGGCGCCAGCCCTCCCGGCGCATGGTGCTCATGTACGTGGCTGCACCACTCTCCAAGGTCTGCGATCTGGTCCAGGGTCTCTCCATGGCCCAGGCGGTCGCACTCGGGGCAGGAGAAGGGACACATCCGCTCACTGCGATGCGCTCTGTTGGTGTGCTTCCACACGTCCTTCCAAGACTTGAAAATTCCGTCCCCCGTTTTGCCGGTAGCTTCCAAAGTACTCGCCCCGGCACAAATAAAGCACGTCGGTACACTCTGTGATCTCTGCTCGAGGTACGCGACCAACATGTCGATGTATATGAACTCCAATTTGTTGCAGTCATCCGTGCGGTCCTGCTTCAAGTACTCGCTGATGGCCTCGGCCGGGAACTCTGCGCCACGACGCGCTCTCAGCCTCGGGCGTGGTGTTTGTAGGTCGCCTGTGTCTTGGCCGAGAGCCCGCCGGCGGTTGGTTTCTTTGAAATACTGGCCGCGTTGCTCTGCGACGCGAGCTCTGGAGAGCTTTTGGGTCAGGACCCGGATCTGAGTCGACTTTCTGTAGTCGTTGCTGCTGAGTAGAGCGCGCATATCTTCTCTTGTACTCTTCCAATTCTCGATGTCTTCGGGATGTACATCGAAAGGGGCTAGCTGATCACATCGCAAGGACGAGTTGCGCAGGATCTGGAAAAGATCGTCGGCATCCTCTGCCTTCGCTTCGGGCGCTAAGATTGAGACGAGGTCCTCTTTCATGTGTCTCGGCTGGTAACTGCGCTCAAACATCGTGTTTGAGTGCGATAGAATGTAGTTCCGAAGCGCAGGAGTGAGGGCACCTTGATTCTGAATGTCAGAAGAGCCGACCCGTATCAGGCTAGGTAGGAGCCCCAAGGGGCCAACGCACCGTTCATTCTGCTTCCTGCGCCGACCCGTACCGCGTAGGGGCGGAGCGATTCGGGGAACCCAGCGACGAGGAGGACCCGGCTCCATATCTCCCAGAAATCGCGGTAGGAAATTGGGAATATCTCCTTTTCCAGGAGTTTCTCTTTCCAACCTAACGTGACACTTTTGATGCCCTTCTCCATCAGCGGCCGCTTTAACAATTCCTCCGCCGAGCCGAATGAGGGATCAAACGCATCTTCGGACAGGCCTTGAGCGACAACAAGGCTTGCGGGGCAGAAGAGGCGATACGGGACGAAGGTAACGGAGAATTCAATCCTGCTCGGAAACATCATATCAGTCATCAGTCAAGACGGGGGCGAATGAGAACATACACATCCTTCTGGTCCGTCTTGATAGCGTCAGGCCGCAGCTTATTCTGTTGCAGGGTGAAGGTGGCAACGAGTCGCTTTTCATGTGTTTTAGGATGGCGTAACACCCGGATGGAGACTTGTTTGTACTTGACGTTCTCGACAACCCCAGGACGAAAGCCGCCAATAGCAGCCAATAGAAGCATAGCATGAAAAGATACCCGAGTGATGGGGGTGCATGGAATATCCTCAGCACGTTGCCACAGAGTCTGGAGTATCAGTGCAATATCCTCAGCTGTTGCTTCCTTCTTCACGAACATCTGATTCCGTGAAAGACCCATCTTATCGGACTCCGCTCCGATCCACTAGGTAGATCATTATCAGACGCGTTTGCAACGCGGATGCGAAGAGTGCCTTGGGGCGGGGGGAACATACCCGAATAAGCTCATAAACTGGCCCCACGCCCTTCTGCGAGAACAGACCCTCCTTGAAGCTGAGATTCCACCGCGCCGAATTGGCAGGATCTTCTCTCCTCTTCTGGGCAAGGACTGTCCTGTTAAAGTGGACAACAAGGCTCCTCCAGCATTTGCCAATGTCCTGGCAGAGTTCACAGTACGCTCTGCTTTCTTCTCGCTCGGGCCCAGATCCACCCGGTACCGCTTGCGGCGCGCCGCGTAGATGCTCAAGAACTTCTGGCAGAGGCGGATGGCATCCATCTGCCTCTTTCCCTTTTCGCAAAGGTCATACCAGATCTGGTCAGGGTTGGCGACAGCCGTCGTTGAGGACCAGAAACTATTCTCAGCGGTATCAGAAGGAGTGCACTAAAATCTCAAGTAAAAGAAGGACGTGACTTACTCATACCAGGTGCTTCTCAAGCTCTCAGACTTCCTCATTGCTGTCTCGCACCCTCGGAGTTCAGTAACCTCTGCGTCAGACTCCTCTAGCATTCCCTCAACTTCATCCGAATCGATGTCGAAGAAAGCCATCGTTCTCAAGTGTTGGTCAGATTGAGGAAACTGAAGCTGAGCGAACCGTGTTCCCATTAATGAGAGGGGAGGTAGAGAACACTCTATGTAAGAAAGCAGAGAGAGAGAGGAACCGCCGGATCATGCCCAAGGGCGGGCGCCCGCCCACCACCTACCACCCTGCCTGCAGTGCCGCGTGGACATTCTGTGGGTGCCCTCCTGTGTTAGTTGTCAGGTATGGCGACGAGAGGTTACTGACACTGCTCATGGCCAGGTCTGACACATCCAGATTTCCGTTCACGTGACATTCCGTTTCCCCCTTGCGGTTTCCCGTTTCCCGTTTCCCGTTTTCCCATTACTTCCGTACCGTCTCCCGTTCTCCGCTTCCCGTTCTCCGTTTCGCACTATCGCCTTCCATCAAAAAAAGAATTTCACCAGAAAAAATTGAGAAGAAATGGAAAGTTGCATAAGATGCAGGGCAATAACAGGATCCACAATGCCGAAAAGAAAGAACAGGGCAGCAAAAAGGAGGGGTGCAGGGGCGAATGAGCTGCAAAAATGATGAGACTGGGACTTGAACCCAGGAGGATTGCTCCACCAGGATTATTGTTTGTTAAGTTTAACCTTAACCTGGCGCCATAACCTTCATGGGGATTAGCGTTAAATCAATAATCACGAATTGCAGTGGTGTTGCTTACCGACTCGGCCATCTCACCCATTTTTAATGAAATGGAAAGTTTGGAATAGCCTGTAAAGGTTGTGTGGCATCCAGGGTGGGACCGGAAACGGGTCCGAGGCATGGAGCTCCGCCTGGATCGGCAGACCGCGTCCAGGCGCTAAGGGCTTATTAGAGCCATTTCATCTGGCAATGCTTTGCGCAGAGGAAAGTGAGGGGGGAAGGCTGATTTTCTCGGCTTGTGCGATGCTCGGGGCACGGGCTACTACAGATGCATTTTGCCGCCTTGGCTGTGCAACCCAAGAAGCAGCTCATCCTATGTGCCCACGACTTAAGATACTCTCGGGTTATGTACCTTTGTTAGCCTTCGTCGATCAGCGTTTCTCTCCGTTTTCTTGTGCTGCTCGAAGACGTGTCAATTGCATTTTCGTGTGCATTGTTCGGCCGAGCGGGGAAGAGGGGAACCCGCCAGGCGTACGTCGACACCGCTTTCGTCGAAGCAGCCATAGCTTTAGCCCTAGACTTTTAATTCCTTTTCTTGATACGGGGAAAAGAGAGCCACACGATAGCAACCACAGCAATAAGCGAGAGAATGATAGGTTGTAGGACACCAACGCCTCTGCTAGCCGCGATCGCGCCAATGATAAAAGGGAAGACCGTGCCGCCGGTGCCACCGATAGCCATGGCAAAACCTATAGCACTCACGTGAATGTGCTTCGGAAGCAGTTTGGCGGTCATCATCACAGCGCCGGGAAACATGGGTCCCAGAAAGAAGCCCAAGAAAGCCACAGTAATAGCTGAGACAACGAGTTGGGGAACGAGCCAGAACAGCAGCTGCAGAGCGATGCAACAAGCCAGGTAGACGCTGATGCACAGCCTCTCACCGTATCGCTCAGTCACAAAGCCTAGGCCGGCTCGGCCGAGGGCTTGCCCGGCCCAGAATCCGGTGGCGGAGATACCAGAAACATAGGCTGATGCCTTACGGACCCGCAGCATGAAGGTGACGATCCAGCCACCGAGACCAACTGTCGACGAAATCAGCCACGGAAATCATTGATCGCATCATCCAGCATACCTTCGACGCCCAGATATGCGAAGAAAAATAAGGAGCAGAGCCAGGTGACCCTCGACTTGAGGGCAGCCCTGGTGCCGGCGCCGCCGTCTTGGTTCTCTCGCGTGTGCTCCGCGCGGTAGACCCCGCCGGTCTTTTTCCAAAAGGTGATGGTAAGGCCGACCAACTCAAGCACGGACATGCCAATCTAGAAATCGATGAGTTACAGGCTCATGTGGTACCTTGCGTGTTGTTTCTCACCATCAGATAGTAGTAGTTATACCACGGTAGCTCTGCTTTCACGACCATGGACGTCGCGACGAGTGGTGAGACGAGGGCGCCCACTGAATAAAATGAATGCAAGAAGCCCTGTATGGTGTTCGCCTTATCCATCACACCAACCCAAGCGCAAAAGCAGGCGTCTGTCAAGCCGTTACCAAATCCGCTAATCGTGTTGGCTATAACAAGCACGGGGTAGGGAGGGTGGAGTGCTAAAATGATGTAGGTGATGATGTGGCAAAGGGGTGCCATTATCGCGATACCTCGCTGCCCAAAAGTTTGATGAATACGGGCGTTGGTAAAGGCGGCAACGGAGTATCCAGCGAAAGGGGTCAGGAAGATAAGAGACACAATAGTGTAACTGAGATCATAGTAATTTTCGATCTTCTCCTCAGTAAGACATGGCGACGTTGCCTCGGGGACGGAGGAACATCACGTACGTATGGGATCAAAGCCTGTAATCTGTCAGCAAACGGATGCGTGTTGGCGGTCAAGACAACGCACTCCAACTGCGGCGTCATTCATTCCAGCAATGGCGAACGATAAGCAAGCAAATACAAGCCTGCCAGCGTTGGCCTTGGGCCAGTTCCACCTCTCAATTTCGACATGGGCATTCGGCGGCGGAGTGACATCGACGCCCTTTGAGTCAGTCGACTGGTGGTGCTCTTTCGACCTATTCTTCTCGGGCAAGATGCCACCGAGCTCGTACACTTCCGAGCTAGAAGTCTCTTGATACGTCTCGGTGCAGGTCTGCGTGTTCGATTGGGCCATGGCGAAAGAAGACGTGAGTTTGCGATATCGTTCAGAACGAAGACTCCGGACGAGACCGCGTAGGGTTCAATGTAATGTGTAGGTAGGTTGTCATGGATGGGAGCGATGTTCGGACCAGTTAGCGTGATGTAGCCAACTTCAAACAGGCAAAGCGCCCTGAGAATTTCTCCGCAACGCTCTCCACCTTTCTTTTATGGACGTATGAACTCGGCCGTGCCGAACTGGTGAGTCTTATGCCATTTGAGCGACACATCCAATCTCCAATTGATATTTCTTTGCTAATGTAGACAACGGTTTTAACGGTGTGGTGTACATTTAGGCTCTATTAAGGCTTTTCCCCTTACGCACCGGTTCTACATATCTTCGTCTAGGTTGTCACTGACTTTTGCATCGTCCGAGAATCTCGGCCTTTTACTCCGATTGCCTTTGTAGCCACTTGAAGTTGGTTCAATACAGCTCGGAGATGCTCTGGTGCGTGTTGAGGAATACCAATGCTATGTATTATCCATTCGAGGTACCTCGCGTTTCGGAATCAGGAAAAAGGGTGCTTCAAAGCTGTTCTTCACAACAACGCCTATAGCATAGTGAGTCCTTGTATGGAAACCTCTGTGCCTCCGTCTGCATCTACTTCAAGAAACGGAGGCCTAGCATAGGTGCAGTCGAGTATGGATGCCGCAAGTTTCAACACGAGAATTTAATTCATTGTTTTAGACTCGGTGCTATGCTGTTAGGCACTAGGCTTTGAAATGGCTCCGAGAAAAAATCTTGATTAAACGAGTGTGACTGAACAGAGCCAATGGAATTACAATCCTGGATGCCTCATGGCTCGAGCTAGGATGCACCAGATTACTATCAAAAGTTACAGTACCACAGCTTACTTTTGGTGGTATTAGTGTCAATGTTCCGCAGCGCTTCGGACACATGGGGGTAACACTGGTAGAGGCACTTAGAGAATACAAGTAGCCCATACCATGTATCGGATAATTATCGTTGCCCAACAGGAGCAAAAGAGTTTTATCAATGTAGTTATACATCACCCCCGATGGGGATGTCCGGCCGGTCTTTAAATTGGCTTCAGCCACATGCCTGAGGTCAGCAACAGCTACTTTCGAATTGTCCCCCAAATCAACGAATTCCACTCCGATATAAAACAAATAAAGCTCTCCAATTTGCAGGATTTGACTGAGTCCTAGTGTAGTCTATGCTCTCGCACCTATACTTTATCGCCTAGGAATTACATTGTGCATCATGGGTTCTAGAGGCACAGTTACATCGACACCGCTCAAGATTGGGGTCGTGGTATGTGGTATCGCCGGGCTCTCGGCGACGATAGCCTTAGCCAGAGCTGGTCACGCGGTCGATGTGTTTGAACGGTCTCGTTTCACACGTGAGAATGGGGCTGCGCTCGTAATCGGGGTGAACGCTACCCGTGTCCTGGCCGGCTGGGGTTTCGATGTTGACAAGTACGGGGCCGTGGACTACTGTCAGCTTCGACGTTTCGACGCCAAAACCGGTGAACTGGTGTCAACGGAGAATTTTGACGGGATCGAGGAGAAGTATGGCTCACGATGGTTGATATTCCATCGCGCCGATCTCCACGCAGGTCTGCTTGAGCTGGTGCAGAAGCCGGCGGTGCCATATGTCCATGCACCCAAGATCAATCTGGGCACAGCTGTGTCCGACGCCGACCCTGACACCGGAACAATCACCATGGCAGACGGAAGTTGCCTTCAGAAGGATGTCATCATCATCGCCGACGGTGCTCACTCGAAGCTTATCCCACGCGTGACGGGCCGAGAGGAGCCAATCATCAAGTCTCCTCTTTCCATCTATCGCTTCATGCAGCCAATCTCATCCATTGTCGACCACCCACTGGCAGGCCACTTCTACCGAGACCAACCGTCCGGGTTCACGGCTTTCTTCGTCAACCAGGTGGGCAAGCCAGGCGTCCTGCTCAACACGTATCCGGTCAGGGGCGAGCAGCTGCTGTATGTTGCCTTCATGCACCCGACCAAGCCGCAGGAACGGGATGTTGGGGACAACTGGAACGCAGAGGCAAGCTACGAGGACCTGATGGAGGATCTGCAGGATTTCCACCCCAGTGTCAAGTTTGTCTGCGAAGGTGCCGAGGACATCAATGTCTTCACCATTATGAAGCGGGATCCAGTGCCCAGCTTGACAAGAGGCCGGGCCGTTCTTGTGGGAGACGCGGGACACTTGATGCTATCTACTCATGGACAGGGAGCGTCACAAGCGATCGAGGATGCCGCTGCTTTGGAGGTTCTGTTCAACATTCAGCAGAGCAGCCACTCATCAGAGAATGCGGTGTTGGAACGGGTCCAGATGTTTGGTGACCTTCGTGGCCCTCGCATCAAAGCAACTCAGACGCTTTCCAATAAAATGATGGGTCCGCCTGAAGTCATGATGGCAGAATGCAGGAAGTACTACGATGAGCCATTGCCAAGCCTGAAAGCGCAGGTCTTTTCGGATGAATACAACGACTGGTTCTTCAATTATGATGTTGGAGTCGAGGCCAAGGACTTGCTGGAAAGGACGGCATGAGATTCGCAAGGAGGGGGTCTTTGTGTCACAGATTCGAGCTGTCGATGGATTGCCAGACTCTGAGAAGTATGTTATAGTGGGGCACAACCGTCCACTTCTGAACTCGAGGACATCAGAGGTAGCCCATGTTAGAATATTCTAGATATCTAGGCTATTATTAATACGGGATATCCTTTTCCCCATACATTTACCACTGTATAAAGGATAATAACTATAAATAAGAGCCTTCCCTCCTATAAAATAAATATTAGCTAACTTAATAAACTAAGCATTTAACGCTATTATTTTAAAGATTATAAGCCTAAAGCTAACCCAAAATAATAACGCTAACCTAATATAAAAAACATATATTACATAACACCCTTAATTATTATTACTTTTCAAACCTTTTAAATAAAATAAGCTTTATATTTAAAAACATACCTTTTAATTAATTACTTAATTAAGCTAATTAATAAGCCCTTAACCAATTAAATTACTCCATTTAATATTATAAATTAACCTTATCTCTTAACTTAAAGCTTATATATAAAAACCATACCTTTTTTACTTAAATACTTAATTATTTCTTTATTAATACTTAACTTACTTATATAATTTATATATTATTTAAAAGCCCTTATTAAAAATAATAAAAGCATTTCTTTAAATTTTAAAAACCATATTAAATTAATATTAAAAATATAAATTTTAATAAATTTATAATAATCCTTAAACTTCCTTAAAAATACTTAATTATATCTTAACTATCTTTAATTCATAATATCTTAAAAATATATTATTTAAAAGCCCTTCTTTTTTTCTTTATAACTATATTACTTTAATACTTATATCTTTATTCCTTAACTTATTAATGCAGTACGAATGGGTCACGGTGAATCTGCGATAAATTTGCCATGAATTCACGGGCACCCGTGAATTCACGGTACTTTCACAATGAATTCACCGTAAATATATGGTTTCACAATAAATTCACCATATATATATTTAAATAAAGAAATTCCCCGTGAATTCACCTTAAATTCACAAAGAATATTAAATTTTAAACCTTTATTCTTATTATTATAATAGCTATAATTACATGCCTTAGCTGCATAATTACCTTATAAAAGAATTAAGTAAATTATAATTATTATTATTATAATATTATAATATTTATAAATTAAGTTATAAGATTTTTAATAATTAATAAGTTAAGTAAATATTAATTTAAGCTTTTTTAAATTATTAAAAAAAGATAAAGTTTATTATAAATTTATAATAAATATATTATAAATAAAATATAAACTTAATATATAATTTTTTTTTATATTTTTATTATTACTTTTTAACTTTTAATTAATAAAAAAATATTAATAATTATTTTAATTATAAATAATAATTTTTAAATAAATAAATATTTTTTTATTTATTATATTTAAAAAAATATAAAATTTATTAAATATTATAATAATATTTATTATTTAATAAATTTTTTATAATTATTATATTATTATATATAATTTATTAAAATTATAAAATTTTTAATTTAAAATAATTAAAAATTAAATAATAATAAAAGGAAATATTTTAATTTTAAAAAATTAAGCATTAAGTTTAATTTTTTTAAAAATATTTTAAAATAATCTTTAAATTTAATATTTAATAAATATAAACTTAATTAATAATTATAATTATTATTATTAATTATATTAATTAATAAAATATAAAAGCTTAATTATTTATTAAAAATTATTAAATAAAATTTATTTAAATTAATTTTAATTAAAATATATATTAAATTTTTATATAAGCTTTAATAAATTATTATTTATTTAAATTATAAAATATTAATTAAATATTATTTTTAATTATTAAATTATATATATTATATTTTATTAATTTATAATATATAAAATTTATATTTTATAAATTAATATTTTTATTATATAATTAAAAAAATTTAAGAAAAAATTAAAATTATAAGGTTTATTAAAAATTTTTAAAATCTTTTAAAATTAAATTTAATATTTAAATTATATTTAAAACTTTAATTCTTATATTTAAATTTAAAAAATTATAAAAAAAACTTAAAATATTAATATTATATATATTTATATAAAATCTTTTTTAATTTTTTATAAAATTTTAAAATTATAATTTTTAATTTAATTAAAAAATATTTTTATTTATATAAAATATAAAACTTTTTAAAAAAAATAAAGTTAAATTAATAAATAATTATATAAATAATATTATTTTAAGCTTTTTAAATTAATTAAATTAACTTTAAAATTAATTAAAATATTTATAAATTTATTAAAATTAAATTATTATATTTTTTATAATTATTTAATATAAAATTAAATTAAATAATAAATTTAATTTTATTTAAAATATTTAATTAAAAAAATACTTTTTTTATTAATAAAGCTTTTTTAATTAAAAAATTATAAAATAAAAACTTAATAATAAAAATTTTTTAATTAAATAATTATTATATTTACTTAAAATATTAATTAAAAAATAATAAAAAAAATTAATTATATAATTATAATTAAAAATATTAAAATTTATTAAATAATAATTATTTACTTAAGCTTAATAATTTTTATAATAATTAAAATTTTAAAAATATTATTATTAAATAATTTAAATTATATAAAAATTAAAATAATTTTTAAAATTTAATTTAAATATTTTAAATTAATAAAAAAGTTATTATTTAAAAAAATTTTTAAAATTTTATTAATTAATATAAAATATATTTATAAAATAATATTTATTAAAAAGCTTAATTAAATTATAATTTATTTTTTTATTTATTAAATATTATTTATTTATAATTTTAAATAATATTTAATAAAAATAAATATTATAAATTAATTTAAGAAAATTTAAAAACTTAAATTTTATAAAAAAGCTATTTATTAAATAACTTTTATATTTTATAAAATATTATTAAAACTTTATTAAATTAATAATATTATTTTTAAATAAATATATTTAATAATTAAAATATTTAAAAATATATTTAATAAATTTATTAATTTATAATATTAATTAAATAATTAACTTTTTTTATAACTTAAAATATATAAAATTAAATTAATAAAATATTAATTATTTTTTATTTTAATTATTTTTTTATTAATAAAGATATTTATAAATTTAAAGCTAAATTATAAAAAAAATAAAAAATTTAATATTTATAATAAAAGAATTAAATAATAATAAGAAAAGCTTTTTAAAAAATATAATTATTATTTTATTTTTTAGCTTTAATTAAGCTTATTTATTAAATATTTTTATTAATATATTAAATCTTTATTTTTAAGTATTAAAAATAAGCTAATTATATTAATAAATTTAATTACTTTATTTTAAAAATTATATTTTAAACTTTATATTTTAAAATATAACTTTAAAATAATATTAAAAATTATTTAATATTTATTAATAAATTTAAAATAAATAAAATAAATAAATAAGTTTATTTTAAGCTTAAAAATTATTAATTAATAATTTATAATAAAATTAAAATTAATTATAAAAGCTTTAATAAAATATATAATTAAATTTATAGCTTTATTAATATTTTAATTAATAAAATAATATTAAGAATTTTTTAAATATTATTATTTAAATATTTAATATAAATAATAATAAATTTTAATATAATTTTTATTATAAAAATAAGCTAATTATTAAAAATTATTTTTTTATAAATAATAAATTAAAAGTTATAAAAAAAAAATTTTTATTATAAAAAATAATTTAATTTATAAAATATTTAATTTAAATAAAAAAATTAATAAGTTAATTATTTTAATATTAAAAAATAATTATTATTTTATTAATAAATTAAATTTATATAATTTAATATAAATAAACTTTAATATTTATTTTATTAATATTAATTTATATTTAAATAAATACTTTTATTTTAATTTTAATTAAATATATTATAAATATAATATTATTTTTATATTAAAATTATTATTTAAGAAATATTTAAAAACTTATTTAATAATAAATTTTTATATATTTATTTATAAAGTAATTTAAAATAAGTTAATATTATATATAAGTTAATTATTAAAAATCTTATTATTATATAATAAATTATATATTTATATTTATATATAAATTTAAAAAATTATAAATAAATTATTATTTATAATTTATTATAATATTAAAGCCTTAAAATATATTATTTTTTAAAATTATTTAAAATATTTTTTATAAATTATAATAAATTAAGTTATAAAAATTAATATTTAAAAATAAATATATAAAAACTATTAATTAAATTAAATTTAATATATTTTATTAAATTATTATAAAAAGCTATTTAATAATTATTATTATATATATTAAAATATAAATATTTAATTATTTAAATATTAATTTATTAATAAGTTAAAAATTTATAATTCTTTATTAAATTAATATTTTAAATTTAAAAAAAAAAGTTACCTTTAAATATTTTAATAATATATTTATAAATATTATAATTTTTATTAAAGCCTTTAAATAAATATATATAATTAAGATTAATATAAATATTATAATTTTATTATATTTATATTAAATTATATTAATATTTATTATAAATTTAAAAAAATATAGCTTTTTTATTTTAATTTAAATAAAAAAGCTAAATTAATAATTTAATAAGCTATAACTTTATAAGTATTATTATAATAAATTAATTATTATACCTTATATATATTTATTAAAACTTTTATTTAAAAGTAATTATTTCTTTTATATATAATTATATAAGTTTTTTCTTTAATATTTAGCTTTATTTAATTTTATAAATTTTCTTAATAACTTAAATTAAAGCTTAAATTATATATTAATATAATATTAAAATACTTAATTAATACCTTAATTAAATAATTCTTTTAATATATTATTATAAAATAATCTTTTAAAATTTTAAAAATAACTTTAATTTAATAATAAATTAAAAATATTTAAATTTAAAAATTTATTAAAAGTTAAATTATTAA